AAACTTCAATTTATGAATGAACGTTAAAGTAAAGTTGTGAATTGTTGTGATCCTTAGCAAAGTGTGAGTAGTATATATTCAAATACCCTGGGGTTTGAGATTTGTGTTAACCGTTACATGAAGAATTGCCCTCTCTCTGATTGGTGTGAAACGTGGATATCCATACAACATGCGTCACCAGGGAGCAATCATTTTATTTCTAGCCATTTAGGGTGAGATGTTTTAATTGAATAATTTGTGTGTAAAAATGAATACGCAAATGAATAGTTTGCTGGCATGGGCAAAACAAAAGGGATAATCAAAATTCCCAACATCAAAAGGCCTATGTGGGCATATTTACATCTACATAAACGAGACTTAAGAAGCGAGAATCTTTTCGTAAGACATTGTCAGCGATCACTGTACAAATAGGTGCATTTTGTTACAAAGACGTTATCGCTGGTTTTAAACACTGTCATCTTCCTATTTCGTACATGTATGTTTGTATTTTCATAATATGTATCACTCTGCGTGTGGCTTTAACTTATAATGAACACGTATAGGCTAAATTCAGGTCCAAATCCAACCCAGGATCAAATCTAATCAGAATACCCCTCCCTTGAGGTGTTTAACCACACGTTTCAGCATTCCGCTGCCTCTAGCGCCTGAGCTACCCAGGGAAGCCATCACCCAGGTCAACCTACCGCCATACCACCAGGAATACCACGACACACAACCAGGAAAATAGCTTGGATGCTATTTGTTGTCAATTGAGAAGATTGGCTCGTTTGATCTGCAGATAAGGCTATCTTGTCAAGTTGCTTTAATAACTGTTATGACTAGAGGCATTTGGGTCAGTTTGCTTTGACTCACGAGGCGATCGTTATTAAAATTATGAGAGAGTGAAATATCATTATTGTATTTCATGTGTATATGTATTCATATGATATGTATATCCTCGTAAGGTATGATGTTCATCTGGGTATTCCGATATAAGCGTGGTTGATGTAGACGTTATAGAAATAATAGTAGCAGTGAGTGAGTGCTGTTTTATGACGTTGTGGTTCAGCAACATTCATGCAAAACCACGTGTGGGGGGTCGAACCCGGGCCATCGGCGAGAAGGCTTTAACCACTGGGCTACCCCAATGCCAAGACAGTAGTAATGACGTTAGGTGAAACGGGGTTAACGCCGTGTTCAAGACTATTGCATGTAAAGCAACGTGCATGCGCGTGGGTGGGTGTTTGTTCGTGCAAGCTATATGTTCCGGAGTTAGGTCTGTTTTAAAGTTCTAGTTCACTAAGATACAGGTTGTGGGGTAGCCTAGTGGGCAAAGCGTTCGCCCGTCACGCCGAAAACCCGGGTTCGATCACCCACATGGGTACAATGTGTGAAGCCATTTCTGGTGTTCCCCGACGTGATGTTGCTGGAATATTGCTAAAAGCGGCGTGAAACTGAACCCACACTCACTACCATACCACGCCGAGACGGTCAGTCCTTGGCAGGGCAACAAGAAGTACCGTCTTCTAACGTCACCGACCAGACAAAGGAGGCTGTTGTAGTAGTAGTAGTAGTAGTACTAGTAGTAGTAGTAGTAGTAGTAGTAGTAGTAGTAGTAGTAGTAGTAGTACATCGAGGATGGATTAGAAAAAACAGCGATTGGTGTTGTGAGCGACCATCTATGCCATCCGTCCCCGAGCTTGGCCTTCCGCTCATGTTGAGGGGTACTTGATGTCTGGGACAGTGTGTTAATAGAGACAGGGAACATCATGGGACTCTTTACTCTTTTTTCTCTTTACAATTCATTACGAATGAGCTACAATCCACCCGCACCAGCTTTAATCCAAAAACAACGGATGTACCTTACCATCACCAGTGAGCTGCAGAACCCGCAATAGTCCGGACTAATCACAAACATGCACGTCTCTAAATGTGTGAGTGAGTGAGTTTGCTTTTACACCGCTTTGAGCAATATACCAGCAACATCACGGCGGGGGACACCAGAAATGAGCTTCACACATTGTACCCATATGGGGAATCGAACCCAGGTCTTCAGCGTGACGAGCCAACGCTTTATCTCTAGGCTACCCCACCGCCCCACGCGTCTCTATATATAAGCACACTAATCTATTATGTATATCTTTTTGAACGCGACCTCACCTCCACCCCACCTCCATCAGCTACACCCTGTATTGAGTTTCAAGGCAACGGGTGTGGAGGCGGGTAGTACCTCAGCCTGTCCTACTCTTGACGAGTTTTTATAAATTACTTTCGATTTTGCTGACACTTTTTCGTTATCGTGCCTTCAATATATCCATTTGTGTTAACCCCAGACAAGACCCGCAGATGCGTTTTCTCATATCTGTGTTAATTTCCCGACCAAGCGGACTTTGATTCGCAAATACAGCCAATTGTCCCGAAACAATAGTTCTCTCCGATCTGCTGCCTGGCATCTTTCTCTAGCCGGCTAAATGTGCTGTTGTGTTTTGGTTTATTTAATATTACGCTCGACAAATTCATAACGCGTAGGTAGGCAAGAGGGACGAGTAGCCGAGCACCCCCAACAACCACCTGTTTGGGGTATCCACGCAGTCGGGAAATTATCGTCTGCTCACCTTAGCAGACGATGGCTAGATGATTTTCGCGGGAAATAATCACTGAAACCTGACTTCATTTTAACCGTATTTCTTCAGTGTCGTATGGTAAATCTTGCAGTTGTCACATTGTAAAGTTATAATACTTGTTCTAAACACTTAACATACAATATAATATTAATACGTTTTCAAAGAACCATCAACTATTAACAAAGAGTGGCCTAGGTAAACCGATGTCATCACAATGGCAATTCTGTCAGCGTAGCGCGGCATAGCCTATGGCAACTATATGGCACAGCACAGCACAGCACAAGATAGCACAGGACAAGACAGCAAGTCTTCTGAAATATATTTGATGAAATCAGAAACATCGCCATTCCATTGTGATAACTGGAGACACCCTGTACAGGGGCGGATACAGCTTTTTGAGGAATGGGGGGTGCACACTTCATTTTCACCTGAGTTTCAATGGTCATTTAACAAACTTTCAGCACAAAAGGGGGGAGGGTGCGCACCACACACCCCACCCCACACACACCCCCTCTGGATCCGTCTATGTCGTATAAGCATGGGTTTTCATGTATTTATTTTGTGCCAGTCAATATATAGCCTTTGCCTGTGGTTGTTGTTCAAATACTTCACCGACTTCAGCATAATGTCGCCAGTGTTTATGTCGGAGGGTTGTGTTCATGTAGGAGGAGCATGCGGTACTGATAACAGTGGTGAATCTACCTGATACGGGACCTGCAGCGGATAGCGTTGGAATACTGATCTCTTCTTATCTGGTGTTAGAGATGGTTGTGGTCTTTCCTAAACCCGGGTTCTCACAAACTGGCGTTGGGTGCAGGGGCGGATCCAGGATTTTTTATATGTGAGTGTGTGTGCGTGCGTGCGCGCCCACATAAGTCATGAAGTCCAAAGATTACTAAGGTTAGGGTGAAATATTTTCGGGGTGGGGGGTGGTGGTTGGGAATCCGTGGTGGTAATTACTCAGGAATCACAATACAGTACTTAATGGACTGTTATTTATCACTGGGGTGTGGTGAGGGGGGCGGTGGCACGAAAAGGAAAAGTTCCATTTTCATTGATTGACAATGGTTTGGTTACAAATGAGCAACATGGTGGGGCGTATTTGTGTATTTGTTGGTGGGAGGAGAACAAATATTACAATGCTACATATTTGGTAATTTTTAAATTCACGTGAATATAACATTTTTTGAAAACATTTGCTAACAATTTCGCGAGAACATTTTGAAAACATTATAGCCAAATGTTTCTGAAAATGTTTCTAAAACATTTCTGGAACCATACAAAATCACGTGACTAAAACATTATTTTTAACCATTTCCAAAACATCTCGAAAAAACATTTCAGGAAAACATTTTAAAAACCTTATAGTTTTGGAACCATACAAAATCACGTGAATAAAACATTTAAAAAAATGTTTCTGGAACATTTCACGAAATGTTTTTGGGATGTTTTTAAAACATTTTTGTGTTAGCTGGGAAGTCAGCAAATGTTATTCATTGAGATCTATCATTGAGTTTTCCGATGTAATACAAATATACAATGGTTTCTTCTGAGATATTCAGAATCCAGACAAAATTAGCCTTCTCGAGAACACTAAAAATCTTTTTCAGCACCGTGTGTGAGTGAATGTCTTATACACAGGCAACAATATTCCAGCTAATTCAAGCCACCCTCTGGGTCTGGACCTGACAAAAATAGTAACTGAAAAGATAAGCAAGGATGCAGGACATCACGTTACCATGATCACCCGATTCCCATTTTCTTCTGCTTACAGATATTGTGAGGTACTTTGAGGACCGCTCCTGACTCGCTATCCACACAAGGACTTTCACAACGCGTGATTTGTTGAGGCTTACTTTCAGATGATCTCGTACCGTTAGTGAGTGAGTGAGTTGGTGAGTGGGAGTGTGGGTAGGTGAGTACTATTATTTGTTCCAGAAGGGCCTTCTCTTGTGTAGAGGAAGTTGTTGTGTCTACCACCCGGCGTGTGATGCAGGGTGTCCAAAGGACAGACAGTCTGATGTTTCCACTCCTACTGAAGTTGTCACCCTGGCATTGTGACAAAGACCATGTTGCGCAAAGATATGGACAGAATAGCTTAACAATATAATACAGGAAATGTTTTATAATACATGAACTAAATCTCTACGGATTTATATTAGTAAGGGTACATGTTCGCCAACGTCAAATATCTCAAAATGAAGCTTCGGGACATTTTCTTCACATTGTCTATGGCCATATTCTACTGCACCCCTGTCCTTGTACACATATGAATTAAACCTAAACACAGAATCAGTATATGGTTTAACTATCCAGAAAAAAGAAATCATTGTTACGTTTTCACAAAAATGTCCTGGTTCGTTTGTGACGCTGGTCCTTTTTCGGTGACATCGGTAGACGTTAAGCTCTTAACATCGTTCTGAACGCTGCAGGGAGTTATTCAAGGGAAGTAACTCTATTTTCATGCGTGGCTGGCAAGCGAAAACCGTGGGCATGTGGATTGCGAAGATGCATGATGTCTTCAGAATCATTTGATAAACAGAGAGAAAGTTGTTTTGACGGACTAGACTTGAGCAGGAAGGGATCTATCGACGCCCCGATTGCTCATCTTGTCAAGTTGATAAATGAACAGTCCAACTATTTCACAACCAGCTCGTGTTCAGGAAGAATACTCATGTTTGAACAGGTTTGTTTCTTGTTTTACGCCTCGTCCATCTGTTTCCAGCTATATAACGACGGTCTGTAAATAATAGAGTCTGTGCCACACAAACAAATGATTGACATCGTGCATCAACCAATTCAAAGAGTCTTACAAGTGTGGTGATCGCCGACCACCCTCATCTAGTATTAGTAATCACTACACAAGCATGGATCAGTAGAGGACGTAACGTGTACGCGAGACGATCCCCCGTTACGCGTACAAGTGACTACCTCAGAGGGGGTCACTCATTCGCATGACTGCCTGATCACAGACAGGGAAATTCAGCATGTCACACAAAAACGCGTCTAAAAGTGTTATTTACGAAAATAATGAAATAAAATTTGCTACAGTCATTGATAGGTGTTCAAGTTATTGATTGACACGAATGAAAACGTAAAAAGAAAACTTTAAATAGTCAAATGTTGACAAAAAAGTGCAAAATTTAAGCAGTATTTGACGATATTGAACAGTGAATTTCACATATGTGCATATTTTTCAGAAACTTACATTTAGTATTTTTTGAAAGCTCATTCATCGCAGATTCAAAATATATATGCAGCTTTGGAAGCACACCAACGCACACCCGTTTGTTATCGTGTTGAAACATGTTTACTTTCTTAAAAACTGTGTGAACCGTCTCGCATAGAAGTGACTGGCGTGTTTGTGGCCTAGAATCTCTCGGTCAGCTGTTGTAGACAAGATCGATCGAGTGATCAAACTGATGTTAGACAGAATTAAACAATAAACTGTACAACTTGCAGAATACAAGGTTCATCCTTTGTAATTTCTTCAGCACTCATTCTCAGATAAATGTAAAAGAGCAAATGACGAAAGCGTGAAATCCGAGGTCGAGAAACCTAGCTGTTTATTCACGACTGTCAAGTAACCACCAGGCTTGGGGATTTAACGGGACGCTTTAATCACCTCGCGCCGTGTTCGCACCCACTCGAGTTGGTCCACGGTGATTGAATTAATTACGGACAAGCGCTTCAGTCAGTACCGTGGAGCGCACCCATCTCGCGTACATGAGACGATAGGCCGTCTCGCGTACACGTTACGTCTCTGACTGATGGATTGTTGAAGACCTATTCTAACTCAGAACTTCACTGATCTTGAACAGCATAGGTTGAATTTACTCTGCTTTCAAACAGCTAACCAACCCCTGTATTAGGATATATACGTTTGTCATGAAAGCTAAACACCAAATAAACAGGAATAAAAAGAGTATGATACTAGCCCATCCACACAATTTTGACGACTGAATGAGTCCAATGGTCCTATACTCATACCTCCTACTTTTTCTTTGGAAAGACAAGTTACTATTCTTGATGCTTTTAGTCAAATCTGTCGCTGTACTTTTGCATAACAAGTTCCCATTTCTTTTCCAAAAAATGAAAGCAACAACCAGGAAAAACATCACCTACCCACTGAACAATGTTTTGACATTCTACCTCAATATAGCTGACAAAACAGATGGTACCTATAACAACAATCATTCGATATTATAAAATTAATGATTAGATATTATTATATTTAATACCATGCTATTATCAGTGTTTTTGGGACTTATCTAATGGTTATGATAATTTTTAACATTGTAAGATCTTCAGGATGACCATCACATTTTGTCATTTTCTGTTGACATAGGATACAGGGAACCGAGTGAAGAAGAAAGGCTGTAAATGGCTGTTTACCTCTCATGATGTTGTCCAACCAGAAGAAGTGGTAATGCATTTCTTCTATATACTGTTAATTAGATTTCAATGTTTGGACAGAAATATTTTCTGCCACCCTTATCATGCTTACAATGTTTAGGAACATGCAGTAATCATCCTGTTTTTCCCAAGTAACATGAGAAATATACAGCTGCTTTTTCATGAGGTCTAGTACTCATGATTTTCGCTTTTAGTTTTATAGCAGATAATGGATGATCTAATGATTGAAATACGATTTAAATTGATTTCCAATACAGTATGAATTATTAAATAGTTTTAAAAACCTTAACATAAATCTCAAGACAAGGAAAATACCTGGCTCTTATCTGACACAGTTACTATTCTTCTTTGGTTGAGCTGAAACTGCTCTTTATTGACAGTTTAATTGCCTGTTAGTTCTCATCATTATCTTGATTTTTGTGAAGGGGCATTCATAAGTGTCCACATTGCCAAAGGTGTGTGAATGACAGGCACAGATGGTCCAGTTGTCAAGTCTCTGTGCAGAGTTGTGTCCCTTTGATCATGTCAGAAACATATGAACACAGCTTTGAAAACTGTATCTGCCGTTTTGAACACTGCATTTTTGAAAGCAACCATTGGTATCACCAAGAGGAAGATGTCTTAGACGGCATCACTGAATCAGTCTCTTTGATGAATGCTAAGAAAAGTGAGAGATATTTCAACAGGTGGCATGGTCCTGTAAGGGGACCACTAGTGGACTAGAGCTATGTACACCAGCAGGCCATGTTGTCCTGATGCTATATGATGTTCTGTGCAGGTGAGCAGCCTGGGAAGCCTGGATGGGGATGCTGTGTTCAAGTTCGAGCCCCTGGTGCTCCATGTCCAGTGCCGGTCAGTGGAAGATGCCCAGAGTCTGGTGAGATCTTGTTTTAAAAAATCAGGATATCACATAATGGCAGGAAGATAATCAATGTTAATAATGATACACTTCTTTCAAAGTCAAAGATACGATTTATGATGTTAGTGACACTGTGTGTGTTTTAGAAAAAGGAAAAACCCGGAAATTATTTCAAAACCATGAGAAATGTATTGTGTCATACAATAACAGATAAAGGAATTCCAGCTGTAGTAACTGATTAGAATAAACAGTTAATATCTGATTGATATCAACATTGTATGGAAGTGTGACTGTGGTGTATGTTTTCTTTATCAGCATGCCTGTGCAGTTGCTTCAGGGTTCCGAAACTCAGGGATCACCATCGGCTCTCGGGGCAAGATAATTACAGTAAGTTAACCCATCTTACTGGGAGGCTCTTGTGGCAAGATAATAACACTACCTTAAACCCATGTTACTGGGAGGCTCTTGTGGCAAGATAATAACAGTAACTTAAACCCATGTTACTGGGAGGCTCTTGTGGCAAGATAATAACAGTAAGTTAAACCCATGTTACAGGAGGCTCTTGTGGCAGATAATAACAGTAAGTTAAACCCATGTCTTGTGGCAAGATACTGGTTAAACCCATGTTACTGGGAGGCTCTTGTGGCAAGATAATAACAGTAAGTTAAACCCATGTTACTGGGAGGCTCTTGTGGCAAGATAATAACAGTAAGTTAAACCCATGTTACTGGGAGGCTCTTGTGGCAAGATAATAACAGTAAGTTAAACCCATGTTACTGGGAGGCTCTTGTGGCAAGATAACAACAGTTAGTTAAACCCATGTTACTGGGAGGCTCTTGTGGCAAGATAATAACAGTAAGTTAAACCCATGTTACTGGGAGGCTCTTGTGGCAAGATAATAACAGTAAGTTAAACCCATGTTACTGGGAGGCTCTTGTGGCAAGATAATAACAGTAACTTAAACCCATGTTACTGGGAGGCTCTTGTGGCAAGATAACAACAGTAAGTTAAACCCATGTTACTGGGAGGCTCTTGTGGCAAGATAATAACAGTAAGTTAAACCCATGTTACTGGGAGGCTCTTGTGGCAAGATAACAACAGTAAGTTAAACCCATGTTACTGGGAGGCTCTTGTGGCAAGATAATAACAGTAAGTTCTTAGACCCATGTTACTGGGAGGCTCTTGTGGCAAGATAATAACAGTAAGTTAAACCCATGTTACTGGGAGGCTCTTGTGGCAAGATAATAACAGTAAGTTAAACCCATGTTACTGGGAGGCTCTTGTGGCAAGATAATAACAGTAAGTTAAACCCATGTTACTGGGAGGCTCTTGTGGCAAGATAATAACACTAACTTAAACCCATGTTACTGGGAGGCTCTTGTGGCAAGATAATAACAGTAAGTTAAACCCATGTTACCGGGAGGCTCTTGTGGCAAGATAATAACAGTAAGTTAAACCCATGTTACTGGGAGGCTCTTGTGGCAAGATAATAACAGTAAGTTAAACCCATGTTACTGGGAGGCTCTTGTGGCAAGATAATAGGAGTAAGTTAAACCCATGTTACTGGGAGGCTCTTGGCAAGATTATAACAGTAACTTAGACCCATGTTACTGGGAGGCTCTTGTGGCAAGATAATAGGAGTAAGTTAAACCCATGTTACTGGGAGGCTCTTGTGGCAAGATAATAACAGTAACTTAAACCCATGTTACTGGGAGGCTCTCTTGGCAAGATAATAACAGTAACTTAGACCCATGTTACTGGGAGGCTCTTGGCTCTTCCCATGCAAGAAATAATAGTAGTAAGTAAACCCATGTTACTGGGAGGCGCTCTTGGCAAGATTATAACAGTAACTTAGACCCATGTTACTGGGAGGCTCTTCCGGCAAGAAATAACAGTAAGTTAAACCCATGTTACTGGGAGGCTCTTGTGGCAAGATAATAACAGTAAGTTAAACCCATGTTACTGGGAGGCTCTTGTGGCAAGATAATAACAGTAAGTTAAACCCATGTTACAGGGAGGCTCTTGTGGCAAGATAATAACAGTAAGTTAAACCCATGTTACTGGGAGGCTCTTGTGGCAAGATAATAACAGTAAGTTAAACCCATGTTACTGGGAGGCTCTTGTGGCAAGATAATAACAGTAACTTAGACCCATGTTACTGGGAGGCTCTTGTGGCAAGATAATAACAGTAAGTTAAACCCATGTTACTGGGAGGCTCTTGTGGCAAGATAATAACAGTAAGTTAAACCCATGTTACTGGGAGGCTCTTGTGCAAGATAATAACAGTAACAGTATAAACCCATGTTACTGGGAGGCTCTTGTGGCAAGATAATAACAGTAAGTTAAACCCATGTTACTGGGAGGCTCTTGTGGCAAGATAATAACAGTAAGTTAAACCCATGTTACTGGGAGGCTCTTGTGGCAAGATAATAACAGTAAGTTAAACCCATGTTACTGGGAGGCTCTTGTGGCAAGATAATAACAGTAAGTTAAACCCATGTTACTGGGAGGCTCTTGTGGCAAGATTATAACAGTAAGTTAAACCCATGTTACTGGGAGGCTCTTGCAGCAAGATTATAACAGTAAGTTAAACCCATGTTACTGGGAGGCTCTTGTGGCAAGATTATAACAGTAACTTAGACCCATGTTACTGGGAGGCTCTTGCAGCAAGATAATAACAGTAAGTTAAACCCATGTTACTGGGAGGCTCTTGCAGCAAGATTATAACAGTAAGTTAAACCCATGTTACTGGGAGGCTCTTGTGGCAAGATTATAACAGTAAGTTAAACCCATGTTACTGGGAGGCTCTCATGGCAAGATAATAACAGTAAGTTAAACCCATGTTACTGGGAGGCTCTTGCAGCAAGATTATAACAGTAAGTTAAACCCATGTTACTGGGAGGCTCTTGTGGCAAGATAATAACAGTAAGTTAAACCCATGTTACTGGGAGGCTCTTGTGGCAAGATAATAACAGTAAGTTAAACCCATGTTACTGGGAGGCTCTTGTGGCAAGATTATAACAGTAACTTAGACCCATGTTACTGGGATGCTCTTGCAGCAAGATAATAACAGTAAGTTAAACCCATGTTACAGGGAGGCTCTTGTGGCAAGATAATAAGAGTGAGTTTAACCCATGTTACTGGGAAACTCTTAGGGCAACAAAATCACCATCGGCTCTTGGGGCAAGATAATTACAGTAAGTTAACCCATCTTACTGGGAGGCTCTTGTGGCAAGATAATAACACGACCTTAAACCCATCTTACTGGGAGGCTCTTGTGGCAAGATAATAACAGTAAGTTAAACCCATGTTACTGGGAGGCTCTTGTGGCAAGATAATAACAGTAACTTAGACCCATGTTACTGGGAGGCTCTTCCGGATAATAACACTGTAAGTTAAAACCATGTTTACTGGGAGGCTCTTGTGGCTTAGATAAGATAATAACTGTAAGATAATAACTTAAACCCATGTTACTGGGAGGCTCTTGTGGCAAGATAATAACAGTAAGTTAAACCCATGTTACTGGGAGGCTCTTGTGGCAAGATAATAACAGTAAGTTAAACCCATGTTACTGGGAGGCTCTTGTGGCAAGATAATAACAGTAAGTTAAACCCATGTTACTGGGAGGCTCTTGTGGCAAGATAATAACAGTAAGTTAAACCCATGTTACTGGGAGGCTCTTGTGGCAAGATAATAGCAGTAAGTTAAACCCATGTTACTGGGAGGCTCTTGTGGCAAGATAATAACAGTAAGTTAAACCCATGTTACTGGGAGGCTCTTGTGGCAAGATAACAACAGTAAGTTAAACTCATGTTACTGGGAGGCTCTTGTGGCAAGATAATAACAGTAAGTTAAACCCATGTTACTGGGAGGCTCTTGTGGCAAGATAACAACAGTAAGTTAAACTCATGTTACTGGGAGGCTCTTGTGGCAAGATAATAACAGTAAGTTAAACCCATGTTACTGGGAGGCTCTTGTGGCAAGATAATAACAGTAAGTTAAACCCATGTTACTGGGAGGCTCTTGTGGCAAGATAACAACAGTAAGTTAAACCCATGTTACTGGGAGGCTCTTGTGGCAAGATAACAACAGTAAGTTAAACCCATGTTACTGGGAGGCTCTTGTGGCAAGATAATAACAGTAAGTTAAACCCATGTTACTGGGAGGCTCTTGTGGCAAGATAATAACAGTAACTTAAACCCATGTTACTGGGAGGCTCTTGTGGCAAGATAATAACAGTAAGTTAAACCCATGTTACTGGGAGGCTCTTGTGGCAAGATAATAACAGTAAGTTAAACCCATGTTACTGGGAGGCTCTTGTGGCAAGATAATAACAGTAAGTTAAACCCATGTTACTGGGAGGCTCTCATGGCAAGATAATAACAGTAAGTTAAACCCATGTTACTGGGAGGCTCTTGTGGCAAGATAATAACAGTAAGTTAAACCCATGTTACTGGGAGGCTCTTGTGGCAAGATAATAACAGTAAGTTAAACCCATGTTACTGGGAGGCTCTTGTGGCAGTAAGTTAAACCCCATGTTACTGGGAGGCTCTTGTGGCAAGATAATAACAGTAAGTTAAACCCATGTTACTGGGAGGCTCTTGTGGCAAGATAATAACAGTAAGTTAAACCCATGTTACTGGGAGGCTCTCATGGCAAGATAATAACAGTAAGTTAAACCCATGTTACTGGGAGGCTCTCATGGCAAGATAATAACAGTAAGTTAAACCCATGTTACCGGGAGGCTCTCATGGCAAGATAATAGCAGTAAGTTAAACCCATGTTACTGGGAGGCTCTTGTGGCAAGATAATAGGAGTAAGTTAAACCCATGTTACTGGGAGGCTCTCTTGGCAAGATAATGAGTTAAACCCATGTTACTTGGAAACTCTTCGGGCAACAAAATAACAGTAAGTTAAACCCATGTTACTGGGCTCTCGTGGCAAGATAATAGCAGTATATTAAACCCTTGTTACTGGGAGGCTCTTGTGGCAAGATATTATAAGTAAGTTAGACATATATTACAGGGAGGCTCTTGGGGCAAGATATTTTAAGTAAGTTAGACATATGTTACTGGGAGGCTCTTGGGTCAAGATAATAACAGTAAGTAAACCTATCCTACTCAGAGGTTCTTAGGGCAGGACAATAACAGTAAGTTTGCTTATACCTTCTTACCGCCCAATATACCTTTGTTTCTATTGCCACTTCATGTGTAATTGTACTCAAGGAACTCTGTATTACTTGTGTTATGAAGATTTGTTGTGCTGTTTGTACCTTATTGGTTTGTTGCTCGTGCTGTCAACCACTGGTTTGGCTTGCTCAGACTTGATTCACAATATTGGGAAAATATGGCAGTGGTATAGAACAGTCCACTCGTTCACTCATACTCTCTCTCTCTCCACAGGCAGTGAGAAGTACTCATTCTCTGGAAGTTCCGCTGTCCAAGGATCGAAGGTTGATGGTGTCACATGAGGTGTGTGGTCTGCTTTTCTGTTACATTTGCAAAACCTTCATTTCTGTTGTCATTGAAAAATCTTTAGGAACTACAGATTAGCTAACAGCCTGATCAAAAATGTTTGGAGCTTTTTCATTATTTTCTGATTATAAGTTGATAAAGAATGTGTATTTCACCTTAAGTAGTTTAACGAAGTTAACCTTTCATACCAAGGTAATGATTCAAAAAGATATTTAATCACTGTATACTTATGCTTGGAAAAAAGCTAACCACTTTTTACAGCATTAAAATTGTCAGGTCCTGATAATCTCTTCACATACTAATTTTCAAGGCAAACGTGTTTGTTTTGTTGACATTCTCATTTTGAAATGAAGAAGTCTAAACAGAAAATGTTTGGCTATAGATGTTTGATCTTTCAGTTTCATCCTTTGCTTCTTGGTGTCTTATCATTCTGTGGTTGCAACCACTTGGTGAAACATATTTGTTTTCTTTGCTTCAGTATTTAAAATTCCTTACCGATTGTGCCAATTCAAAGATGCAAGAGAACTTGACAAGAATAAAAAGGTTGGTGTTCGTCATCTCCAACATATGTCCTGGCGGCGGGGTAGCCTAATGGTTAAAACGTCGGCTCATCACACTAAAGGACCTGGGTCTGATTCCCCACATGTCTAAATGTGTGAAGCCCACTTCTGGTGTACATTGCCGTGATATTGCTGGAATATTGCTAAAAGCGTAAAACCATACTCACTCACTCAAACTTTAGTGGCATAAAAACTAGCAGATCTTTAGGCAGACAATATAGGAGTAGTGCCACAACAAATCACTGGTCCCACTGAAATCTCCTGTATACTTGAATTATGGCTTGTGGAGATGTTCACTCTCATAGCTTATAAAGCTTTCATGTTAATTCCTATATCTGCAAACCCGTGAAGATCTGAGTTAGAATTAATCTTCAGTAACCCATGGCTGTCCTAAGAGGTGACTAACGGGATCAGGTGGTCAGGCTCGATGACTTGGTTGACACACATCATCGTATCTCAATTGCATAGATTGATAATCATGCTGTTGATCACTGGATGGTCTAGTGCAAACAGATTATTTACACACTGCTGTCATATAGCAGGAATATTGCTCAGTGTGGCGTTAAACAACAAACAAACAAACCACCCAACCTGTCACTGCAAGGTTTTGTTGGTGCTATTTTCGAATTTAATTGACCAGGTTCATTCAGAAGATTCGTGTTCATTCAGATTTTGTCATGAGGATTGATGTAGATATTAAACCAGTGCTATTGTCCATGACCATATTTGGGTTGTAGGTTTCATGACAATGTCAGTGCCATGCTGTCCCGTCCAGAGAGTGAGAAGACGAAGAAGAACAGAAGGAACAGGAAGGCGAGACCCGACCCAGCAGAGCAGCCACCTTGTGATGCTGATGTTGGAGGGAGAAATGTTGTCGAGGATGATATTAGTCCAAGCTTTCTGTTTGATGATACGTAAAAATAAAGGTTTTCTTTCATACTGAGGTTACTGTCATTCTTGGAACAGATGTTGTTGCTCTGATATTACCATGGTTACATGTATATTTTGCACTTTTTATGCCCCCGCCTTAAATGGCTGGGGGCATATAGGGTTACCCTCCGTCTGTACGAAACAGGGAATGTACTCTATCCACTTCTCCACAAAAAGCGTGGAATTCAATGAACTTATACAAAAGCTGCTCAACAGAATTGATTGAGCGTCTACATGTTTCATTGGGAAGGTGTGCATCTCATACCTTGTTCATCCAATTTCTTAATTTTGTCACTTCTACAAATGTTTGAACTTAGTTGAATTTGGTTCTATTCATCCCATACAGCAGGGGGTGTACTTTATCCACTTCTCCTTAAAAACCACTGCACAAAACACATTTAGCTTACATATGTCTTTTAAAGAGACTTTAAAGGTGTGCATCTCATATTTTGTTTTTGTATTTTATAGTTTTTTTGTATGTTTAGAGACATTTGAACTTAGATAAATTTTGTTGAATTTCTCTCTGATAGTGAAATAGGGGATTAAGTCTGTTCACTTCTCCACAAAAACTGCTCAACAGAATTGATTAAGCTTATACATGTGTTTCAATGGGTCTCGAAAGGTGTGCATCTCATAGTTGCATAGATGTTTATTGAACTTGTTCGTGAATTTTGTTCAATTATTGATCTTTATATGTCTTATGAATGTCAGCGGGGGCATCTGTGTCCCTGGACACAAGTTTTTCTTGTTTAACTTCTGAAATATATGCAATGACAATTTTATGCCCTCTTGGCAACAAGAAAATCTTAAGATGGACCAGTGGAGACAGTAGAGGCAGAGAAGTGTCTGTTATACCCATTATTAGTGAATGGATGCAGAAAAAAAAATTCACTGCGTCCCTCAGGACGCACAATATTATTCATTATACCAACCACACTTGTATGACATTGCCAAGTGTTTGGTTGTTTCAGAGTTTCATTTCATCCACCAGTCCATATGATCAATGATTCATTCCAGGCTCTAGAGAACTTATCGAAGCATATGGTTCTCTACACCCTCATATTGCCTGCAAAGACTCTTACATCTAATAATTGGGGGTCCCCGGGACCGTTATGTTTGTGAGTCAAGGTAAAACCCTGCTCTAATGATAATGTGTAGCCTAACTTTCTGGTGTTCTCATTTTTCTCAATAATAAGCTCATGATAGTGTAACAACACCGTCCACCCGTTCACGTGGTTGTTGTAGGAGGTGACGTAACAGGTTCTGGTGGTCACGATCACTGACTTGGTTGACACATGTCATTGTATCCCAAGTGAGTGGATTGAATTGTCAAGACTTAATTATTTACAGACTATATTTGGAATATTGCTGAGGGCAGAGTTAAACAACAAACAAATAAGACTGTCAGCACAGAGTGGTGTGTGTTTCACAGAAGTGGTAGATGTGACCTTGCATCTTGTTCCTCTTGCTTCTAACCCATGAAGGTCTGGGTTAGAATTTTGATGCTCATGCTGTTGATCACTGGATTGTTTGGTCCAGACTTGATTATTTACAGACCGCCGCCATAAAGCTGGAATATTGCTGAGTCCGGCCTAAAACTGAACTCACTCACTCACTCTTCTTGCTTCCAGAAGTGACATCACTGAACCAGGAACACTCGTCCTGAAGTATCACAGAGATGGAACTGTCTCTTTTTATCAATTATGGTCTACACATATTCACCAAAAACATTTTAAGATGCATCATATATGGTTTATTTAGACAAACATTATTTTGTTAAAAATATAAAAAATAATATATTGTATCTATCTATACTTGTGTTATCGAAAATATGAAAGTCATAAAATAATCACTACATATTAGCCTGTGTCCACAAAATAAGTGTATCAACATAATATATACACATCACAATAGTTGATGATTCTGGTCACGATACATAATATCTGTAAAGAGCTTTGAACAATTGAAAGACAACTCTCTAGCTCCATGCCAAGTAGATCGTAATGAAAAAGCAACACGTTAAAAACAGCGTTGCAGAACAGTGATAACAGCGCTGTTTCATATTATGCAATGTGTTGACAATCCTCTTCAAACAAGTTACAGTACACTGTCTCAATTCTTTCCTGTAAATCATTGATCAACAGATTTTAAGGATAACATGAGAACATAACGGGACATCACGTTACGGAAGAGAAAGGTACGTGACACTGAACTATAGACAGATGTTTCTACGAGACAAACATTGTATTGCACCCTATTATTCAAGCATCTTTTACAATGTTTAGTCTACAGTTTAAAAAAATAAAGCTTTGAGCAATTATTTTACCCTTCAAATGCTGTTGGAATTGGATGTAGCATTGCAAAATGTGCTACCAACCCCACTATAAGTACTCATCTGTGCAAAATCCATAATGCTAAAAAATATGAAGGAAATTGAAAGTTATTTCAACACAGTTGGGGTTTTTTTCTCACATAAAATATAGACATTTCATGACAAAATCTTTGGTCATAGTAGAAAATGAAATTGTTGCATGGAGCAGATATTTAAAAAGTTGCTGATACAAAGGTATCGAAGGTTTTCTTCCTCTGCTGTATCCTGAGAAACTGAAAGTTATGATAAAAAAAGTCATGTAAAAAGTATGAAGGTTGGATCATTTTTATGTTGTCATACAAATACTTAGTCAAATCTTGAAATCAACAGAAATTGATTTCTAAAATATATGAATACTATAAAATAATTGTCCTCTCTGAGAAGGCTGTAAACATGATAAAACAAAAATTTGCATTGTTATGAGACAATATCACAAAACATTATGCCAGTTTGTTCACTGAGCTGATAAAGGTCTACATGATATTTCAATAAAGTTTATATACCTGAAATTTCAGGTGACATTGAAAACCCCACATGTCTATCATCAAGATTTACTGGTGGGTATATTGGAGTGAATTATATTTTCTATTATTTTATTACATACTACGCCAGCTTTCAACTCGTGTACCGGGTAAGTTTGGTCTCTGCTTTGATATGTAGTTAGTAGCTAAAACACATGTATATCAGTTTTATGATTATCGTGCAAAATGTCAATCATAAAAAACAAAATCTGTACACATCTTTTACATGGCAGATAAATACAGCTGTACATGACAACTGTTACATTTTGTCTGAAGATAAAACAGGTTTTCACAAAATATTTAAGTCAGTCATCTGTTGGAATAGCTGTTGTTGATCACAATCTTGTGTCAAACACCTTGTCCTCGTCTTGGAAGGCCTTGTTAATTTTTCCTTCCTTCATGGAGATGCCTGTGGAGGCATGTGCAAGGTTGGCGGCGCGGCGTATTGCGATGAGAACCGCTCGTCTTTAGGGTCCGCCATGTACTGTGGGTTCATGTATGCGTATGTCTGATTGGTGAATGGTCCAGGAAGTATTCCTGACTGGTTTGATCCGGTCTCTCCATCAGATGTGGACACGTCATCCTTATCAGAGATGCTGTCAGATTGGTCTTGGGCGAAGTTGACAAAAACCTGAAACAAAATCAATTCAGGCCTTAAAGCAGGCATGGTTTTAAAAAAAGGACTTTTCCTTAGATCACTCTTTGTAAAAGTCTTCAAACTAAAAGTTTCTTATAAACTATCTGTACTTTCAAGGTTTCCACCTACGTCTACATAACTAGAGATGGTTGTTCAACCGTTGATGTTACTGAATTGAATTGAATTGTATTTTGAACTGTTACCGCTTCTGTAAAGAATATAAGCTACACATCTTGTTGTCACTATAGCATCCAGGCCTAAGGCTTAAGATTATCACTAGATCCTAGAGTGTAGTCTCCTAGATCCTAGAGTGTAGTCTCCTAGATCCTAGAGTGTAGTCTCACATACATGTCTTATAAGTGTTCTCCTCAGGGTTGTTATATCTTTAAAAATTTATTTTGTTTCTGATATTAAAAACAGACCATCATGGCATGTCTTGTTTCACAAATATGTTTGAAATTAAGTCCAGTATTAATAACTCATGATACGTGATGTCCATTTTTGTCATTTCTGTGCTGGAGAGTGTTGCTGTCATTGTTGTGACATAGTTGTTTGAGGAATATCAGTATTGCCAATACTTACAGTATCCAGTGATGTTTGAGAGAGGGAGTATCTGGTGATGTGGTTCTTGTCCTGGGCTGTTTGGAGGATGGAGAACAGCTCTGACACACTCGTGGAGTTCCGTGGGATGCCAACTTCAAGCACACTTGAGTGCTGGTCCTAGAGTCATATTTCACAAATATCATCAGGGGTGTACCATAAACAACATGTACAGGCATTATAACAGCTATACAGCAGGGAAAGTCATTCATGGCTATACCTGAAACATCCATGGCTGCTTACCAGGTAACAGTGTTGCCCTCTTTGCCAACCCAATGGATTTAACTAGAATATTTTATAACCAATATAATATATTGGACAAGCAGAAACGCTATTTTACAATGAATGACTCCTGTCCAACCAAGGGCTCATTCTGCTGCAGCGTGATCATTGTACTACCCATGTTGATGACACTAGTACAAATACCAAGATTGCTCTGTAGAATATCGCCTTTGTTTTCACTAACAATGGATCAGATGAAAAATCTTAGTTTTAGTTTTGGATTTTGTAGATGAGAAAACAAGACTAGGAACAGTTAATATTCACCATTTATTGCAACCATTCACCCATCCTAAACATTTATAGATTTTCTTAGATCCTCCCCAAAATGATGGGAGTTTTTAGACTCTCTCGGTGTTCTTTCATGTTTTGGCCACAAACATGATTATACAGATCAGGTCAGGTTGTTACAGATCAGGTCAACATTGTGATAGGTTGTGACAGGGTGGATACAGATCAGGTCAAGGTTGCTACAGGTCGGGACAGGTCGGATACAAATCAGGTCAAGGTTGCAACAGGTCGGCATTGGTCGCTTACGGGTCAGGACAGGCTATAGGTTGGGACAGGGTTTGGTTTATTGATTAGATCTTCTGATCACCATATACATATTGGTCAGTTATATTTTTATGTTCAGTATCCTAATGTATATTTCATGACTATGGTTTATTACATATATGTTAGCATTACAATATATGATGGAGGGGTGTTATCTTTTGACAGGTGTATTGGATTCTATTTGAATTATTGTCATTGAATATTAAATGTTAAGAGCAATATTTGATACCCGAATTAAAACTGTTATATATTTAGGAACTAACAAACAAACTACAAACAGACAGGGTAACAACATGATGACTTATGACTTCACCACAATGTCCTTCTCTGTCCGATTTCACCCCCATGTCCTTCTCTGTCAGACTTCACCCCCATGTCCTTCTCTGTCAGACTTCACCACCATGTCCTTCTCTGTCAGACTTCACCCCCAGGTCCTTCTCTGTCCAATTTCACCCCCAGGTCCTTCTCTGTCCGATTTCACCCCTATGTCCTTCTCTGTCAGACTTCACCCCCAGGTCCTTCTCTGTCAGACTTCACCCTCAGGTCCTTCTGTCAGACTTCACCCCCATGTCCTTCCCTGTCAGACTTCACCCCCATGTCCTTCTGTCAGACTTCACCCCCAGGTCGTTCTCTGTCAGACTTCACCCCCAGGTCCTCCCTGTCAGACTTCACCCCCAGGACATTCTCTGTCAGACTTCACCCCCAGGACATTCTCTATCAGACTTCACCCCCAGGACATTCTCTATCAGACTTCATCCCAGGTCCTTCTCTGTCAGGCGTTACCCTATGTCTAAATCTGTCAGGCATTGCCCCTTTGTCCAGCTCTGTCAGGCGTTGCCCCTATGTCCAATCATTGTTCACTTGCTTCATAAAGTACCAAAATATCACACAAAAAGAATGCTGAAAGTCATTGCAATCTTTTACACCGATGACAGTAATTGTAACACATATTATTTCACTATATATGAGATCAGGTTAGGGTTTTAATAGTTAGCGTGATTAATGTGTTGGTTTATAGCAATATATGTGTATTGACACCCACAAGTATTAGCCATATGGTACGGACATATATTATGTATGTCAGGCATATACATATGATTAGATGCCATAAGTAAATATGATTAAACACCAAACATTGCAGAACATCAACAAATGGGCTTACTCAATAAATGTATTTAGAAACAAAAGTGATCATTTACTGAATCCGAATAAACCAGATAATTCTTGGAAGGATACATTAAAGGTCTTTAATAACAAGTATTTTTACAGCTCGCTGAACACTCAACTCTATTGGTAACTTATTATCAAGTGTGAAACTGGTATCATATGATACAGACAACAGCAATTCTGATTTCAGCATAAAGTTGTTTTATACTTAAAGATGACTGATACCTGAATGGATAGATAGATGACAGACAAGGAGGTTCACTATGACCTTTAGTCCTGGTGACCTCAAAGGTCGCCTTTACTAACAATGTTCACTTAAGTGAGTGAGTGAGTTTGGTTTTAGGCTGTTTTTAGCAATATTTCAGCAAAAACATGGCAGGGGACACCAGAAATGGGCTTCAAACATTGTACCCATGTGTGAACCTGGGTCTTTTACGTGATGATCAAAAAGTTTAACTTCTAGACTGCCTCAGTGCCCTGTTCACCTAAGACAAGACAGGAGTTGACTAAGTAAATAATCAGAACTACTACAATTCCTCACACTGACTCAAGAGTGATGACATTGATACAGGGGCAGGGCTTGGTACAAGTTCTATAGGAGTCTGCCAGGTGTACTAAGTTCTACAGAGTTCTATAGGATTTAACAGAACTGCTACAAATTTTCACACTGACCCGAGAGTGGTGACGTATATATAGAGACAGAGCTTGGTACTAATTCTTTACTATAGGGGTCTGCTGGGTCGGCTATGTTCTACAGAGTTCTATAGGATTCAGTGGAGTTCTAGGGGATTCTACATGACCCTGTTTCACAAAGCGATTGTAGTACTACGATTGTTGCAACATAGTGTTAAAGTATGGGAATTATGATCTTAGCGCATCAATCGCTTTGTGGAAAATGGCCTTGGATTCTGAACAGTTACCAACTACACAGGATTCTACAGAGTTCACATGTATATACAATGGTATCAGTAGATAATAAAAGTTTCAAAAGCATTCAGAGGAAATTCTCAGAGAACATCTAACAGATTTGAAAGTCAGAAGGTGGAACACATTTACTGTATCATACAAAGATCACAATGAATTCAGAGAACATCAGAAGAAACAAAAACAACGCTGATACGAGTGAAGTGGTGTGGAAGAGGACTTGGACAATAGCTAGGGGAGTTCTTCAAAATGATTGATTAAAAATTCTAAGAGATTCATCAAGTGAGGATTGAAAACTATCTGTATAAGACACTTGGTTCTCTGATATTCTCAGGTGAGATAAAAACCTGATGATGTATTCCTAAAGATGATTTATAACTACAAAGATAAATATCTTTGAACTTGAATGTAAACAATACATGTAGTTAATTTTTATTAAATAAATATACTACTTCTGCCAGTCACATGACAAGTTGTTTGTCTGGAACAGATTATACTTGCAATATTCATGATAAATGAATATATTTGTTTTTAACCACTTTCAGTTGACGTCTTGTATATCTTGTGATTGTAGCCTTGCAGGGTGACATCAAGTAGAACACAAGACAAACATTGATTAATTTAGATTTGAGATAACAAACAGGCATGCATCAGCAAGAATTTGTTATTTTGATATATTGTGATCATGCTACAGTGGTACCCTCACAGTCCATCGAGTGACATTTGGTGTGAAAAACAAGAGAGATGGTTCTATGGATGTGCAACTTCTTTATCACTGCAATGTTTCAGTGTAGATACAAAAATGCTATCAAGCATGTGATAATGGTGTTAGTATCTACACAGAAAAGTCTCACTTGCTTGATAAGATTATTAGTACCTACACCAAAACATTGCATTCATTGTAATAAAGAAGTTGTATATCGATATGATTATCTCCCTTGTTTGGACCTGAACTCTCTGGAGTATGAAGGTGTCACTGTAGGAGTTTGTAGGTTTATACCGGAAGACAAGAAACATGGCATGAAGGTACCAGTGAACACTGTGACATACATCCGTGTCACCCTTGACTATACACCCTTCAAATTTCCTCACAAGCCTCCCGAACTATTCTGATCCTGAATTATAATTAACTATCCATACATGAGAATTGCAGCAAAGTCGTAGTAAAACTGTGGTCTATGCGGTAAAGTGCGTTTTTATGAAAAAACATACTCATCCCGCATCAAACTGCATTTCACTTTGTGGTAAATGTTTTATATAGATTTTTTTCTCATGCGTTTTTTAAACTCTGAATTTGACTTGATCCAGCACAATGAACATGCAGGCCATATTACCCATGTAACCATACTGGTAACCTCTCCATCATGACTGAAGGGATTCATTGGAACGTCTTCATTATAAAACCTGAATTTTGTGCTACCAAATTCTTCCAACCATTGTGCCATATTTCTTGAGTATTAGGAGGGTTTGTCTTACTGTGAATTGTGCAGAGTAGTGGTCAGTAGAGCCAGCGGAGGTCATGGAGGCAAACAGCATCGTAGGGTCCACAGAGAAATTATAATAAAAACACTACTGACCTGGGCACCCACACTGACCTTGATGGTCGCGCCTGGGAAGCGGCTGAGGAAGGCTTGTTCAATGTTGAAGCGGTTGTTGGACAAGCCCTGAATGTGCATTGTTACTGTGTAGCCATCGCCGAACCTGGAGCAGGTAGCATTATTTTTTTAATTTTGTATTCAACCTTTGTCTATCAACTTAACCAAACCTGCAGAGGTTTTCAATTCTTTGAAGAGAGTCGTCCTTGGGGTACATATTATGCATTTTCCGGCTGAAAAATGTCCTGTGACAGTTGTATCAATGTATTTTGAATAAAAAGATTGTACAATAAATAAACTCTTTTATTTATTATACGGACCCTACCTCACGGAGTTACCTCCCTTGGCGCATGCGCACCAACTGGGTAGGCTCCTAGACCCGTATCATCATTCCTTCTGCTGAATTCTTATCAGTGAACAGAATTGCGGGGAGGTGGGAGGCCCTACCCCAAGGACGACTCTCTTCAAAGAATTGAAAACCTCTGCAGGTTTGGTTAATTCTTTTTCAGAGAGATCGTCCTTGGGGTACATATTATGCATAAACACAGACTCCCAAAGACCGGAGGCCAGGGAGGAGGGAATTCTGTCCAAGCACACTCAAAATATAGCGATCGTATCATGGAAAAAAAATTGAACAGACGCCATAACACTCACCTGTCACTCGACCCAGTTTCGCTTCCGCGAGAGGCATTATGGGAGGGGAACTGACAGGGAGGATTTGTGCTCAAAGACGACCTCTAGCATAATGAGACATTGCACGTAGTGCGAATATCAACGAAATCCGACCCACTAAGTGGCTTCTTTCATGAGAGCACCGTAGGGGGAAAACAAAAATACCACTCACTAACGATACAGTAACTCCGTAGAGAATCGAAAGGGGGTACAGGTTCTCTGAGTGAGCTCACATTAGCAGACATGTCAATAATGGAATCTTATTGTACAGTAGCGTCAAAACAAACCAATAAACCAAGACTCACTCGGTCAGGGTGGCAGGACACTGTCCACTGGAGAGAACAGTACGGCCAAAGTTTGCACGATTACGGGAATGCGTATCGAGCTGATAATGGCGTATAAACGTGCTTGGCCGGCTCCAAATAGCGGCGGAGCAGATCTCTTCAATGGGGAGTGCCGATGCAAAAGCTTTTGATGCGGCTACTGCCCTGACCGAGTGAGCCTTCAACCCCTCAGGGGGAGGCTTGCCCTTAGCCTGATAAGCGGCACAAATACACGATACTAGCCAGCGAGACAAAGTCTGCTTGCTCGCTGGCAGACCAGCCTTCCCGCCACCGTAACAACAGAACAGCTGGGTACCCGTACGGATCCCCTGCGTTCGTTTGAGATAGACTTTGAGCGTCTTACGGACATCCAACGGGTGAGTGCTCGTAGGAGTGGTCCCGATGTGGAAGGCTGGGTAAGAGTAGGAAGTTCGATAGGAGCTGTCACATGGAAAGCGTGATCGACCTTCGGTCGGTAAGTATCTGGGAGGCGAATACTGACACGATCCGTGTGAAACACAGTCAGCGCCGGGTCGGACGACATAGCATGTAAATCGCCGACCCTTCGACCAGATGTTACCGCCACCAGAAAAACAGCTTTCCAGGTCAACAACTGAATGGAAATAGCCGATAGGTGTGAGAAAGTGGGACCGGACAGCCAATCGAGCACGATCGACAAATCCCAAAGGTGGACTGGTTCGCCTGAGAGCAGGTCGAATCCGTTCCAGCGCCAGCGAAAGCGCTATGCGACGAGGGTGCTGCCCCAGAAGAGCACCATCGACAGGGGTGTGAAAAGTGGAAATAGCGGTGGAGTAGCGCTTGAATGGTCGAAAAGCCGCCAGGCCTTCTTCCAAACGAGCTTGCAAAAACTCCAATACCGGACTAAATCCGCAGAAAAGGGATCTGCAATCCCCTTATCTGAACACCAGCGCATATAGCGGGACCACCTATCCTCGTACTGAGCGTTTTTCGAATCCGCCTCGAAGCCAGAATTGTGTCTGCAACTGCTGCAGGAATTCCAGCGTGCCTCGAGGTTAGACCTGACAGAGGCCAAGCCACCCACTGAATCCGTGGATTTGGGTGGGCTCCGTTCTGAGTGAGAATGTCCGATCGCAAAGGTAATAGAACAGGAGGCTGAGCCAGAAACCTGAGAATTACCGAAACCAGCTCTGTGACGGCCAAAGCGGTGCCAGTAGCACAAGTAGCCGAGCTGGCTGGGTGGACAGCTGTGAAAGGACCACGGGGAATGAGTGGTAGCGGCGGGGAGCGCCCAGAGCACTTTGCCCGTCCAATCCAGCAGGAAGGCGTCGCAGCCAACGCCTGGGTCCGGTATCCGAGCAGAACACGGGTGTCTGATCGTCCGCCGGACGCAAACAGATCCACCTCGAGCGACCCGCACAACTGAGAGATTACTGTGAATATCTGCCTGTCGAGCATCCACTGCGTCGCGGGGCCAGGATCCGCGAGAGGCGCATCTGCTCGCGCGCTCTCCAGCCCGGAGATAAACAGGGAGTACCTGACAATGCGTACTGGTCGGCTCCAGAGGAGAAAGTCCCAGCGCTTCCGGAGGAGCTGGGGACACCGTGCCTCCCTGCTTCAGGATGTACGACATGGCCGTCTGGTTGTCTAACTGAAGACGGACTACCTGGCCCACGGACATGCTCTCTGAAGCGATCGAATACCAACGCACAGCTCTCAGTTCCAACACGTTGATGTGAAGGTGAGCTTCCGACTTCGGACCAGAGTCCGGAAGCCGACAGACTGCCCAGACGCCCCCAGCCCGTGAGGGACGCATCTGTCTGAACTGTGAGAGCTGGCGTCGGGGATTTCAAAGGGAACCCCCTGGTGAGATTCCGACATTTGTCCACCACTGAAGGTGAGGTGTCAACCACTTTCGGGGACTGTGAGACTGCGCTCCAGATCCTCCGTGTGAGTCCACAGCCCAGCCAAAGCTTGCTGTATGGGACGCATCCTCAACCGCGCCCGCCACACTACAGAGATGCGTCGCCGCCATATGGCCCAGTAGAGGCGGAGCCAAGTCCGTGCTGGTGCCTGGGGCTGGGAGAGGAATGAAGAGACCATCTCGAACTCTGGTGACCCGGTCGGGCGACAAGGAAACGAGATCCTTGTTCGTTTGGAATCAGCGCTCCAAGAAAAACCAAGTCCTGGGTGGGTACCAGGTCGGATTTCTTGAGGTTGATGATCCACCCCAGTCGAGTTAGAATGTCTATCACTGTGTGAGTAGCATCTTGACTTCGCTGGCTGTGTTAGTGCTCCGAGCAACCAGTCGTCTAGGTAAAGGGTAACAACGCCTTTCCTTGCGAAGCGAGCTAGGGTAGCTGGGACTAACATGAGCTTGGTGAACACCCTTGGGGCAGTCGATATGCCAAAGGGAGCACCCTGAATTGGTAATACATCCCGTCGTAAGAGGACCGAAGGTACTGCTTGAACGATGGATGTATGGGTACATGCAGATATCATCAGCATCCTTTAGGTCGATTGGCGTGAGCCAATCGCCGGGCTGAACTGAGATGAGATCACCGAAGCGCGCAGTGTCTCCATCTTGAAGGATGGTACTTGAGCATCGCGATTCAACCCCTTGAGGTTGAGAATCGGATGGAACCCGCCCGTCTTTCTTCGGGACGAGGAAGTGCGATGGAATAAAATCCCGCCTGTTCTCTCGGTGGTGGAATCGCGCCGATTGCGGACTTGTCCAGCAGAGCCTGAACCGTCAGCACAATATGTCCGCCCTGGCGACATGAGCGGCACGAGTCACGGCGTATGCCCGGTGAAGTCGGGCGGACCTCCGCCTTCCACAGTGGGAGATGGCCTATGCTGACCGTGGCCAGCACCTGCGTTGTTGGTAGCCTTCTCCCATTCTGGCAGGAATAGAGAGAGGCTGACCTCCCACTGGGATATGGGGTAGGAAGCGCGTGTAGAGACCAGTAGCCCGGAGCTGACTGGGCGTGACACCGCGGCTTGGCGGCAGCCTGATGGGTTAACGGGAGGTCGGGGGCAGACCTCCCAGCGCCCTTGAAAAGGCTGGGAGCTAGTCGAGGACTGCTCCTTGCCCCTACCCTGGCGGACCTGTTCCTCCGCCACCACCTCTACCAAGCGGCGAAGCCAGCCGGCAGACTTCGGGTGTAGGCTGCACCCGGCGGAGGAAGGTGGCCGCGGGGCCGAGGGCGAGACACCCGCGGGTGCTCCAACAAGGCCTTAGAGTCGTCCTTGAAGGAGGTAGCTGCAGCGGCAGCCTCCCCGTATGACCTGCTGGGCCCCTGGAAGAGGAGTCGGCTCCCAGGCGGGAAGGGAGGGCCAGCAAGGTCTGCTGTGTTGCTGCCGAGTACCTAGACGTCGACAGCCACAGCCTGCGATCCCCATGACTGCGCACATCACCGTCGGCGCAGCAGACCGCAAAGAGTCGCGAGGTGAGCCTGCACTTCCAAAAGCTGGCGGAGCAGCACGACATCGCGGCGTGCATTAGCCAGCATGCCCCTCCGCCTCAGGGCCGACCTCTGAACCCGAGGAGAGGTAGGCCTCATGGACCACCACCGCACCTGCTGCATGGCGTTCCGGTAGACCTCCTGAGGTCCCGATGCAGCGTGCCGCGAGGGGAATGCCCGAGGCAAAGGTGGAGTGAAGCCCTTGCCGAGGAAGCGGCGAGCTGCTCCGGAGGAAGCCGAGCCTCCCCCAGGCGGCGGAAGTGAAAACACATTCGTCAACATTTGGTACAACGAACAGGGAATCCTCCCCAAGCTGGTAGCGCCGCGACGAAGTTCAGGTAAGTCAAACCTTACCGGGCACCAGACAAGAGGGGATCGACCACGTCCGAGACCAACGATGGCAGAATCTGCGGAGCTGCGTCTGTGAGGGTTGCCTAGGGGCAAGCGCCCTCGCCAGGCAAAGCGGAACTCAGTCGGGAGTCCACGCAACCAGCAGGCACCGCTGCCTGGGGTAGGCCCTCGGCAATTCTCTGCCCGGACCTCCCGCCAGGCGAGAAGCAAAACGAAGCCGCCGTCATGCTCCTCGACCTCCCAAGCTCCATTGCCTCGGCGTCGAGCCCGAGTCAGAGGCTGGAGTCTCCTCCGTAAGAGGACCCTAACCCCGACCCGGTGGACTGCCTAACGCTAGGAACCACAGGAAGGGAAGAACAGACAGACTGCTCCACGCCAGCGCCAGCCGGCGTGCGTGGACCCCGGTCCCGAGGCGACGCTGGAGGCAGGCCAGGCAGAACTGGTGCCTCCGCTCTCATGGGGCGGGTGTGCGCCAGGACCGGAATACCAGGAATACTCAGCGGCCGCAGCGAGCTCGAGGGGACTGGGAGCACCTCCCTCTCCGGAGCAGCCGGGCGTCCGGATCCGAAGCCAGAGGCAACGGATCTACAGGCGCCTCAAGGCCGAGGGATCGAGCCGAGCCCGGCGATCCCACCCCGGACTCTCCGCCCCGTCCGGTGGGTGAGGAACTCCTGCGAGGAGACCTCCAACCGACTCACGAGCGAAGGACTTCATCGAGTCCATCTGCTGCTGAAACATAGACTCCATCAGTGACATGTCAAAACCACTCGAAGTGGCAGGAGAGGGGAAGGGCCACGGGATTTTTTTTCCCTTTTGACACACGTTTGGACTTAGAGCGGGGGAACCTGCGTCAGGTCCCCCTCCCGCCTCACGCGCATTTCCAGCGATAGAACAAAGGTGTCGGCAGCCCGCCTCTTCTGGGCCGGGGAAAAGGCCAGACAAATAGTGCAGGAGTCAGCCTCATGGCCTGTCTTCTCCAGACAGGCCCGCGCAGCAAATATGACTGTCGGCCGGGGATACTCCCCTCACAGACCGAACAGCATGAAAGGCCTGAAACAAACACGCAAACATGTTAGTTAACGCGGCCAGCAGCATATAAACACGTAGAAAACATTGAAAACTTCGTGAAGGTTACCACGAAAGTAATAGTTGGTTTTAATAACGCAATATTACGACCACATGGCACGCTAAACTTCCCGCCATGGCAGAGCAACACGTCATGTAACCACGGGAAAGTTCGTATTTTGTATTAATACAAAGTCACAATTATGAAACAACCAACTGTAAAGCTTTACTGTTCTTGTTTTAGACAAATAAAGACCATACATACAGGTGGTGTCTCAGACATAGTCTCTTTTAACAGCGCCGTGCATCGCTCATGAATGGGTTACTCAAAACACGTCTGTTCACGGCCGTGACAGCAGAAGGAATGATGATACGGGTCTAGGAGCCTACCCAGTTGGTGCGCATGCGCTAAGGGAGGTAACTCCGTGAGGTAGGGTCCGTATAATAAATAAAAGAGTTTATTTATTGTACAATCTTTTTATTAAAAAAACATTGATACAACTGTCACAGGACATTTTTCAGCCGGAAAATGCATAATATGTACCCCAAGGACGATCTCTCTGAAAAAGAATGTGTGTTTCATAAAGTCAAGGAAGCAACCACACATGGAGCAAATAGAAATGTAATATTCAATTTATCAAGTCTTACAACCTGTAACAAGTAAACTTACACCACCAATAAAAAGAATTTAAAACATTATTAAATTTTTCAGAATTTTTGTTGCTGCAGCATGTTTTTGATGCAGAGTGTATTCTTGACTTACTTCGACTTGAGATGCTGGGCACTGCCGAGACACATCAGTCTGCCGTTGACCATGATGGCCAGTCGGGAACACAGGGCATCACATTCATCCATGCTGGAATCAGATTCAACACATACTGAATTTGGACACTTCTTTGATACAAACTCAAATGAGAAAGTTACCCAATGAAGTTGTAACCAAATTGTTTCTCAAACTCAAACATCAAGTCACATGTATGGAACGAGTGAGTGAATGTTGCTTAATACTTTGGTCAGCAATTTTCCAGCTGTCTTGCTTTGGAGATGGTACTCTGGCGACTGACATGGGCAACAGTCCATGGCATCGGAGCACAGACAGGCAGGAGCTGAGTCACAGAACCTGTCCACCCGGTCTATCCTCATCTGAGATATCTCTGGCATTATGCAGCTCAAGGGACCTACTCTGACCCAAACTCTCAACAGTGTCTACAGCTTGTTCAGCTTGACCTGATCAAGTGAATACTAATGCATTGCGTGACCATGTCACAACTGGCTGGGTCTATTATTGTGATGGGGTGCACCTTTGTCAGTCGATTGTCAACATGTCCGAACAGCCGAGACAAGGTCGCCGTTTGACATCTCAGTGTCGACAAATCATCAGCAATGTCCTAACTTTCTTTTAAACTTAAAAAAGAAGCTACATGTGGTTTAATGTTTCCGATTCGGGCTTTTAGGCAGCGAGCAGCAACATGAATAACATAATCTGCTCCCATATTTAATGAAGTTAACTCGACCTGCCATTTGTGCCATTTAACCTCCCCGGTCATGCATATGTAGAGTAGCTCAGGTCAAGCTGAACAAGCTGTACCTGTGAGGGACAGTGTGATACTGGACCTTCCTGAATGATTCTTTCAGTCTTAAGAATGACTTAAAATAAATACAAAAATCTTATAAATAATTATTCTGAAGTGAAGATTTGTGTACACACATTGCAGATCTTGTTGGAAAAGGCCTTCAAGGTCGTCTACATCACAGGTAAATCAAGATTAACTCTTCAATCCATGCACTCCAGTGTATATGAGTTATTTAGGGTGAACATTCCTCCACTCACCTGTGTGAAGTCAGAACAATGGACTGTCCATTCTGTCCAGCCTTGGTTATACACTTCCACACAAGCCTCCTGGTGGCGGGGTCCATACCAGTTGTAGGTTCATCCTGCAAGGGAGGTAATAGTACTGAATCCTCATGATCCAAATCCAGCCATGATACAGAAACTTTATAACATCAGAATTGTGGACATCAACACCTTCACATGTGTAATTAACTCACTGAATTTGGTTTCACACATGCCTGCCCTTCTCATAAGACAGTGAGAGAAGGAGTTGAATATTGTTTTACACATTAATAAATGAGTCTGGAAGAATGTCCCATTCTATTACATTGTGCAGTCATAGAGTCTGACCATTCCATCCCCTAGTTTGCTGCCTTTGACAACATGCATGAAATGCTTAGGGTCAAGTGTGTCCAAGAACCCAAACAGGGACATAGATGGTGACATCTGAAGAAGGACCAAGTTTGGGTATTTCAAGATGGACTAGGTTTGGAAATTTGAAGAAGGGCTATGTTTGATTATTTGAAGAAGGACTAGGTTTGAGTGTATAAAGAAGCAATAGGTTTGAGTGTATTAAGACTGTTAGGACGAAGTATATTTACCAGGAAGAGAACGGGGGGCTCTCCCAACATGGCGATGGCCAGTGACAGCTTCCTTTTGGTGCCACCACTGTATGTGTTGATCGCCTTCTGAGCGTACTCAGCCAGGTGGAGTTTGCCCACCAAGTCCACGACCACCTGGTTTCAGAAAATAGTATTCCTAATCAGCATTGCACATATTCAGATGATCGCTCACATTTACACAAAATGGTCTTATATATATGTAGATATAATTAGGATTAATTCAACCTTAGGCAGTAAATGATATCTTTTGATATTTCAATTGTTCCTGTATATTAGAATTCTTGGCCCAACCAATTCATGTTCTTATATCCTAAAGGCTTTCCAATGTTCGTGGGTTGAAGTGTCCACAAACACAAGGAAACTCTTAGTAACTCTTGTCAAAAACAAGGAATTCTTTTTCTTTCAAACATTTACAGTAGACTGATCAGTGAAATAAGAACTGTTCCGGCTTCATTTTGTTTCTGTGTCAAGGAACAGCACAAATCCTCACCTTGTGAGCATACTGTTGAGACATGCCCTTCAGTTTGGCATGGCAGAAGAGGAGTTCCTCTCCGCTGAGGAAACCATCCAGGCCACCCTCTTGTGGACAGTAGCCAATCTCCTGGCCGAGGTAGGGGTCACCAGTGCTGATCCTGAAGTGGGAGTGAGGGAGTGAGGCTTACTGTTTTGAATATTAATTCAGTTATATGATGTCAGCTTCAAACAGCTTGAAACATGCAATATGGTGCTGACTCTGAAAGATGATTTGGAGCTTCCCCCAACACAATCCGATTCCATCATCCCCCTTCACTTCAAACTGAGGTACCTCAAAGTACTCGGTTTGTTTAGTGATGCTGTAGGTGTTGGTGTACAACTTACTTGTGTCCGTTCAAGTATGCATCTCCGCTGGAGGGGCTGGTGTCCCCTGTCAGCATCCTGAAGGTAGTTGTCTTGCCAGCACCATTTACTCCCAGCAGCCCAAAGCACTGAGTTCAAGCAGATAGAGTGATATCAAACACATTAGAGAAAGTGGTAGTTTTTAGTGTTCAATAAATGATTGACTGATTGATTTTTATTATTTATTTATTTATTTATATATTTATTGATACCACACAGATAGTTAGGTAATCTGACCTTCAGAAGTCACCCAGTGATTGATGGCATGTGGCATTAATGATTTCTACTTTCATGCACCTGTTATTAATGCTTCATAACATCAATCACTAGTTTGTTATTTACAGACTGCCATCATTGCTGTGTCTAACAACTAAAACAACTTATTGTATACAATTACAAACATTGGCCCGAAGATCCTGCAGATGTTTTACATTACTTCGCTACATGACAATATTCATATATTCAGGAGTTCCTCACCTCTCCCTTTGAGACACCGAAGCTCAGGTTGTCCACTGCCAGGAATGATTTCCTGCCTCAAATTGAACTTGACGAAATGATTTCCTGCCTCGTCGGTACATCTACAGGAAGGTCAAGGTCACATATATATATATATAAACATTGACCAGAACTATGATAAGCAAGCTACAAATTGAACTCGAAAGTGAATTGGATTACACCATATTTGTACATCTACAGGAAGGTCAAGGTCACATCTATATATAAACATTGACCAGAACTATGATAAGCAAGCTACAAATTGAACTCGAAAGTGAATTGGATTACACCATATTTGTACATCTACAGGAAGGTCAAGGTCACATATATATATAAACATTGACCAGAACTATGATAAGCAAGCTACAAATTGAACTCGAAAGTGAATTGGATTACACCATATTTGTACAAGTAGACACTAAACATAAACAAACTACACTGTAAGATAAGAAAAAACCTTGATGAACAAAATAATTAATAACCTTCAGAAAGAACACGATTCAAATCTGAAAAGCCTTCTTTTTTATTTATTTATTTTTTGTCTGCAGGCAGGATTTAAAGATATAACAACATTTGGTCTTATTATTATAAAGGCATTTGGATAGTTTTATTTTATTAATTACAACTGATATCATCCTCACCTTTGAAAGCCCATTGACATAGAGAAGATCATCCTTGGTCTGTCCACGTTGTATACGAAGTCTCTCATTCTGCACATCTCCATCTTCCTCTGGGATCTCCAACAAGCGGCTGGGGATTCTGCAGCAGGAGAAATTCAAGAAAAGTATGTAATTTTTCAAGTAAAATTGATATTTTTATACTTATCCCGACTCATGATATTTTGCTTATCTCCCTTTTCCTTGTGAATGGAAGAAAAAATATAACAACATATACATAGTGGCTTGAAAATAATTTCATACATTCATCGAACATTCATGCATGAATGTGAAAATATTTGTGCCATTTTAAACATTATTTTGGCCAGTGCCACTTTAGTCAACAAATGCTTACACCACTACTCCATAGCCATATATGACTGCCTCCGTGGTGTAGTGGTTAGGGCGTCTGCCCGGAGTGCGGAAGGTCGCGGGTTCGATCCCCTACCGCGTCATACCAAAAGACGTTAAAATATGGTACTTGTTGGTCCCTGCCTGGGACTCGGCATTAATGGGTACAACAAGGACTGGTTGGCTCGGAGTCAGTATAATGTGTCTGAGTGGGGTATTCATGCTTCACTGCGGCATGGTATCTCAGTGGGCTAGCACTATAAAACCAGCTTAAGTCTGGGCTAGTACAAGCACATACACGAGCATGCACGTCGTCATATGAGCAAAATATTCTCAAGCACGACGTTAAACCCAATTCCACCACCACCACCATAGCCATATATAAGATATGATGTATCATGCCATGTCCATATTAAACAGTACTGATTTTCATGTATGCTTGACACATAGTGCACTTAAATTAGAACTGGAAAAGTTTATGACTGATTTAATATACAAGCTGCTTTTGACTTAACTGAGTTCATATTAGGAAATAAAGGAGACCTTTTCAAACATATCAAATTGAAACATCAAATCACAAAGAGTTACCTTGTGCCACTGCTACCTCTACTTTCAATGATGATCGTGACTATGAAGAACACAAGACCCTGAATTCCCATGGCAACCAGGTTCCAGCCCAGCATCTCAAAGGAGAATGGATCTACATACACATCGTCTCCAAACCTAACAAACAGCAAGTACTTGTAGTGGTTCACTGTGATGTCAATGAGACCTTGACCCATGCAGAATTGGGGGAAGATGAGAAACAAGTAGCGGCAGACATTGAATGCTTGACCAATTTCCTGAAGAATGAAGAGATATATATTGATTTAGTTATCCCACAAGCTGATATATTTCGAAATTTTTCAGTTTTGAAAACATTCATTTCTAATAGTGAGTGAGTATTGTTTTATGTCGCTTTTAGCAATATACCAGCAACATCATGGCAGGGAACACCAGAAATGGGCTTCACACATTGTACCCATTTGGGAATCGAACCCAGGTCGTCAGCGTGACAAGCGGATGCTTTAACCATTACGCCCCCTCATTTCTAATAATGCGTGAAAGCTGCAATATTAGGAACTATGTCTTATCATGTCATCTCATTTCAGAGACTATTCTTTGTTGTCAAAAATAGCTGTCATGAAAGTAGCTTACCGTGCCAATAGTCTGGAAGATGATGAGCACGAAGATGGTGATGATGGTGAGTATGCCGATAAGCATGTTGAGGCAGAACAGTGTGAGATATGCAGCTGAGGCACTCTTGAACAGCTTCAGCATCATGTACATCAGTGGTATCACTGACCATCTGGAGAAAAACGGGGGATTGTTAGCTCACCATATCAGCAGTCATGGGTTTCCATGAAAATAACAACATGGACACCACAAGATTTCAAGTTGTTTCAGAATGGTATGGTATCTTTATAATAAGTAAAGGATCTACTTTCAAAATAAATATGAGTGAGTGAGTATGGTTTTACACCGCTTTTAGCAACATCAAGACGGGGGACACTAGAAAGTGGCTTCAGGCATTGTACCCATGTAGAGAATTGAACCTGTGCCTTCCGCATGACGATCGAACGTTAGCTACTTGGCTACCCCACAACCCCAAAATAAACGTGAAGGGCAGCCATAAGGACATCCATCTGCTGCCTATCACATTTGGTCACATTTTGTAAATATTTCTATCATACACATGGAAACATTCTCTATCAGTTGATAAATGTTCAAATTAAGAATGCTTCAGATCTAATGAAGCATTTTAGAACAAGACATTTGTTGCTGTTGCTGCTTATCAATGACAACGGCCTGTAAATATTTGACTGGTGGCTGATATTATGAGCAAAAATGCATGCCATGAGGGCATGGTGACTTAAATAACTTGTGGGTATGTGAGTTTAGTTTAATGCCGCACTCAGCAACATTACAGCTATATATAATCGTGTCTGGACCAGACAATCCAGTGATCAAAAGCATGAGCATCAGTCTACGCAACTGGGATACGATGACATGTGTCAACCAAGTTAGTCGCCTCGTCTGACAAGCATGGAATACTGTAAATCAGTTCTAACCCAGATTTTCACGGGTGACTTCATCAACTAAGTCACAAGATCTGTCCACTTAATTTATGTTTATCTTGTACAATGTTCCAGCAATATCACAACAGGGGAAACCAGAAATGGGCGTCACACATTGTACCCATGTGTGGAATCGAACCCAGGTCCACTCGACTACCCCACCGACCCACAATCACTACAGGTGGCTGGGTCAACTGAAACCCAAGATCTCCATGTGGCCATTTTAGTCTGACATCAGAAGGAACTGCAGATTGTACGTACCCATACAACATCAAGAGACTGACCACTCCAGCGAGGTTCTGTCTGTCCCAGTAAGGTCCGAGTTTGAAAATGGCTACTGCCACCACAGCCAAGGCTACAGTGAGACTGTACAGTATCTGGAACACAGAGGCCATGGGTTGAGTGAAGTTGGAACCAGATTCATTATTAGGTTCAAACAGAAAACTAATGAAGTGAGTGAATACATGGGTGGATGCACGGATCTTTGCCGTGACGAGCAAACACTATAACCACTAGGCTAGCCCACTGCCCTGCAGAATGATCCAGTGTTGTAGTAAAGATCTGTACTGCACCCAGCCATGGGAGATACTGCAGTGACAGTATACTATACTCTATTCTACATTGGCTGCAGCCATCATTAAGTACCAGAAACAGTGCCATTTCTTGTTCCTTCCATCACTGGACAATGAGCATCAGTTTTCAGCATTTGTTGCAAGGAAGTAGTGTACAGACAAATTATTATGACTATGATTTGTGATTATTATACTGACCATGTCCCATACGAATGAAGTGATCCAGTAGAGGACAGGACCCACTCCGCTGATGAACTGCAGCTGTTTCTCTTTGTTGAGGTTTTCATTGACAAGGTAGACCATGAAGGCACTGGAGATGAAGGTGAAGGCCAGTAGGAAGACCAATGAGATTCCAGCATCTGTAGCTTGCTGACCCCTAGAAACAGAGAATGAGTCTGTGAGTGAGATTGGTGTGAAGCTGCTTTGAACACTACATCAGTTGTCTATACAACATATATAGTGGTGAGTGAGTGAGTGAGAAATTTCAAAACAATATTGTGTAATTATCGATTACAACCTGTGTCATAAAAGAAGAGGACATGGATGACTTAGTGATTTCAGCATCCTTATTGTCATGTATGATGATTGTACTTGGTTCATAATGATGATAGCACCTGTACCAAACCATTACTTTGAATGAATAAAGAAGCTGAAATCCCCCTCTCAGCTTTGTCCTCAAGTGCCTATGCGAGTGAGTGAGTGAGTTTAGTTTTATGCCTCTTTTAGCAATATTCCAGCAATATCACGACAGGGACACCAGAAATGGGCTTCACACATTGTACCCATGTGGGGAATAGAACCCGGGTCTTCGGTGTGACGAGTAAAGGCTTTAACCACTAGGCTACCCCACTGCACCTCTATATTTAGTATGTAGTGACACCATTTTCAGCAAACATCAAACAGTATCATTTGTCACATAAATGGGAAACACTTTTTTTTTAGCTCACAAGACTGATAACTACGACAGCAAAACCTTTTTTTCAAACATGTCACAATTTAAGAAGAATGTGCATACTCACATGTTATCCAGTGACAACTTCATTGTGTGCAGCGTTATTGGATGATTGTAGGCACTGATGCCATATTTGGAGGGGTCTGTACCGGCCTTCTGTCCTAATTTAGCTCTGAGGAGCGAGTTACTGAAGGCATTAAAGAATGCTGGCATAGCATGGTAACCTTGGTTGTTGAACCACACGGTGGCAGCCATGTCGCTGTCTGTTCCTTCTGGACCTACCTCATAGGACCAGCCTCCGTACCTGCATGGTCAGATGTAGACAGTGAGTGCTATATACCAGTGGCAGTTGGCCAGGTAAACTAGTCATGATCCATATTGTAAAGTTACAATAACGTACAGCCTGTCAATACACAAAGCATGACCTACCAATCCCCATCTTAGACAGCTCTTACAAACCAGGGTCTCAGATGATGGTGGGATCTACAGGCAACAAGACTGTGATTAAACAATATTTCAGGTTTCTTTTTTGATCATTATGCAAAGATGAAGGATGGAATATAAGTAAGTATCAAAATGTAGTCAAGGTTCAATTGAAGTTAATAACTTATAAGAAACTCTTGGTACACAATAATGTATGTTTTCAATCACACAAAATTTTGAATACTTGTTTTTCTGTTATTTCAGGCAGGCTCGCCTATATATGAGATAAATATGTCCTCCAAAATATGCATGAAATACACAGGAAGAACTAACATCAACAAATTCAAACAAACTGTTCTTGGGGAACATAGACACAGAGGTTTCCACTGTATCTCGGCCTCGAAGTGAGAGAAGCAAATAATAATAAGCAAAAATCAATGTTTTTACCTTTTTTCAATGAATTCACCGAAACTGTGAAGAAGATACTGTGAGATGTCCTCTCCTAGCAGGTCCTGCAGGTAGTTGCCGGTCGGGGTGCGGATGTTTCTCGGGAAAGGGACTGAACCCGGCACACAAATCTGTTTGAAGTCCTCACATGAACATCCATCATTGTTTGTCTGAGGAACTCGGGGGTTGAAGTATCTCTTTGTCCAGTCACATGTGACTGGTAAACTGAAAATGATGTTTTACTTCGTAACAACCTTGTTCCGCAAAGCAATTTCATGTTGATCATAAACCTCATGCTTTAGCCTAGATCTGTGACAGCCATAGTTGTTGTTCCATACTTGAGCAGACTTACAGGAGCCATGGTGCTATGATGTTCGTAACCCCCATACTTGAACATAGTGAATGAGTGAGTGAGTTTAGCTTTACGCCTCACTCAGGAATATTCCAGCTATATGGCGGTGGTCTGTAAATAATTAAGTCTGGACCAGACAATCCAGTAATCAATAACATAAGCATCGATCTGCGCAATTGGGAACCGACGACATGTGTCAACCAAGTCAGTGAGACTGACCACCCAATCCTGTTAGTCGCCTCTTACGACAAGCATGGGTTACTGAAGGCCAATATTCTAATCCGGATCTTTACGGGTTACTTGAACATAGACTTACAAAGTAAGTCCCAAGGCGGTTGTAACTCCTGTAGACTTACAACAGACTTGAACATAAAGTTACAATGGTTATTGTTATAGTATGATCAGAAAACAGAAAAATATTCCTAATTCAATGGTGTCTTTTGGATCATAGACATAAATATACAATTCTGCAGTAGCCAATTTTAAGAATGTAAAACTACAGAAGAAACAGAAGATGAAATTGGCTGATACACCAACCTGCCATGACAAAATCTTGCATGAAACTAAAAAAGTCTGACCAGTTCTTACCCAGAATCAAATCCTTCCATACAAACAGTGCCAACTCCAGGTTTCTGGGTCAATGTTTCCGCAATTCTGTCACTCAGTGATTCGTAACTCATGTCTCTGGAAAAAAACATGAATGTATTAGCAAGCATGCTTTTTATATTGTGAACCAAATCAAGTTGAACAAAGCATGAATACAATGGATCTGCTGATATGCTGTTTATCATTTACGCCAAAGGTTTAATGTGTAAACATGATATATACTAGGTTTTATTCCCATTATTTGTGTGAGCGTGTATCTGGTGCTCATAGTACATTGTATTGATGCGTGGACACCAGAAATACTCCCCACAGGGGCTTGTGTTTCACTAAACTGAATCCATTGTCATGCATCCCACAATCCCAGATTACCTGACCTCTCCATCAGCGAAATTGTCTGGCAATGCTACTCAATCTAAGATACCAATGAAGAATGTGAGTCCCAAACCAACCTGAATATTCGGTTGACAACATGAACATCATGGCAATATGAGTTACCTCCCTTACTAATTTCCTTATCTCAAATTTCATTGGTCAGTTAACTGTTAGTGTAAACAAGGCCAACTGGAATGGATCGTGGGGTTAGCAAGGTTTACCAAAATGTCATGGATATAAAGCGGATGACCACAAATAGGCCAGAAATTGACAAGCAATGTAAATACACTCAGTATACATACTTGAAGAACATGTAGTTGTCAGGGCCATACAAGTCCGGTGTCAGCAGCAAGCTAGGCATGGCCTCCATCTCAGGACGGATCGTGGCAAAACCCATGGATGTCAGGAACAGCAAGAACGGCAGAAGCACGATGGAGAGGTACATGCGCCAGTCACGGCGGTAGTGGTGGAAACGTTTCAGCAATAGTGCTGACATCTGCTGGAGCTTCAAGGACAAGCCGGAGTATCTCACCCGACCAGAGTCCAGCATGTTCACTGTCGTCTCTGGGGAAACAAGAGTTCACAAGTGTTCAACGGTACATAGACTCCAGATTTGTTTTTGTCTTTGCAAAAAACCTTACAGGCAGATATTACAGATATCTGAAAAAGGCTGGTAGGTTTAGATTCCACAACCAAGATTCCATGAATTAATGTTACCTTGACACATATTTGTACTGTACTGTTACCTTCCCCGAGTTAAAATATTTCATTATGAACAAGACTCATACTGATACAAACATAGTTACCTGGATAAAGTCAATATGAAATATTGTTCCATGCTGCACCAAGACGATGTAAAGTATACTATAAAGTATCGTTAACCTGATGATCTGAGGACTGCATTAAGTAATGTTACCTTGACTGCTAGTCTCAGATGTTGTATCGCTGGCGGTCTCTGTAACAGTTCGGGTACGTAATGGTTTGAGGCGTTCTTTCTCCAGGACTTCTTCATCCAGGACCACGTGGTCATCTGCCAGAGCTGTCACTTTCAGGAAGACCTGGAATGGTAAGATAAGCATCACCACATTTGATTCTTCCTTTTCGTGTTTTTGTTGGGGTTTTTTAACACTGCATTCAGCAATATTTCAGCTTTATGACAGCAGTCTGTGAATAAACTTGTCTGGGCCAGATAATCCACTGACTGACATCACAATCACTGATCTACACAACTGGGATAAGATGAGGTATCAACCAAGTCAGAGAGCCTGACTACCCAATCCCTTTAGTTGCCGCTTATGCCAAGCATAAGTTCATGAAGATCATTTCTAACCTGGATCTTCAAGGGTACCCAACTTTCCTTTCAAAAACATATATAATATCAATCAATTATAAGAAGATAACGTGACTTTCAGACTAAATGGAAATCAGGTTCTATAAAACTCCTCAACACATCAAGTACATTCAGGTGAAGGGCACTGTTTACATTCTACAAGTTACTGCTCTGAAAACTAATCAATTTTTTCATAATATCATTCATAATTGTATAATATTCATATTTAATAAAGAAAATTATATGTAAACCAAATTCTCAAGATTGACATGCATTGTTCTATCTTACATCTTCAAGAGTAGTATCAGAGACGCCATAGCTGCTTATACAGAGCCGATCACAATTTTCATCAAGCTTCCTGAAGAATATGTCGAATGGTGTATGGACACTGTCCTCTCGCGGCAGGCTGAAGGTCATCTCCGTGCCATACTCCTCCACAAGCTGGACTCTTGGCAACATCGTCTTCATGAAGCTCAGGACCTGACCACTGTTGCAGTCACCTGTATCGGAATGAGCTCATGAGTGACAAATAATTCATCACCATACTCAGAGATAATACAACTAAATAACATCCAGTCAGGCTTATATTAGACCAGGATAAGCAGGCGATGTTTGTGAGGTGACTATCCTTTTAGGATACAAGGATGTTGGTTGTTCTTCCTGATCTGTCCATACAGACATTGTAGTCATACAATCTTCATTTTGTCATTTGTCAAACAGGCCTACCTATATGACACAAAAACAGCTCACTGACAAGCATCTCTAATAATTCACATTGACATGATAATAAGCCAATAAAACTAATGTTCTTCATAATTCTAAGAATGGCTTTGAATAATTACAGCCCCGGGTATGTCCTTATATTTGGCACTCATCGTATACTCACTTTGGTTTCCATTAAACGTTCCAGTTGCCTAAAATAGAAAAATATAATCACTTAAAATTCTAATATTAATATATCTTTTACTTTATTACCAAATTTTATTAATATTGGATATAGACAATAAAATAATTTTCTGAATTTTTGCATGAAGATCTGTAGTCATTTCCAATGAAGTCATGTCAGGTGACCAAACTTTGACCACACAATCTCATATTAGGATGTCTGAGTGTCAATCACATGCCAGCTTTATAATTTAAATTGGCTGTATTTCGTCTGCACCTCCATTGGGATATTTGGAGTTAGGAAAAAGAAAACACACATAGATCTGATAATATCATTGACATTAGTTTTTGGTTGGTTATTTCATGATCTGAAATAGGAAAAAATCTCACTTTTAAATAGAGAGGTATTGTATAAGAAGAGTAAAAGATCAGATTTGAATGCAGAGAGGTATCACATCAAGAGTGAAAGATCTGATTTCAGTGAGGAGAGATATCAAAGATTTAAGGAAAACTGGCTGCAGTAAAGCTAAAATAATTCCACAAAATGAAACATTTCCAACCTCCATCTTGGCGGCCTTCTCCGCAGTGAGATGATACCCTCCACCCAGCTTGGACTTGAGGAACATGGGGGACCCACAGCAAAGAATGTGACCCTCATGCATGATGGCGATGGTGTCTCCCACTGTATCAGCCTCGTCCAGGTGGTGAGTCGACAGCAGGATGGTCCGCTCTATGACACCACAAGAAATATCATTGAATCTGCTGGTGTTCCAGAATTCTTACACTGGCCTCAGAAATAGTGAGTGAATGGTTCTACGCGCAGTATTTCTGTCACATAGCTGTTTATAAATTTGATTAGTATTGTACAACATACTTAGAAGTATAATCAGAGTGACCAGAGTCTCAGTTGTCTTAGACAACTACAACTGCATATCTATGAATAAGTTTATTGGAAACTTTATTATTCAATATTACATTATTACAATTTGGAATCTATTGTTAGCTTTCAAGTAACACACAAAAACACATTTCTACAGAATCAAATAAAAAAGCTCAGAGGCATTCACACGGACAAAATAAGACAATATGGCAAATCTTCTGCAGCCATTACCAATATCTGAATTTTCACAATGTTCTCACCAAGTCTCTGTTTGGTTATCAAGTTCCAGATGTGTTTCCTTGCATGTGGGTCCACTCCACTGGTGGGTTCATCCAGCACAATTGCCGTGGACCCTCCAACAAAGGCCAGCGCCACAGACAATCTGCGCTTCATGCCACCGGACAGCTGGCTGACTCGGACATATCGGACATGATATAGGTCAACATCCAACAGGAGGCTGTGGAAGACAAGTTGAGAGAGATGTCAAACACAAATGATCTCAGAAAATCTATGCAAGATCAGCGTTAATTTTAGATTTTCTTTCTCTGTCTAATATATAGTTTCATTCATAATTCTGGGATTTTTTCAAGGTATCGTTTGATTCATGAGTTGTGAAGAAAGCAGTAGCTTTGCCTACCTCTTGATCTCACGGGCTCGGTCAGTGGATGACCAGTCACACTTGATCCCGGAATACAGCTCCATGTGTTCCTGGACTGTCATGCTACAAGGAAGGTACATATGTGTTATACACCAGCTGGTGAATATCAGTTGGACTAGAACTATTAATAATTAATATTATTACCATGTGCTGTCCATCACACACTAAAAGGATTTAAAACTGATAACTTGTCTTTTATGAAGGGGAGTTATTTTCATAACTTCGTTTGGACCAGGCAAACCAGTGAATGATAAAATGGCTAACAAACAATGACATAAAGTGAAACAAAGTAGCTAATCAATCCTCATTTTGATCAGAAAGCCTGGAGAACTTGTTATCTGCTCAGAATCTCCACATATGGGTTATTCAAGTGTCTATAGACACTTACTAGTCTAGGAGTGTGTTGTGTTGAGGACAGAAGCCAATGGTGCCAGCTGATCCCTTCTGGTTGATGAACACGTCTCCAGACGTAGGTTCCAAGATTCCGATCAACATTTTCCTGGGGAAGAACATTTGAATTAGAATTAGTATTTAGTGTGAGTGAGTTTACGCAGCAATATTCCAGCTATATGGCGGCGGTCTGTAAATGATTGAGTCTGGACCAGACAATCCAGTGATCAACAGCATGAGCATCACTCTATGCAACTGGGATATGATGATATGTGTTAACCAAGTCAGCAAGCCTGACCACCCGATCCTGTTAGTCACCTCTTACGACAAGCATGGATTACTGAAGATCAATTCTAACCCGGATCTTCATGGGTCTGAGTCCAGAGAACTGAGAAAAGGTGTAACTTCAAAATAATCTTGAAAACCAGATGGTTGGCTTACATTGTTGTTGTCTTGGCAGCACCATTGTGTCCAAGCAGGGCAGTCACCTGTCCTTCGTAGAAATCGGCACTGATGTTGTCAACAGTCACTTTCTTCCCGTACTTCTTGGTCAGATTCCGTACAGCCATGCCTGGTATTCCGGAACCACCGCCTCCAGATTCAAACAGTGTGACTGATGGGGACAAGAGTGAGTGGGGTTAGTCCATCAATATCTCATCAAAACTTCAGTTATATCACTACATGTCCCATGTATAACAGGTTCCTGGCATGCCTAGGGGACACAACTCTACAGAGAATTGTGGTACCAGATGTCTATGTAGGATTTCAAACTAAGTGACTAAAGTGAGAATTTTGTATTTTGTTTGAATTAGGACATATTATAAATTTCTTTTACTAAAATTCCGGGATATTTTAGCAGAGCTAGAACTGTATTCACATATTGTACCCATGTGAGGATTCAAACCCAGGACTTTGGTCTGATGAGCGACCACTTTAACCACTAGGATACCCCACCATCCCCTATTGCCACAGGAACAGTAGACAGTAATAAAGCCAATAACATAGAATTACTCAATAACTTATCACTGAGTGTTGATTTCTGCACCTGTCAGTAGTAAGTATTTTTATACAGCAACTGTTCAAATTATTCATCTAACCATGGCAGGGACCATACTCTAACACAGCTAAATCGATATACACAGCATTAAAGAATATATCTTCACCAACCTATTTAAACTACCTGATCATTACACAAGTCATAACAAAACCTAATTTCAACCATTTTCTTTGGTTTGAAAACTTGCCCCTTCAGCTGAATTGTTAACCAGAGTTGTCTCCCTTATCTGGCACATCACTCACCATTCTGAGATCCTACTCTGGAGGAAAGGCCACTGGTTCCTTTGTGCTTCCTGCCACACCAGTAGGAGGGGGACACTGGGAAGTACCATGGCTGGGAGGTGCCAAATTTACCTGCAAGAAGCACCAAATAGTTTAATCACAATTTTTGTCTGGGCATCATGCCTTTAGTGACAATCAGAATCATTTGTTCATTAAGCAATAAGAAGACATTTGAAAAGTTGGAGTGAGACAGGGATACACTTAAACTTAAGGAGTTGTTAGGTTTACACAACTGTGTATTTCAGTTAGATCATGGCAGGTGATCAGCTGGAAACATGTGGTAATTCAAAAGTGATGCAAGTCTCACCACCTTTGTGAGGCCAGCAAGAAAGGAGGGTGAGCCTGGAATTGGAATCATATGATTCTAGCAGACCAAACTGGATACAACAGTGAGAAGCAGGATTTAATACTAGCCATATTGACACACTGACTGACTGAGTTTGGTTTTACGCCGCTTTTAGCAATATTCCAGCAACATCACGGCGGGGGACACCAGAAATGGGCTTCACGCATTGTACCCATGTGGGGATTCATATTGACACACAGATCCGAGAAAGATTGAGTGGGTTTAGCTTTATGCAGCACTCAGCAATATCTCAACTATATGGGAGTGGTCTGTCAATAATAAGTCTGGACCAGACAATCCAGTGATCAATCTACTCAACTGGGATATGATGACATGTGTCAAACAAGTCAGCGAGTCAGGCCACCCAATCCCATTAGTAACCTCTTATGACAAGCATTCTAACCGGATCTTCACAGATCACCCAAGAAAGAAAGAAACACTTGTTTGTTGTATTTTACCCCTTGTAGTGACGACCTTTTGTGTGCATCAACACGATTCACACTACCACAACTGTAAGCTATACCTTATACAGTTTACAGGCTGCTGCCACATTAGAAGTATGGTCCACCTCACCTGGCATCACAGTCCTGACATACCAGCCAAGGACAAGATAGATGGCGCTGTCAATCAGCATCATGTAGCATGCCCAGGAGAAGGTCATCGGATCCTCAACCACGGGACTGCTTCCGATGTTGTCCCACTGGAGACCGATATTCTGCATCTCAAGACGAGACAAGTACTGAGCAGCAAACCCAAATGCACTGGTCGACAGCAGACACTGAAAGACAAAAGTGAAACATGAATTGTTTGGAGCAAGCCATATATCATTTGAAGGCAAACACAACAGAATTCCACATGTATTCTTACTTTCATCTTGCAGCAATACATTCTAAACAATCCATATACTGCAGTATGTGCCACCTATCTTAAATTAAATTACATTTGTGACATCATTCCATTGTCTGCTCGCTCCATCACTTTTCAGGAATTGAGCGAGTTTGTACCAGTTTCAAATTAAAAGCCTTCATTTTGTCATTTTGACATTTAATTTTGACAACAGAAATATTCCCAATACTTTGAATGTAATTTAAGTAGAGTAATATCCTCATAACTCTCCATTCCTTAAAAATGATGTGCCTCGGCCCCTCCAGGGCCTCAGCTCCATTATTTTTAAGGAATGGAGAGTTACTCGGACATTACCCTCTACATAACCAATGTATGACAGAATACACATATTTTAGAAGGCCATGGTAACAAGATTATTAAAAGGGAATTTGTAAATCATTTTAGATTTAGTTTTTAGGAATACAAATCATTCTGTTTTCAAAACACAATACCTTAAACATGGTGCAATTTGTTTCAAGAAATTTCAAAACAATATTGTCTAATTATCAATTACAACCTGTGTCATCAAAGAAGAGGACATGGATGACTTAGTGATTTCAGCATACTTATTGTTATGTATGATGATGGTACTTGGTTCATGATGATGATAGCACCTGTACCAAACCATTACTTTGAATGAATAAAGAAGTTGAAATCCCACTGTCAGCTTTCTCCTCAAGTGCGAGTGAGTGAGTGAGTTTAGTTTTATGCCTCTTTTAGCAATATTCCACCAATATCAAGGCAGGGGACACCAGAAATGGTTTCACACATTGTACCCATGTGGGGAATCAAACCTGGATTCTCGGCATGATGAGTGAATGCTTAACCTCTAGTCTAACCCACCTCCCCCTAAGTGCCCCATGCATTCTGTCTGGTTAACTACCTCCCACATGGTATGTACATGTACAGGTGACCAATGTACCCACCGCTATACTCTTCTGCCAGAACGTCATGCTGACTTCCATGGAGACGAGGACGATGTAGGGAAGATAGGACAAGAAGTAAGTGATGAGCACCATCAGGATGGCCAAGGTCACACGCGTGAAGAATGCACTCACAAAGTAGCTGAAATGACAATATCTCAAATACACAACCAAAATATGACTTACTGGTTAGATTACAGTGGTTGTATTGCCAAAAATGACATTCTGAAAGCTGTGTGTAATTTTGAATCAGGCAGTGAGTGAGTGAGTTTAGCTTTATGCCACAGTCAGCAATATTCCAGCTATATGGCGGCGGTCTGTAAATAATCGAGTCTGGACCAGACAGTCCAGTGATCAACAGCATGAGCATCGATCTACGGAACTGGGAAAAGTTGACACGTGAACAGGTTGTAAAAGCAATATATTTTGAGACATAATAGTATTGGCAGCAGATTCTAAAAATATTCTTTTGATCTGGTACTATTCCATACTTTCGGTTGTGAAAAATTGTCTGTTTAATAAGAAGAAAAATTATATTCAAAGGATCATTTCGATTTTCCTTTAATCCAAATAGTATGTTTTGTGGAGTAAGTTTAATCCTTATTCCAGCATTAAACATGAGCCACTCTTCAGTTTTCTTCCAAAATCTATCCCAAACAAGGTGAAAAATGGTTTCATTAGGAGTATTACAATAGCAATACCTGGATCTTCACAGGTGAGAAGATGAAGAAGATGAAGAAGGTAAGTCAAAGAAGAAGAAAATGAAGAGGAGAGAATATAAAGATAAAAAAGATGAAAAGAAAGAAGATAGAGAAGATGAAGACAGATAAAAGATGGAGACAACAGAGTAGATGGAGACAACAGGGTAGATGGAGACAACAGAGTAGATGGAGACAACAGAGTAGATGGAGACAACAGAGTAGATGGAGACAACAGAGTAGATGGAGACAACAGAGTAGATGGAGACAACAGAGTAGATGGAGACAACAGGGTAGATGGAGACAACAGAGTAGATGGAGACAACAGAGTAGATGGAGACAACAGAGTAGATGGAGACAACAGAGTGGAGACAACAGGAGACAACAGGGTAGATGGAGACAACAGAGTAGATGGAGACAACAGGGTAGATGGAGACAACAGGGTAGATGGAGACAACAGAGTAGATGGAGACAACAGAGTAGATGGAGACAACAGGGTAGATGGAGACAACAGGGTAGATGGAGACAACAGGGTAGATGGAGACAACAGAGTAGATGGAGACAACAGAGTAGATGGAGACAACAGAGTAGATGGAGACAACAGAGTAGATGGAGACAACAGAGTAGATGGAGACAACAGGGTAGAGTAGATGGAGACAACAGGGTAGATGGAGACAACAGGGTAGATGGAGACAACAGAGTAGATGGAGACAACAGAGTAGATGGAGACAACAGGGTAGATGGAGACAACAGAGTAGATGGAGACAACAGAGTAGATGGAGACAACAGTAGATGGAGACAACAGAGTAGATGGAGACAACAGAGGTGAGATGGAGACAACAGAGTAGATGGAGACAACAGAGTAGATGGAGACAACAGGGTAGATGGAGACAACAGAGTAGATGGAGACAACAGAGTAGATGGAGACAACAGAAGATGGAGACAGATGGAGACAACAGAGTAGATGGAGACAACAGAGTAGATGGAGACAACAGAGGAGACAACAGTAGATGGAGACAACAGACAACAGAGTAGATGGAGACAACAGGGTAGAGATGGAGACAACAGAGTAGATGGAGACAACAGGAGTAGATGGAGACAACAGAGTAGATGGAGACAACAGAGTAGATGGAGACAACAGAGTAGATGGAGACAACAGAGTAGAGATGGAGACAACAGGGTAGATGGAGACAACAGAGTAGATGGAGACAACAGAGTAGATGGAGACAACAGAGTAGATGGAGACAACAGAGTAGATGGAGACAACAGAGTAGATGGAGACAACAGAGTAGATGGAGACAACAGAGTAGATGGAGACAACAGAGTAGATGGAGACAACAGAGTAGATGGAGACAACAGAGTAGATGGAGACAACAGGGTAGATGGAGACAACAGGAGACAACAGAGTAGATGGAGACAACAGAGTAGATGGAGACAACAGAGTAGATGGAGACAACAGAGTAGATGGAGACAACAACAGAGTAGATGGAGACAGAGTAGATGGAGACAAATAGAGTAGATGGAGACAACAGAGTAGATGGAGACAACAGAGTAGATGGAGACAAGAGTAGAGGAGTAGATGGAGACAACAGAGTAGATGGAGACAACAGAGTAGATGGAGAACAGAGTAGATGGAGAGTAGATGGAGACAACAGAGTAGATGGGAGACAACAGGGTAGATGGAGACAACAGAGTAGATGGAGACAACAGAGTAGATGGAGACAGAGAGTAGGTAGATGGAGACAACAGAGTAGATGGAGACAACAGAGTGGAGATGGAGACAACAGGGTAGATGGAGACAACAGAGTAGATGGAGACAACAGGAGATGGAGACAACAGAGTAGATGGAGACAACAGAGTAGATGGAGACAACAGAGTAGATGGAGACAGAGGATGGAGACAACAGATGATGGAGACAACAGAGTAGATGGAGACAACAGAGTAGATGGAGACAACAGGGGGATGGAACAACAGAGTAGATGGAGACAACAGATGTAGATGGAGACAACAGGGTAGATGGGAGACAACAGAGGAGAGGAGACAACAGAGGGAGACAACAGGGTAGATGGAGACAACAGGGTGGAGACAACATGGATGAGACAACAGAGACAACAGGGTAGATGGAGACAACAGGGTAGATGGAGACAACAGAGTAGATGGAGACAACAGGGTAGATGGAGACAACAGAGTAGATGGAGACAACAGGGTAGATGGAGACAACAGGTAGATGGAGACAACAGGGTAGATGGAGACAACAGGGTAGATGGAGACAACAGGGTAGATGGAGACAACAGGAGACAACAGAGTAGATGGAGACAACAGAGTAGATGGAGACAACAGGGTAGATGGAGACAACAGGGTAGATGGAGACAACAGGGTAGATGGAGACAACAGGGTAGATGGAGACAACAGGGTAGATGGAGACAATGAGGAAGAATACTTACACCAACATGGTTGACGAGAAGCAGAAGCAGATGAGATACAGGAAGACGATTGTTGGATCTGACATTCTGAAAAGCTGGCTGGATTTGAGAATCATGGTGAGAATGGCGCTGACAATCACCATCAGTACCAGTGTGGACACCAACCAGGCAAACCAGTTCAGGATGGGTTTCATTCCCATGATCCTTAGAGCCTGCAGAAAACCAATCATCAATATTGAACAACAAAAACAACAACATCATTCTGGGGCAGAAAACAACCCAGGCTGCCTTATGAGGTGATATAAGGTTAAAGGTCACACTAAAGTACTGTCGAAAATAGAAAAAAACCCTGTTTTTTTGGCTGTTACTCTGTATCCCTAAAATTTACACAATTGCAAACAGCACATGTTGAAATAACCCATGTACAGGGCATTCAGTAGGATCCTAATAGGATATCCAGAAAAGCATGTTTACTCGTAAAATTGGGCAAAACTTAGAAAAAATACAAATAGCTGCTTAAAACAATAGATCAGACTATAGATGACAGTAAGGTCAGTATGATGACGAACCGTCGACACACCGAGCATGAAATGCACGTGCTGCTTACAGGCATAAGGGGTCATCTCAAAGATATTCTGTGTGTATTCTTGTGTGTTGAATATGTCTCAAATATTGATTAACATCTAACGTGACTTTTTTTCATAAAGTTTATGTTGAGATATGTCAAACAGTATGATACCTATAGAAAGGCTTAAATCAGCCATCGTATATAATGTCTCAAAATATATAGGTAGCATGGCCACCCAAAGATCGACAGGAATGGACATTATTTGTAAATTGTTACTTACCCACTTTAATTCCCCTAAAGGATTATCTTATCTTAGCTGATATCTCTATCCCCATGCCCAACCCCAACCACTGTCTGCGACACCCGACCTGGTTTGGTTTTTGAGACGACCCCCCATGTCTGTTTGTTTAGATAGTGGTAGTGAGACTCCATGGTAGCTACATCCTTAAGAGTTTCACAAGTAAAAATATTATTTTGTACGTCAGCTATGGTTTCTAATGAAGCTAAGTCTAATTTTAAAATGGGCATTTAAAAAGTGTCCTTTGTAATACAAAATCATTGCACACTAATTTGCATAAAGCTAAGGTCTGTTCCACATAAGTCGATATGGACTTAGAAAAACACACATTGCTCATTTCTGCACTATTCTCTCCTCAGTAAAGTCCTTTTTTGACGTTTCCTATCTCCCTACCACCGAGACTGTTGTTAGGCCGAACTTAGTTTAACAAATATTTCACACTTACACATATTAACTGCATAAATTGGATCTGAATGTGAAAAAACTGGGGTTTTCCAAGAGTACTTTAACATCTTATTCTACCTGGATGACTACTTGTTGCACACAGGCATATTTCAAAGCAGTGTCACCTGCCTCTGGAGAAAGAACATGGACAGGACTGATGCCTCCAAAACTCAAAGGAGACAAAAACCAACAGTTACCCATCATCTACAAGACCAACATATCTTAACTTGGAATGAAATATGATCTTAGAATATACACACTACCCCATGTCCATAATGTTAAAAAGTTTCACAAGTTATAGCAATAACCTCATAAATAATTCAACAACTACTGTTTGTTTGTTTGTTTGTTTGTTTGTTTGTTTCTGGAGTCATCAACATTCCAACTAAATCATGGTGACCTGAACACAATCAGATCTAGGCCACACAAACTAGTGGTTGACATGATGAGCACTGTCCTACTGTTTGATACCATTAATGAAGAAGTACTAGACTTCAGCTACATACATCTTCAAGACCTTCCTCTCTGTCGATGACAAGGTTGCGGGTGGCAATAGCCAGAGCTGCCAACCAGGCGAAGGTCATCACCACTGGCAGCAGGTAAGATCCGAGAATTCCAATGTATCTGAAATAGAACTCAACCAATTAATACCGAGTGAAAATATATATAGTGCGAGATAGATGATAGAGTGAATGAGTGAGTATGGTTTTAGGCTGCTTTTAGCAATATTTAAACAATATCACAGCAGGGGTCACCAGAAATGGGCTTCATGCATTGTACCCATGTGGGGGATGGAACCTGGGTCTTCAGCATGATGTGCAGATGCTTTAACCATTTAGATGCCCTGGTAGATGATAGAATGGAATGAGTGACCAAGTGAGTTTACACCACCTTGAACTCTGCACTCTGTAAATAACTGAGCGAGAACAGAAGTTGAGCAACGTTGGACACAGAGAGACCTTTGATGGGTGACCATGTTTGGCAGCTTGACTCCTGAGAGTTTCTAGGACTTCAGTCCTGCCCCACAACAAAGCACATGTGATACATATGGTCTCACCTTTGGCAGGTGAGTTTGTTCAAATCTGCCTCTGTTCACCCAGCAGAAAATGGGTACCCGGTGGGATAAGGTGACCATAACCTTCTAGCGCATAAGTGGCAGCTTGGGTTATCCGCGATAATAATGGGCTGTGCAACTGAATGTTAGAGCTATGAGCATATCTGGCGTTGAGTTTGGCGCTATATAAATGGACACATTATTATTATTATTTAATCCAGGTCCAGCAACATGCAAGACTGAGCACCATTGGATGCACTGTGGCCATTATATCCTTGGTTCCAGAAAAGAGCGCCATGATGGAAAAACTGTGAAAACCAGAGTAAGTATTGTGTGGTGAGGAACTCACGAGTCATCTACGGTACATGGGAAGGGGAACTGTTTGAGGTAGGCTCCTGGCAGCGTGGCATTCTCCCCGGTCTGTATGGCAATGATGGCTCGCTCTATCATGTCCTGGAGTTGCATGAAGCCACGCAGGTACTGGAGATGGGATGTGAAGCGGTCATAGGAATCGGGCTCCCAGAACCTAGTGTTTCAACAGAACTTTGATTAACACATCTTCAATGCACACCCTTTTAGACTGCCAACATCACATACAATTACTGGCGGCTATATCTACAGACGTACAAAGAACATTAAGCTGTCACCATTCATTCACCAAAGAATTAGAACCAACTTGTATACTAGCAAGACAATCTACAGTTTCATATGTTTCTCTCTGTGACAATGACTGTTTTTATATTTAAGAATATTTCTAAAGTGACAAAACAAAAATAGCAACTGTTTCAATTCATGATATACATGTAGTCTAGTTGGAATAAAATATCACTCACATTTAAAATGAAACAACATGAGAGATCTTGTTGCATTATCAATAAGTCATTGATGACAGTTTGCCTTCTGGTCACATCCAATAGATTCTGACAAACCAGAAAATCAGGGCAAATTTAGACCCATTTTAGAAGAAATATGATCACAATGGTTTATCTAATTTTTCCATGAGTGAAATACCTGGGATACAGTCGGTTGGTAATCCTGACATTTTCTGACTCCATCCGAATCTTATACTGGACATGTTCAGGTAGCTTGCCAGTGTCTCTCTTCTTACGCCCTCCATCATCGGATGGAAGATTTGTAAACACAACACCTGCCACAACCAACATGTGTCCAGATAAGGAATATTCATAGAAGTGTAACTTAACTATTAATTTTACAATGTTGTGGTGCTCTTTTAAAAGAGAAACATTAATAATCGAATGCAAGTTGTTGATAAAGCAGGAAATGAGAATAAACAATTGAAATATTCAGTCTCAGATATTTGCATGCACTTTAAAGACTATAAATTGTGTTCAAGAGTACTGGGGTGTGCCACATATCATCTTTAGAAATTCTGAAACCAGTTAACAGGTCTGGCGTCCATTTTCTGGTATTACAAAATTTCCATTTACATTGGCCCTTAGCAAAGCAGTAATTACCAATTTACACACAAAAACATACAGCATGAAGTAGTACACAAGATCAACCCTTTGATAGACAATTACGAGATAGAAGGATGTGAAGACTGACTGACTGACTGAGCTTTTAGCAATATTCCAGCAACATCACAGCGAGAAACACCAGAAATGGGCTTCACACATTGTGCCCATGTGGGGATTCGAACCCAGGTCTTCGGCGTGACGAGCCAACGCTTTAACCATTATGCTACCCCACCGCCCCAGGATGTGAAGACATGAAGGCATTTATGACATTAACTTCCTCATTCTTTGTAACATGTCATCTTTTTGCTCATGAACATGTGGGCTGGTGGGGTAGCCTAGTGGTAAAGGCAGTCGCTCACCACGCCGAAGACCTGGTTTTTATTCCACACATGGGCACAATGTGTGAAGCCCATTTTTGGCATCCCCCGCCGTGATAATGCTGGAATATTGCTAAAAGCGGGGTAAAACCAAACTCACTCACAAGCATGTGACTGAGGAACAATAACAATGAACTTGTTAATGCATTTCATAATAGAACAAAATACTGTCACTGATGAAGCAGTTGATATCAATTACAAAAAAAAAAAAAAATCTCCCCACCTGCCAAGAAGTTATTAGTGGCTGAGAGGCTGAATGCCTGTTTTTCCATTTCCTCTTCCGAGCTTGCACCGACGGAGCGATCAAGTTCCATGCAGGAGGTGTAGTTGACGAGGAGGTCAGCAGCAACCTTCATGCCCTTCATGCTGCTGGAGTTGAAGTTGCCAGACTCAAGGGCATCAATACCTGTTAAAAGTTCCTTGGCATCAAGACCAGATGTCTGTTTCAGTAGAGATGTAATGAAGTCATTCTTTAAAACGTCCTGAAAAATACAAGTGAAATACGAATTTATAGAAAATATAAATTCGAACAAATAAAGACATGCTCCATCTAAGACAGAATAGAATAACTACATCAATTATGTAATTTTTCAAGTAAAATTGATACTTTTATACTAATACTAACTCATGATCTTTTGCTTATCTCCCTTTTCTTTTCGAATGGTTGAGGAAACACTTGAATCCCTTGAAGTTCCCGAAGCGGACGTAAAAATACACTCACCCTTGAGTTACCTCCCTTTTGCCCTTTTCCCGCGCAAACAGTCATGTGACGTGCCTTACTTGTCACTCCCTCCTGATTTTCTGCTCATGCACTTGGATCTGCTGTGAAATCCGAAGCGTTTCCAGCGGGGAGGTTGGGAGGGCTTCTCGTCATGAGTCAGGATAAGTATTAAAATATCAATTTTACTTGAACAATTACATATTTTTTCTTATCCTGACTCATGATCTTTTCCTTATAGAATCTGACGGATTGGTGGTGGGTCATGCCACTTCGTGGATTCATCAGCTGTCCTTAGATACGTCCTGTATCCCCCCCCCTTGGGAACTGCGAAATGGCATTTCCATGATCCTATTCTTCCAACTTCCGTTATAACTCGGGGGAACCACTTCTTGTCTTACTTCCTTCTCAGACAAGTTGAATCATGTTGATTCATGTGGCTACAGATAAACTAGTATCTTCTTATTACTAGATATCTTATAACAATCCATAGATTATGATAAGATCTTTATCATAAATGAGTTGCGACCCCTTCACGTACATGTAAGATCTTTACCCATACAGGATCTTTAATCACTCTTAATTCACTGGTGAATGCCTGAGACGTCTTCAGTGGCTATGTCTCGGAGGTAGTGGTTGGCAAACACCATGTCCGACTTCCAAAAGCAGCCCTCCATAATTGCTGATATAGAGCAATTTCCATGCAGAGCTAGTGTTGACGCCAGAGCTCTGACTTCATGTGGGTTGGAAGCTCTAGGAGGTTCTAGTCCTGCTGCTTTATAGGCTCTCAATATGACGGGTCTCATCCAGAACGATATCGTCGTTCTTGAGACTTCTGCTGATGTCTCTGTGGATAATGGGATGAACAGGCGCTTGAAATTTCGTCTCCTTGTCTTAGTCTTTTGAAGATATATCTTCAGGGCTCAGACCGGGCACAAGGATAGATCCTCTATATCCTCTGGTCCAAGGATTGTAGCTAGCGCTGGTACGTGGAACTGTCTATCTGGCCGACCAGGTAGTTGGTTCTTGGCAATGAAGTCCAATCTAAGTTCTGGATGAACTGCAGCATGTTGCCCCGTGTCGAATCTGGTTCGACCAAAGTCCAGCGCATGTATCTGCAGTGGCTAGCGCAAGCAGGAACAGAGTCTTCTGTGTCAGCAGCTCGAGTGTAGTCTGGTCTAGTGGTTCGTAGACATCACTCATAAGATGACGTAGAATTACGTTCAGATCCCAGGCTGGAGCTCTGAACTTCTTTTGCTGGTCCTCCAGTTAAAAAGATCTCAGCAGAGCAAGTAATTCTGGTACTTTTGTCAACTTGATGCCTGTTTTCATGGTAATCACTGTACTGATGGTGGTGAGGTATGTAGATAATGTCGAACCATTCAGATGACTGGTCTGTCTAAGATGACACAGGTATTCCGCCACTTGAGGATGAGTAGCTTTCATCGCAATGAAGCCTTTCCGCCTTGCATAAGTCTCAAACTTCAGCCATTTGTCATCATACAGGTTACGAGTAGATCTGCATAACGCTAGTGTTACTGCCTTGGGGGGTATCCTCTTTTCTTCAAACATGTTTTGATACGGTCCACACGTGTAGCTGGAACGCTGTCGGGTTCCCATGGACTTGCTTGGTGTAGCGCCTGTGTCTGTTTGATCTTCAACAGTACTTACGGTAGTAATATTGGGGGTGGATACACGCGTAGCGTTTAGTCCTTCCCAAGATATGCTCAGTGCATCTGTTGCCCAGGATCTGGTGCTGGAGAGACAAACGTCTGTAATTGTTTGTTGAACCTCGTGGCAAACAGGTCTATGCAAGGGGATCTTATTTCCCTTATGATGAGCCGGAATGCTGCTGGATGGAGCATCCATTCCGTAGGTGACGGGTACAGTGGTCGGGCTTGACCATAGTTGTAAGGTGTTGATCACGGCTTTCATCTCCAGCAGATTGATGTGAAGATACTGCTCTATTTTGGACCACCTTCCTGATGGAACTTGATTGTTGAGATGCGCACCCCAGCCTTGTATCGAAGCGTCTGCGTAGAGATATGTGTCGAAGGCCGGCTCTTGTAAATGAACCCTCCTCCGCAAACGTTCGACCTGCATGTCCACCACAGTAGATACCTCTTGAGGTTGTTTGGCAGCAAGATTGGGTCGACGCTGTCTAGATGTTTTGTCAGGAACTGTTGCAGCGGTCTTAGTTGTAACCGTCCTATGCAAGTCAAGTCCTGCGCCGAGGTTAATTGACCGAGTAGAACTTGCCATGACCGTAGTGTTAACGGAGAGATGACTGCTAGTGGAATCATGGCTTGTGTCTTGACCCAATGATCTTCTGGGACGACAATATGATTCTGTGTTGTGATAAACCTTATCCCCAGAAATTGCAGATCTTGTTTTGGTTCCAACTCCGACTTCATTAGGTTCACCAGCCATTCTAGTTAAGTGAGCAACTTGATCGTGAAGTTCAGCTGTAATCTGAGTTGACTGGCATCTTGGTGAACCTGAATTCCGTCGTCCAAGTAGAAGGCATTGCGAGGACCTCGATGATGTAGATATTTGACTTTAGGCTTGGTTACTCGTGTGAATAGCCGAAGATATTCCAAACGGAAGGACGTTCCATTGGAAGTGCTGCCCTCTGAATAGGAATCGTAGATACTTTCTTGATTCCGGATGTATGGGCATGTGTAGGTATGCATCCTGCAGGTCTATGCTGGCCATGTAATCTGCTGGACGGACGAATAGTCTGAGTTGAAGTAGGTGGATCATTCTGAACCTGTCTGGTTTCAGTAGATAGTCTTTGTTCAATTTGCGCATGTTGTAAATCAGTCTGAACTTCTCCTTGAAGTTCTTCTTGGGTACTAGAAAAAATTGGGGAGTAAAAGCCTGGATTGAGATGATGCTGATCTACTATCTCTACCACCTCCTTCATAAGTAGTGAGTTGATGGCTTCTTGTAGTTTGTCTGCCTGCTCCTCTGCATAGTCGAAGACTGTCGGGCTGACGGTTAGCGGAGGTGTGTTCTTGAGATGTACTCTGTATCCTTCTCGTAGTTCTTGGGAGAAGCAGTCATCCTCTAGTATTCCCCAAGTTTTCCAGTACCTTTGTAGACGTCCACCCACTGTCAATGATAGGTTTTAAAGGAACGGCTGGAGGTGGAAGACTCCAGTCGTTCTGAACCCTGATATCAACGTCTAGTTCCTCTGGATCCTCTGGGAGTGCAGCCTCTCCCTGAGTTTCCTCTGTAATTTCACTGCATTGAGAAGTAGCTGGTAGTTCGTCAAACAGCTGGCCTGCTGTGACCGTTGCAGGAGATGATCTCGTAGTTGTGGACGTTGATTGAGTCACTGATCTCGTAGGCACTTCGGGTAGAAGTAGTGGGGGATCATCAAAAACGTCTACTTCATGTGGAGGTAATATCTCTTCGATGAAGGATTTCTGATGCATTGACTTACTAGCACGCGTAGATTTACCCTCCGATCTGGTAACAGATGCTTTCTTCTGGGATGTAGAAAAGGATGACGTCTTTTTCTTAGCTTGAGTCGGAGTCAACTGCGTTGTAGCCGATCTCTTGTTAGCCCCCGTACCAGCAGACTGACCCTGCAACGTACTAAACATAGCACCAGTATTATGAACTTCAGCAGTAGCAAGCAACGTACAGTTTGCAGGCTAATCTGCTGTTTTATCAGCCGTGACTTCCTCACCTGATCCATGGCACGTCTATAGATATAAGACAAATATTGTTTAAATTGTAGATTTGATAAATCAACACAATAAGTACAATGCAAGATGGAAGAACATGGATTTATGCACGAGGGGCATTGGGGTGGGATCAGCCATGGATAACCTGTGCCTGCAAACACTGCAAGATTTCATGAAGTGTAAACAAAGTTACATAACGATGCAATTATGACACAAATACAAATAATTTTTACAATTTTTTTACATATAATACAAAGTAGTTATTGCTAAATCCATACACAGCGTAATTTTGAAGAATAGGATCTAAATAAAAAGGATATAATGCCGTATATGGGACTCCAGTGCTCGCCCAACCATCCACTTGGGCGAAAAAGGGAGAGAGTGACAAGTAAGGCTGGTCACATGACTGTTTGCGTGGGAAAAGGGCAAAAGGGAGGTAACTCATGGGTGAGTATTTTTACGTCCGCTTCGGGAACTTCAAGGGATTCAAGTGTTTCCACTACCATTCGAAAAGAAAAGGGAGATAAGCAAAAGATCATGAGTCAGGATAAGAAAAATTACAAGAACATGATCCATACATACATTTTATTTGTTAAGTGTTTACCTCTTTTTGTCACGGAAAATTCTTTTAATTAAAAATTAGCCTTAATTCTCTGAGAGATCTCTTGCATATGTAGACATCAGATGTGAAAACACTCTACCATGATATGACAACCAACCCTTTAAACTTACCTTGACTGAGCCCATTTTCTTGGCTCTGTCTGTCATTGCCATAAGATTGGGAGTCCCTTCTGACCAAATCTTGGCCACTCTCTTGACATCCTTAAGCACATCAAATACTCTGTTGGCCTGGAATGAGAGTGAGTTAGGGTTAACACTGATGGACCAGAGCACTAACAGAGCACTAATGTTTCAATGAACCCATCACTGAATCACTCCAAAGGAACGAATGCACGTGCATGCACACACACATACACACACAGGAGGAGAAGTGGGGAAGGAAAAGGAGGAGTGGAGGGGGACAAAGAGGAGTGAAAGATGAGAAAGATGAGTGAAGGAGGAGGAGAAAGAGGAGTGAAAGATGAGTGAAAGATGAGAAAGATGAGTGAAAGATGAGTGAAAGATGAGTGAAGGAGGAGAAAGAGGAGTGAAAGATGAGAAAGATGAGTGAAAGATGAGTGAAAGATGAGAAAGATGAGTGAAGGAGGAGAAAGAGGAGTGAAAGATGAGTGAAAGATGAGAAAGAGGAGTGATAGAGGAAAAGATGAGAGAAAGATGAGTGAAAGATGAGAAAGAAGAGTGAAAGATGAGAAAGAGGAGATGAAAGATGAGAAAGATGAGTGAAAGATGAGAAATGAGTGAAGGAGGAGGAAGAGGAGTGGAGGAAGAGGAGTGAAGGAGGAGGAGAAAGAGGAGTGAAAGATGAGAAAGAGGAGTGAAAGATGAGAAAGAGGAGATGAAAGAGGAGTGAAAGATGAGAAAGAGGAGGAAAGATGAGAAAGAGTAGGAGAAGGAGAAAGAAGAGGAAAGATGAGAAAGAGGAGATGAAAGATGAGAAAGAGGAGGAAAGAGGAGGAAGATGAGAAAGAGGAGAGAAAAGAGGAAAGATGAGAAAGAGGAGAGAAAGAGGAGGAAAGATGAGAAAGAGGAGATGAAAGAGAGGAGAAAGAGGAGGAAAGAGGAGGATGAAAGAGGAGAAAGAGGAGGAAAGATGAGAAAAAGAGTGAAAGAAAGAGGAGAGAAAGAGAGGAAAGAGGAGAAAGAGGAGGAAAGATGAGGAAAGATGAGAAAGAGGAGATGAAAGATGAGGAAAGAGGAGTGCAAGAGGAGAAAGAGGAGGAAAGAGGAGGAAAGAGGAGAAAGAGGAGGAAAGATGAGAAAGAGGAGTGAAGGAGGAGGAAGAGGAGTGAAGGAGGAGAAAGAGTGAAAGATGAGAAAGAGGAGAAAGAGAGGAAAGAGGAGAAAGAGGAGTGAAAGATGAGAAAGAGAAGTGAAGGAGGAGAAAGAGGAGTGAAAGATGAGTGAAAGATGAGAAAGAGTGAAAGATGAGAAAGAGGATTGAAGGAGGAGAAAGAGGAGTGAAAGATGAGAAAGATGAAAGAGGAGTGAAAGATGAGAAAGAGGAGATGAAAGAGGAGTGAAAGATGAGAAAGAGGAGATGAAAGAGAAGTGAAGGAGGAGAAAGAGGAGTGAAGGAGGAGGAAGTTAGCTAACTCTGACTCTGAAGACTCAAGTGGACACTATTTGTTAACCCACCTGGCCGATGATCTCCCGAGTGAGTGGGGTGTCAGGGGTGAACAAGATCTTGCCTCTCATGATGGGCTTCAGGTATGCCCAGATTATGGAGCCCAGGCTCTGAGACTGGATATCATTGTACAGTTGTTGACAGAAGTCACCTAGGCAAGTCAAACATTGTGGTTAGGGACAATTTTCAAAGAAAATTTGGTATATGGATCTGACTACAAACATATATGAAATGAAGATAAAATAAAGTGTTATTCTGCTCTGGACATGATCCCAAACTTACAGATCAGGATTTTTTCACTTAAGTATGGCCTTATATTCCAGTTAGCATAATGCCAAATACACAGTATACACCTTGGTAAACTGCAGTTTACTTCATCAATTTGCCCATCATAAAAGCTGAGTGAGAAACCTGCATTTATACCAGAAATAATTTGTTCAAAATCATGTTACCATACTTAGGACTTCAAATCTCACTTCCTTTCCAAATATGAGTACCTAAAGTGGTTTTATCCCCAGGGAATGTGAACCTAACTACATTTGAAAATTCCAACAAGGGGCACAAAATATACTGTCATAAACAGTGAAAATAATCCACATGCTAGCCAGGACATCATACTTAATTTGATATTAAGTCACTCCAGGTTTAAAAGCTGGTGTCTACTATTCGAACCTCCATTGTCCTTGTCAGCTTGAGCCAATTCACTGAGCTCCTCTTCATTGGTGGTGGCCTTGGAGCCTCTGCCCAGTACAGATGCCACATTGAACTCATCCACAGCAAGATCCCCAGGCTTCTTGCCACAGAGTAGAGGTTGGATGGAGTCCATTGTATTGGCACCTGTATGTGATCAGGATAAAACACTGTAAACATCTGTAACAAGCATTCATTGATCGTTCAAGTAGGAATGTAGTTGAGCATTACAGGTGACAAAAACTAGTTAGCAGAAAGAAGTTGGCAAATGTTTAATGGTGCATGAACTGGTGAACTGTATGACCATTGATCTCAGCTGACCTTTGACCTGAAATATCATTGGTATGCATTTAGTTCAACACACTGCACAACTCTCAGGAAGCAGATGTTCTCCTCCATATGCTGGTTTGGTGAGCATTTCCCAACTATCTACCATAATAACCATGTGGGCAGATGCCAGCCATAATTATTGGCAGATGTTCCCAGTCATCTGCTGTTTGGTGAGCAGTAACCAATCATCTACCTACAACTATAATTATTAGCAGATGTTCCCAGTCATCTGCTGTTTGGTGAGCAGTAACCAATCATCTACCTACAGCTATAATTATTAGCAGATGTTCCCAGTCATCTGCTGCTTGGTGAGCAGTAACCAATCATCTACCTACAGCTATAATTATTAGCAGATGTTCCCAGTCATCTGCTGCTTGGTGAGCAGTAACCAATCATCTACCTACAGCTATAATTATTAGCAGATGTTCCCAGTCATCTGCTGCTTGGTGAGCAGTAACCAATCATCTACCTACAGCTATAATTATTAGCAGATGTTCCCAGTCATCTGCTGCTTGGTGAGCAGTAACCAATCATCTACCTACAGCTATAATTATTAGCAAATGTTCCCAGTCGTCTGCTGCTTGGTGAGCAGTAACCAATCATCTACCTACAGCTATAATTATTAGCAGATGTTCCCAGTCATCTGCTGCTTGGTGAGCAGTAACCAATCATCTACCTACAGCTATAATTATTAGCAGATGTTCCCAGTCATCTGCTGCTTGGTGAGCAGTAACCAATCATCTACCTACAGCTATAATTATTAGCAGATGTTCCCAGTCATCTGCTGCTTGGTGAGCAGTAACCAATCATCTACCTACAGCTATAATTATTAGCAGATGTTCCCAGTCATCTGCTGCTTGGTGAGCAGTAACCAATCATCTACCTACAGCTATAATTATTAGCAGATGTTCCCAGTCATCTGCTGCTTGGTGAGCAGTAACCAATCATCTACCTACAGCCATATTAGCAGATGTTCCCAGTCATCTGCTGCTTGGTGAGCAGTAACCAATCATCTACCTACAGCTATAATTATTAGCAGATGTTCCCAGTCATCTGCTGCTTGGTGAGCAGTAACCAATCATCTACCTACAGCTATAATTATTAGCAGATGTTCCCAGTCATCTGCTGCTTGGTGAGCAGTAACCAATCATCTACCTACAGCTATAATTATTAGCAGATGTTCCCAGTCATCTGCTGCTTGGTGAGCAGTAACCAATCATCTACCTACAGCTATAATTATTAGCAGATGTTCCCAGTCATCTGCTGCTTGGTGAGCAGTAACCAATCATCTACCTACAGCCATATTAGCAGATGTTCCAGTCATCTGCTGCTTGGTGAGCAGTGACCAATCATCTACCTACAGCTATAATTATTAGCAGATGTTCCCAGTCATCTGCTGCTTGGTGAGCAGTAACCAATCATCTACCTACAGCTATAATTATTAGCAGATGTTCCCAGTCATCTGCTGCTTGGTGAACAGTGACCAATCATCTACCTACAGCCATATTGGCAGATGTTTCAAGTCATCTGCTGCTTGGTGAGCAGTGACCAATCATCTACCTACAGCCATATTGGCAGATGTTCCCAGCCATCTGCTGCTTGGTGAGCAGTGGCCAATCATCTACCTACAGCCATATTGGCAGATGTTTCAAGTCATCTGCTGCTTGGTGAACAGTGACGAATCGTCCACCCCATGACTAATCTGATAGACTTTCTTACCAGTCTGTGCTTGAGGCAGCTTGAAGAGTTCTCCCAGCATCTCACTACTCTTGTAGTTCATGGTGGTGCTCTTTCCATTCAGAAGATCTGCAGCATGGATAAGGTCCTGTTGGGCTTTGCTGAGTTTGGTGGCCACATCAGCAGCTGCTTCTGCCGTGATATTGGCAGACTTAAAAATGTCATCACCAGAGAATGTGACATACTGAAATTGAGAATAGCAGAACTAATGACATGCCACACAGATTGATCATCCATTGTTCAAATATCCTTCTCGTTTCAACGATGTGATGCATACAGCATAAAGGAATATACAAGTTGGAAAATGGAGACTTTATTTCAGAAATCATTGGGCATCAATGTGAATTCACATCAACTTACCCTTTGCAGAAGGTCTCCAAATGTAAGATGCGGGATGAGCATGTTGGCAATATTCACGGCAACTGTCTCATTGACACGACACAGGTCATCAGTGATCTGTGTAATGCTGAGCCTGGAGGTGGTGTTGAGTGAAAGGAGTCTGTTGAACATTTCAGGGCATGGAATGTTGGCATCCAGGATGTAGGAGGTGTTCAGGAACTGGAACAAAACATGGTCAGTGAAGTGTCTGGTCAACCATGTGTGTTGTGATGTAAACAATGGATAACAGTCAAGAAATAGTTAAACATTGTTGATGTTTGGTGAACATTTTAGTACCAATTCAAACAGTTTAATGTTAGTATTGTTACACTTAGTTCAGGGATTTCACTGCATCTCAGATAATGTGGGTATTGTTCACATGCTTTAAAACATATACAACTTAACTGTAACCTAGGTGTATTTCAATGATGCTGGAAAACCAAGAAACATAAAACCGTACATAAGAACTTAAAAAAGCAGATCCTGGCACGGCTAATATGGTCAATTTTGCCTCAAGGAAAATATTCAAAGTTCACCTCACTGATTTGCATTGAATAATAATCTTTTGGTTTATTGTTTTTCTATTGACAAAAGGTGACTTAAGTACTGACCACATTGATAGAAAATGTTCCCTCCAGAACAGTCTTGGCGCTACTTGGAGACATGCCCATCTGTATTAGGTAGTTGTATACAGCAGTAGGGCTCTTCACAAAGTCAGACACCGTCACTGAAATTTAAAGGGCTTTTGACTATGGTAGCTTATGGAAACTGTAAAGCAGTAATAAATTACCAACAAACAAAATATTTCCATGGTTTGAGCAATATCGAATTCTGTCTGGGTCTAATAACCCTATATGTGTATTTAGAATTGCTCACCATTGTCATTCATTAAACTAAGAATAGGAAACTAGGAAACTAGCTCAAATGAAGCCACTGCACTTTTGGAGCCTCTAATTTTAAGGAACAGTGGATTTTTAAATAAGACATTGACAAACTAGTCATCAATACAAGTAGAATAGAGTTGAAAGTAGGCCCTGCAGGTTGTGCAGATATAGGGGCCCGGAAGCAGGGGAGGGTAGGAGGGAGATCAGTTTTAACACAGATCGTCACAGGTCGCAGCTTATGATGTAAATCATCAAAGATGTTCTAAACTTTCCGGTAGTTGCCTCTTGCGACAAACATGGGTTGCTGAAGATCAGTTCTAGACAAGATCGTAACAGGTTCCTGCTTATGATGTAAACTATGCAAGATGTTTTGACAGACTGTTACTCACAAGCCTCTAAGAAGTACGACTGTACAATATCCAGCCCGGCAAATCCCCGGATGAAGATTCCAATCTCTTTCAGCACTGTGTTAGCTTCACTGTTGCCAGGAAGGACTTTGCGGATGTCTTCTAGGATGTTAGTCAGGCTGGACAGAGAGAAGCAGGACATTATCATCACTTGCTTTATCATTACTATGCCTGAAGACATGGAGTGGAATAAATGAAGTGACAACAAAATATTTACATAATTTCTCCTAAAAGAGTTCAGTGTCAGTCTGCCTCAATGACACTGATGTTTTCAGTGTTGGTTCTGGAAGATCAGGAACTATCATATAATCCTACCTATGTACATAGGTGAGTGATGGCTTAGCATAGTAGTTAAAGTGGAGGTCTCACTCACTCACCCACCCATATGCACCCACCCACCCACTCACTCACTCATCCGCTCACTCACTCACCCACCCATACGCACCCACCCACTCACTCACTCATCCACTCAAGCACTCATCCACCCTCTGAATCACTCATCCACCCACTCACTCACACCTGCACATCCACACACCAGCACACCCACCCACAACCCACCCACAAACTCATCCACACACCTCACAAACAGAGACAAGACCATGTGTCATGGCATATACTATACATGCAATAAATCATGCTCTCGTTGTCAGCCAACCAGACATCATCTGTAAGGAATTACACATTGTTTTCATGACTCATTGCAGTTACAATATTGCCATGCTTTGTACAGCCTCTCAAGAAACTCAAGGTATGTCAGTTACACCCAAACACTCACTACTTTACTGAAAACCTATTACAATTGATCCTATGCTGTGGATCATTGGGTCCCTCTTTGTTGATCAATCGAAAACTTCTTTCAGTAGAAGACTGCATTATTATATTGACCTAAAATGTTCAAGAATCAAGGATCATCAAAATTGTCTTCATTGATACCATTGTACATTGAAGAAAATCAACAAACCTCTGAACTAATCTCTCTGGGCCAGATGACATGAGGAATCTGTCGATCTTCGGAATGTTGTCACGAAGTTTATCAACATCGAAGCCATTACTGAATATTCCAGCAATCTCGGTGACAAACTGGAGGTCGGACACAAGGTTCAGTACGTGGTTGCTGATGTTGTTGAAGAACTGCTGACTCAGACCTGTTGAGGTTGCTGCCAGGGCCTACAATAGAGAGACAGTGGGTTAAAGAACCATAGAACACAGTTGCAATCAACTATATATATATACACTTGACATGGCAACCAAGTAAGACATGCGCGATATATACTGTTGACAACCAGGTGAGACATATGTTGTTGACAACAATGTGAGGCATGTATAGCGGTCTTGATACATATGTGAGATATATATAGCAGTCTTGATACATATGTGAGACATATGTTGTTGACAACCATGTAAGACATATATAACTGATAAAGACAGGAGGCAGACATTGCCAGGTCCCACCTGTTGTATGATGCTCGTCACTTCGGCGGCACTCTTCAGGGATGTGGCCGTGGTGAGGGAATCGTTTGTACAGAGGAGCCTGCTGAGAGTGGGGATGTCAGTGACAAAGTCCGGGAGTGTGAGGACCTCACCCAGGAGAGTGGCATTACACAGGATCTCCTGGATCTGCTCCACAGGCTGGTTCAGGAACATCGCCTACACAAACCACTCCATATTCAGATGACAGAACATGACAGTGGCATATAGGCCAAGAGAATTAAAGTTGAGCAATTTGTTTTAGGTTTCCCTTTATGCCACTTAAAACTCCTACCTATAAGTCTACAACTGTAGTATAACAGATTGATTTAGAGGGGAAATATTGAGCCATTCAAATTTCAAATATTTAACAATATTCAACTTCTTGGAAATGTACCATAGAAATAGATTAAACTTCAACTAATATGGAACAAATATTCATCAAAGCATGTATACAACTTTAATTGTTCACAATGTGGCCTTAGTGGTAATAATACATACATGTTCATATGAAAATACCAAAACTACTGGTAAGTTACAAACAACAAGGATATTTAGATTAGATTCCGTACCGCATCCAGGTTGATAGAGGACTTGAGGAGCGAGGACACCAATTCAGGTGACAGTTTCAGGATCCCAAGGAGATAGTTCTGTACCGAAGTGTCATTCTTCAACAGGTCAGAGAACTTCAACAGAACTGAAAAGAAATAATATTAGTGATAAGAACCATTAAGTGAAGTGTATTCAGTGCATTCGGAACCCTAATCAGGGACCTCTCATGCCATACTGCGAAGGGGAAGCCTTGAATTATTTTAAAGAAAATATTTCTGTCTCAACTTTTATAAAAAAATAACTACATAATGTTGACCTACAACAAATGCTTGGAAAATACTAATACATCCTTATCTGTAGCTTAAAAATTTGTATGCTTCTTGACAAAAACAATTTGAGAGTATATGTTTTTAGTTAGTTAGTGATCTTTCATATACATGTCATAATATTATAATATAACATCATTTTTCTTACTGATCTACTGTCCTGTATTAAATACCTTTTAAACGGTTACTGCATATATCAAATAAACTGAACATACCAGGTCTTTGTTCCGTGAAGACTCTCAGAGCAAAGTCCAAGACTGGTGCCAGACTTCCTTCTGTATTTATCAACTGTCTGAGAGATGGATCTTGGATAAGCGTCATCAGATCAGTGGCAACACTGAGGGCACTGAAAGTAGGAAATAAAGGATTAAGTTCTTATGCTCATCAGGGATTTGTTTCTGCCTGTGTTTTCAAACATGTATACAGCGGTACTCATATGTACCACCTACCAAGATAGCTTTTGTGTAATATCTACCCAGTAATGGCATTAAGTACCAGTAAAACAGTAAGCTCCTATTTATTATCTACCACAAATGTCATCATATACCATCCAACATGAATGCTCGTATTTATAATCTACCACAAATGTCATCATATACCATCCAACAAGAATGTTTGTATTCATTATCTACCACAAATGTTATCATGTACCATCCAACAATAATGCTCCTAATCATAATCTACCATGTGTCTTCATATTTTCTGGGAGTAGCCTAGTGGTTAAAGTGTTCGCTCATCATGCCAACAGGTTCAATTCCGCACATGGGTACAATGTGTGAAGCCCATTTCTGGTGTCCCCCGCCGTGATATTGCTGGAATAATGCTAAAAGCCACGTAAAACTAAACTCACTCACTCACATTTTCTAGCACCTATGATGAATACTTCCACTCACACAATCAAGAATGGTATCATTTTGCCTGCCCAAACCTGTCTCAAGCTCCTTCAACCAAGAATGCGACCATCAACCATCTAACCAGAATCCTCCTTCACAACGGGTTAAGAATCACAAAGCAATCACCTGTTAAGGCCAGCAGCGAAGCTACGGAAGTTCTTTGAGCTGTCCACAAAACACTGTCCCATCTGGTCCCAATCTGGACCATTGCCCATGAGGAGGGTGCTGTTGATAATGTCCCACAGGTTCTTCCCTGTCTGATACATTGCAGAGCACTGCAAGTCATCGGCGCCACTGGGGTTCATTGTGGGGTTTATCTGGGTACAGACAAACACAGTACATTACCATCAAACAATTATCAGCTCTTGGAACTAGACCTGAAGCTTTAAAATGTGCATAATCGATCCTCTCTGATGGGTATCAACGCAATGGCAAAAATCATGGCATACGATGGCACTTGTATGGAGCAAAAATATATTTTAGTTGAGGTAGCAAAGAAGCAGGAAATGTTTGGATATCAACATCAATTAATAATGTTTATTGAGTTTTACCATCATATAAACATTTGACCCAATTCAAGTTTTAAACTTAAGTCCATTTACAAACAATTTATTGTCTATAAATGAAGATGTAGCTGGAATTGGTTCAGAGAATTAAATATATGTGTATTGCTATAATGTGAGATGGAGAACTATCTCATTATCCATGTGCTGATAGGCAGATCCAGAGGGGGTAGCAGGTGCGCACCTCCTTTGTCAACTGAAAATTTATTCAAATGGCCATTGAAACTCTTGTGGAAACTGGTGAAAATGAACTGTGTCCTCTCTCCACCCGCTATAGACAGTCACTCTCTTCTAAAATTCGACCGAAGGCGAGGTTCCGGATGTGCACCCCTTTCTCAAACAGCTGTATCTCATAGCCCCTGTATCTCATTAGCCATCTGCGGAACTATCTCTATATCCCTTTGAGAAAGAATCATGCTTGCTATCACCTGTGTCAGAGAAGCCCAGAATCCACTGTTTTTCAGAATATCGACAGCACCATTCAGATTTGCGTCTCGCATCAGAGTACACACAAACTCATCAGCAACTAGAAGATAAATATTGGCTATAAATCTGACAAAAACAATTTGTATTGCATTGAAGATTAATTAAAAATATCAGTTTATATTGCTATCAAATTTAGAGAAAGTTGTTTCATAAAAATGCTTTTATAAAGTTTTGGGATTTTCATTCTAAAGAATTTTAAAAAGATGTTTTTTCATGTAAGATTTCAAAACCATACTGACCTGAAAGCAGTGGCATCTGATCTGCAATCATCTTGATGTTAAACACAGTCTGACTAATAATTGGCTGAACTTCACGGAACATGTCAGTTCCTCTTAGGTATGTCACAAGGTCATTACAGGCAGTTATACCACTGTAAATAGAATAATTAGCAACACTACAAATGACATAGTCATTGTGATAAAAATTTACAGCAATCAGTCATTTTATTACAATACCCTCCATGTTGACAATGACAATACTTTATTACCCGTGAGGGAATTCTTGTGTAAAGTACAGAGCTCAAACATTGATAAAATGATTAAATTATTTCCATACAATAAATAACAGACAAATAACACGCTAACAAGGTAAGACAAACACTAGGAATCATTTAAAAGATTAATACTGGATGGAACAAAGGATTTCATGGTACGATTGGATTTAAAACAGGGTAAATTATAATAATTATATTGCCAATACAACAGTAAATGAGGAAATATTCTTACTGTGAAATGTAATAATTCATTGGTGTGTGTGTGTGTGTGTGTGTATTTGTGTTTCTGTTTCTCAGGGGGTTCCCCCGACTCTCTCTCTCTCACACGCACCCACGCATGCACGCACGCACGCACCCACACACACACTTCAAAATTCCTGGATCAGCCCATGTGATTGTTTTTCATGTCTCTCATTATTGGGATCATGGACCCTAGTAATACATCAATCCCAAGGTATTGGAGGCTGGGTTGGTTGCTTTGATGTTTTACGCTGCACTCAGCAATATTCCAGCTATGTTCTCTATATATAATCGAGTCTGGACCAGACAATCCAGTGATCAACAGCATCAGCATCAATGTACGCAATTGGGATACGATGACATATGTCAACCAAGTCAGCAAGCCTGACCACCTGATCCTGTTAGTCACCTCTTACAACAAGCATGGGATGCTGAAGACCAATTCATTGGTTTCTGGGAGGTTGGGATCACCTTGTACAACAGCACTCAGTTCCACAAAGCAACTGTAGAACATCCGTAAATGTAAGGTATGGCAAAGTATGTTAAGTATTGTCTTACTGCCATGATTACTTCGTGGAATGGTACCAAGAACTATAACATTAAAGCATTGGAAGACAAGCGATAATGAACAGTGAAGGCTTTGCAGACCTACCTGGCCATGTTTGGGGTCTGGAGAGACTGTAGGGCGGCCAGGATCGGATTGAACCATGTCATAGCCGATGTCCCATTCACTCTGACATTCGAGAGCTTCTCAAAGTTACCAATTAGTCGAAGTGTCGTATTGTAAACTCTGTCCCATAACGGCAAGCCGAACGTGGCATTAGATTGTTGAGGTGCCATCAGTGCTTCTAACTGTAATGTATATACATAGGGAAATCTGTGACATCTGAGGACTCATCAGTTTCAAGCATTTGTGTCTTTTTAAATTAAGTCAGGTTTGGAGGGCAGTCTTTAGTTCTAGTGTTCCCTTCACGGATGTTACAATTTTAATTATTTTGGATAAGCAAGATCATTTCCTGCGAATATGTTTTGTTATTGCTGATGAAAGCAAGGCCTTTGTATAACAATTTTGTTTGGTGTGGGAGACGAAAGTGATTAGAACATACTTTAAGATTTTCTGTAATTTATACAGAAAATGGCTAATATTCAAGGGGGATTGTAATATTAAATTAACTTTATACATCAAAATATATCAGGTGAGGGAATAGAGATTTTTTAGGTTAACAAATGCTAGAAAAGAAAAATTCCTGTTGAAAGTGATTGGAGATTGAAAAGCCTACCTCTTTCAGAACTTTACCGGCATCTAACAGATTGACAAGTTGTTCCAAGCTGGACGTCTGGTTGAGAGCCATGGTGCACATAGCCGTCTGAATGGCGTAACATTTACCCCACTAGAGAAATTAAATGTTGAACTAAACAAGGCAGGGTCACAGAGAATGTTGACCCAGGAGGCAGGATTGGACAGCTGGTTAAAGAACTGTAAGAAGAAATATAATATGAGCACAACTTAGATATTGGACTACTTTAGCCATACCTATAAAGCTATGTTAGAAGTGTTACTGTGAACATGTGACAATAAGGACTGACCATTCTTGACCCCACATTCAGCTACCATTAATGACATTCAATCAAATTGTGGCTGCCATTATCAACATTCAATTCAAAGATGGCTGCCTTTAACAATATTCAAACAAATGATGTAAGCCTTTACCAACATTCAATTCAAAGATGGCTGCCTTTAATGTCAATGACAATCAATGCAGTGATAGTTGGCTTTTAAGATGACAAATGTGATTAAACTTGCATTGCAGATCAAGAATTTTACCAATTTTACTACAGTGGAAGCTGTAGAACTGAGCCAGTTTTGTCACTCTCATATACATTGTTGTACCACATGGTTCTCTCAATTACTGCACATATCGACAATATTCACTTTTATTCACTTTGGTAAATCAACACATTTGAATTTGTTCATGCGATCAAATTTACTGTTCTCATTGAAGCATTTTGTTTTGGAGTCAATGTTTTGTTCAAATTTAATCTGGCTGGCTCTGGCATGAGTGGCTGTTGGTGTTCGAAAGCTGCCCCCATTTAACATGCCTCATCAGTGACACGTGTCGGCTCACTAATTACATGTACAAGTATACCCATACTGAACTAAGATTAGTTTCATTGGTGATAATGGATTAATTGGTGACAATACACATCCCCGGCCGACTCCTCGCCACGTGCCAGATTGGACAGCGCTGATTACTGTTTAAATATATTTGGACTGCTCTTTTCATGCCAAGATCTGGAACTGACAGCTGCTGGATTGCAAAGCTTTTAAATGATGATAAATGTACCAGCCATGGACAGAACTGAGATGTTTTGCCGGTGTTGACAACTTGCCAGATTGGACAGCTGCCGGTTTTGACAGCTTCCTCTGTATATTATTTTACTTCAGATTAAGGAGATAATTTTAACAAAATAACTTTTGCTGTTCAAAGCCACACTCAGCAATCACTTGACAAAGATTTGTAATAATCAAATCAGGCTCTCTCAATCCAGTGCATCTAATTACACACCACGTCATCAAGACTGACCAACCAATCCACTTAGACATCCCTTGCAACAATCATAAATTGCTAGATGTGTATATCTTTACCTGCAATTATCATCATATAGAACACTCAGATGCAGCGGAGTGAGTGAGTGATTGTTTTATTACAGATTTGAATACTTAAATACTTTCAAAACTGTGGGTTAACCAATACATTTGTTTGAGTGGCATTCTACAAATTGGTGGTACAGAGATGACAAAACGTTATGGATGATCAACGTCTTTCGCCATTGTCAAATTAAGAAGTTGATCATCCATCAAGTTTTGTCATCTCTTAACCAAACAGAAACTTTCCCCTTCAGAACTTACTGTGGCAGGGTTGAAAGTAGCAGTCAGAAGCTCGGCAGCAGTGTTTTGCCCAACGGCTGCAGTAAGGAGTCTGGCAACTTGCTTTGAGTCAGGGAAGACATCTTGTAGGTATATTACAGATGTAGAGTCTGAAATACAGGAAACACTATTTGAGTGGAGTTACCCTGATGCACCTTGTAAGTATGGTACATGAAAGATATTTATAATAATGATAATAATAGTGCACATTTCCTTTTCTTCACAAATTTCTACACAAAGCATGCTCTTGGTTCTATATATAAAAACACATGGGTACATTTATACAGTACAGAAAGAGGCTGAAGTTTATGAATCATAGCACTGAGTAATGAGGTGGGTCTTGAGATTGGTTTTAAAGGTATCTAGTGTTTCAGAGACTTTTAGGTCAATGGACAGAGAATTCCACAAGAACAGGGCAGTGTACAAAAATGATCTGTAACCAACATTAAAGCTGTAATGTTGTAAAGCTTGTAGTATGGCACTGCTAGGAGATTCTCACACTGTGGGCAAAGTTCACAGTCTTCAACATAGGATGGGATTAGCTCACACATGTATGTACAGAAAATTACCTCTGTACATCCAGCAGAAAATGGGTACCCAATGGGATAACTTTCCTGGCAGTATTTCTCCAAGGGACTCTGTTACCAGTGGTTACATATCAAATGTGTTTTTTTATGTTTTATATAGGTATGTGTAGCCTGATAAAGATTGAAATTTGTTAAAATGAGTGCATGTTTTTATATGAAGAGAGAGGATGACTATGGTCATAGTGGACAAGATATCATACTAGTATTTCTCTGACTCAGTACAATGTCCAATTTCGTTTTTATGTATTTTGAAATAACAAATGGTCATATGGGCTGTAGTGCTGTTTGAAAATTCCCTTATCGTTGCTGCACTTACTGGTAAATCTCTCCATCATGCCATTAAGGTATGAATTCACTGTCCCAACAAAATGAATTATCTGTTTGAATTTGGACCATGCTTCATCTGAAGATTGACTGATGTCCACCATCTTCATCACACCAAATGACCTGTAACACATGTAATCATTCTTTCAGTAAACAACTCACATTAATGTGGAACAAATAACCTATATCACCTTTTGAATTGGGTGAATTGCATTTTTAACAGTTTTTAACAATGCGTGTTTGTAACCAGTAGATACATGGATTATATGATTCACTAAATTTTCCATCACTTGATATGAAACTATTACAGAACACACTGAACGTTAGTTAAGGAAATATAATATTATGTATTTATTACTAAAATCATTTACTTGTGGTAAAAACTTTATGTCTGACAAAAATGGTATATTTTAACATCATATCGTAACCATCAATAAATTATCATTGAATCAGTCAATTGGCTTGGAAACTAATTGCTGCTGAGTGGAAGAGTAGAGTAATCTGTAAGTTGCACAGAACATTCCATTGGTTATATCACTGTATGTTAACTTTTGTTTAAGAAGGCCCATCCTGACATACAACAAATGGTTACCACTTTGATAACCCCTGATCATGTTAAAAATGACAAAGAATGATAATGTGGTCACATCTAACATTCAAAACCAACATCAGCAGATCCTGGCACTCTTTTAACCATCATTTTTGCGCAGAGAGATTTGAATCACTTTGTCACCCAAAGACTTACAAAGGGGAAGAGTTCAATCAAAGAACAAGCATATATGATTTGTTATCATTTGCAAAATCAACCCACGTTTCTAACATATTTCCAAGGACTGATTTTCCAATACTGTTCCAAATTGCTTCCAAGCTTTCTTCAGCTTTGATGGCTGTTGTTTTCATTGTCATGTTTCCACCGCTCTCCGACATGAACAGTTTGGTCATCTTCTCAAGGTCAGACAGGAATTGTACCCATGTGATGTCATTTGATAGAGGACTCCACATAGTACTTTCACAAAATTGCACACAAACTCCATCTTCTGTGCAGTTCGTTCCACATCTAGAGCTTAAACTGTACTGAATCTGAAGACTGGACAACTGAAAACATATGTTCATATAGCAATTAGTTGCTGCATAAAACCGATGTTTTATCACTTAATATTAATACAACAGAAGCACGCCTGTACTTCATCCAAAGATGAAGAACACACGTTTTATGTGTCATTTCAGAGAGAGCGAGTGAGTAAGTGAGTGAGTGAATGAGTATGGTTTTATGCTGCTATAGCATTATTCCAACAATATCATGCCAGGGGACACCAGAAATGGGCTTCACACATTGTACCCATGTTTGGAATCGAACCCTTGTCTACAGGGTGATGAACCAACACTTTAACCACTGAGCTACCACACTGCCACTTCATTTCAGAAGCTGTAGTATAGGGATGACAGGCTGACTTAAAAAATCAACTTCCATAATGGTTCAGTGTGTACGCAAGAATTACAAGTACGAGGGCCGATTGACAAGATTGATTGATAAGCCTCACTATCTGCAAGTCATTGATCAATATAGGTTATATATTCCAGCTTATATTACTGACATATCACTACAACAAACAATTTGCTCTTCTGATTATTGTTTAAGTGGATACTAGTATATCTCTATGACATCAGGGGCGATGGGCTAGCCTAGTGGTTAAAGTGTTTGTTCGTCAAACCAAAGGCCTGGGTTTGATTCCCCACATGCATAAAATGTGTGAAGCCCATTTCTGGTGTCCTCCACCATGATATTGCTGGAATACTGCTAAATGCGCGTAAAACCAAATTCACTCACTCACTCTATGACAACATGTACTGTCCACAACGAATGTTTTCACTTTTACAGAAATTTTCTATGTGAAGCTTAGAAATTATAAATCAACAGTTGTATGGATAATTATTGTGGTTACAAAACACAGAGTTACAATTTGTTTCTTGTTTAAAACCAAAGCAATATTCCAGCTATATGATGGTGGTCTGTAAACATGGTCCAGACAATCCAGTGATTGACACTATGAGCATCAATCTGTGGGATAAGGACACTGTGACATGTCAGCTAGCCTGACCGCATGATCCAAATTGTCTCCTCCTACAACAAGCATGTTTTGCTGATGACCAATTCTAACCCGGATCTTCATGGGTCATAGTTGCAGAGTTGCATCAGTCAAGGTATGAATACCAGTACATTTTAGAACAGACAGACATTGAATAAAAGAATTTATTTTACATTTCAGGGAACAACAGAGTTGGACATTTGGTGCTTTTTCAGTGTGTATCTCTGAAATCATATCTTTTGCATCTGAAGTTGACTCTTGGCAAGAATATTTCAGCTTGCCAGTGTTATGCAAAGGCACAATTTCACACATTTTCAAAAATATTTTGGCCTGTATCATATATCTTGGGGCATATGCACTCACTTAAGCTTCTTATTGATGCAAAAAAGACTTATTATCCATTATGATTTGCCTGACTGACTGACTGAGTTTAGTTTTACGCCGCTTTTAGCAATATTCCAGCAATATCACGGCGGGGGACACCAGAAATGGGCTTAACACATTGTGCCCATGTGGGGAATCGAACCCGGGTCTTCGGCGTGACGAGCCAACGCTTTAACCACTAGGATACCCCACCGCCCGATTTGCCTGAAACCGATAATTGAAACTTTGAGGTGAACAGTTTCCAAACAGGGAACACTTGCCATACATGGCAAACATCGAAAACTGTCGCATGCGGTGTTGTCAGTGTTTGCTGAACTGGTTCCAATCACATGTTGCGCATATGTTTTTGAGCAAGACATTAGCGTCATTTTGTCTAGGGCTGAGTTCTGTCTCCAAAGGAGTTATAGGATATTTGTAAAGAGATGTTCCAAGGGATGTAACTCTATGGGGTTCGCTTGAAATAATGTTTGGCCGGTGAAGGGCGCAAGACTCGATTTAATGCAACGTTCATTCGAATTTTTGTATTTAATATTGTAATCTAAATACATAATTTTGTTGGGAATAAATGACATGGTAGCTTCCCTGAAGGCTGATAGTTAGTATTATTGAGAGAAATGCATTATTTCTTTTTTTAGAGAAGTGTGGTGTGAAATAGTGCCTTTAAAGTCTGTTTTTCACAAAAGCATGTCAGTTTCAAAGAAATGAGGATTGCACAAGCTGAGATGATATCAGCAGTCTTACCTTCCCAGAGAGTCCATATATCTCCACATTCTCTAGACCGAGTTGTCGGAGTTTGGGAACCCACATGGAAGGAGGGTCATGGCACAGAATGGTGGCAATGCCTGGGTTGATGAGTGGGAGCACGTAGGACTCAACTAGGGTTGTGTTGCACAGAACATCGGAAATGAAGCCAGTATTTTGGGAAATACTTTTGAACTGAAAAATAAAACAAATATTGTTCATGAAGCTAAAAAATAAGGCCTAGTCAGGGTATCAATAATATTTTTCCATATTTAAGAGAAACAAAGAAAAATATAGGAAAGAAAACTGACAATAAAATTCAACATTTCCATTGGTTCAACAACAGTTTCTATTGACTGACCAAGAAGGAGATATCCAACTTTAAAGACACTGAAATAGCTATGAAGAAAACGTTCCAACTTACCATTGGTTTAACAACGGTTTCTATTGACAGACTGAGCTGTGTGTCAAAGCTAGCCATGACACCCATCGCCTTGATCATCTTCATTGGATCAGTCAACATGGATGTGAAAGTCAGGCCATTATCTGAAGACACAGATCAGTACCGTTCAATATATCATACATATGCACTCAGTGATGAATAGATAATATAAATCCTCATACAGTATGGAAATGTTAGGTATAAATACAAAATGACTTTCAGAAGATGGTCAATTGTAACATCTGTTATATTTGGGATTACACTTTCTCAGTAAGGTCAGACTAATTTTATTTCTTGTTTTACAGATTTTTGTCCTCAGAAAACCTAAAGGCAGGAGGGAAAAAAAATAAAAATAAAAATCACCAGTGAAAGTTATATTCCTTTTAAATACTAAAAGTATTATATTTTTGGCAATTTATGAAGTGTATATGGGGCAAAATACAATAAAAAAAAAAAAAAAATTGTGTGTAAGTTTACAGTTTTGGCCAACAAAAACATGAGGATTTTATATTTTGAGCGGGAAAATTAATTTTATTTGTTTTCTTATTCTTGAAAAAATACGACCGGCGGATCCATAAAACAAGAAATAAAATTGGTCTGGCCTAAATTAGAAATTCCAGATTTGGGTAAAATTGAGATTGAACTTGGACATGCTACAACTGACATTAAACAAAATTTTCAAGCACAAACAGCTGTTTAGAGACATATAAACCTTAAACTACATGATTTAATGACAGACAAGTTCAAGCATTCATAAAAACAATATGGTTCAAACTAAAGGTATCCAGTCTCGCGGATGGCCCTCCCAAGTAATATCCATGACAATTCCTCAAACATTTGAGTCAAATTTAGTCCTGTTCCTAGTAATCCTTTACCACTGGAAAGGCTACTCATAATTTATCGAATTATATGTTTTTGGATGTCATACATTGTTTTGGGACGTCGTACAGTGTCTGCTCTTGCTATAATGAGGGTGTTGCATCATACAGACATTGTAAATACTCAGATCATGGCTTGTGTTGAAGATATACATGTCTTTAATAAGCTAGCGACATGTTTTACAATTGTTCATATGATAATTGAGAAAACAACAAATAATCTTGAGCATCCAAAACCTATAACACAAGGATACATTGACATCCGTCTAACACCATGTACTGGGAATGTTGTATACATGTGAGCATGTCATCATATTAATTATCATAACAGCAACAAAAATTACAAAAGTAACCATAGTAACTGAAAATAGAACTTACTGAAGTTACACCACATGAAGACAAGGCCCACAACCAGTAGTGTTTCTGAGAAAGTGACACTTTGTTCATTTAAAGTTTTAGATTATAATATATCTCAAATATACAACCCAGCTTGTCCTGAACTTACCTTTGAGAATCTGCAGGTAGTGAGAGACTGGGATGAGCATGTAGGAATCGATGCCGTTGAGGACGCCCTTTGCTATGTCATGCTGTAGGGGCTTGTCCAACACCATGCCTAAAGGCTTCAAGAGGGAGAAGATCCTGTAGGGACGAAGTGAACAACATTGTCAATGGCAAAAACACCTGATATCACTTCTAGACACTAAGATAGTGGTTGTATGTATCTTAACTTTTATAGTTATTCATCAAATGTTTCTTCACAAGTAGATCATTCACTAAGATGACATGACCCGTGAAGGTCCAGGTTAGAATATTGATCTTCAGCCACCCATGCTTGTAGTAAGAGGCGACTAACGGGATCGTGTGGTCAGGCTCGCTGACTTGGTTGACACATGTCATCGGTTCCTAATTGCGCAGATCGATGCTCATGCTGTTGATCACTGGATTGTCTGGTCCAGACTCGATTATTTACAGACCGTCTCCATATTGCTGGAATATTGCTGAGTGCAGCGTAAAACTGAACTCACTCAATCACTCACTAGATGACATGAGTGAGTGAGTGAGTTTCACGCTGCTTTCAGCAATATTCCAGCAACATCACAGCAGGGGACACCAGAAATATTCTTCACCAGATGACATGACAAGAAGTTGCACCAAAACATAAGTTGATGTCCATATATCTTTTATATGTACGATCGCTAATTCTAAATCAGATCAAATAAATATAGTTTTACACCTACATTTTAGTGAATATTCTTTTATATCTGAGTCACCAAATTACAAAACTTAAAATGCTGTCAATTTCAAGTATTTGTTATGGAAATCAGCAGTTGTTAATGCGTATCAATGTTGTCAATGAGGGATAACACAACATGACTGTACAAAACATTATCGATTTGTTACCTTGTGTTTCAAGAACAGATCTCAGATCAGCTTAAATTTGAGAGATAAATTTCTATTTCCTCTTAGTATACAGTATTCATACATTTCTATTTCTATACAATTGACATACTAAAAATTATGTCTTCACAAGTATGACATATGTTGTGACATCACCACTTCATGGAATATCTTGTACATGTACTTGTGTAAGTTTTATTTTCCAAGTTCAAACAGAAGCAAGCGAGTCACATTTAACATCAAAATTTTGAACAGAATTTTATCTTTCCAACAATTCTTGTTGGTGTGGAGTGAGTGAGTGAGTGAGTTGCAGCGGTCTGTAAATAATCGAGTCTTGACCAGACAATCCAGTGATCAACAGCATGAGCATCGATCTGCACAACTGGGAACCGATGTCATGTGTCAACCAAGCCAGCAGCCTGACCACCCGATCCCATTAGTTGCCTCTTACGACAAGCATGGGTTGCTGAAGGCTCATTCTAACCCGTACCTTCACGGGTGGTGTTGGTGTGGAGGGAAATCTAAAAGTATTGCAGGTTCTGGGAGTCATCAACTTACAAAGAAGGATCTTTGACCAGATTATTGAGAGAGTTGAGTAGACTGGAGTAATCAAACATATTCTTGAGTCCCTGTGACACCTGGATGTTGGCCTGGGCGATCTCAGTGACCAGCTGACTGAACCTCTCCGTGCTAGCTGTGTAGCCTGTGAAGTCAGGAGTCACCTCGCCTGTGGCGTTCCAGATGTCGGTTATCTGTGGAGGGATGAGAAAACGAGTACAAATTACACTGGAGGCTTCATAGATTTTTTGCAATTCTAAGATACCTAGCGGTTAGAACAATCGGAAAAAACACACATTATCAGACAATAAAGGTATAGTTTTTTGATGACGTAACAATTGAATGACGTTATCCCATCACTGCGCCATTCTAGTGTGCCCCCTCGTGATCGAACCATTTTACATTACGTCATAATGTAAGCAACGTCACGATGCATGTCAGTTGTCATCGTCTCGTACGGCCTCTTACAGTAAACTACTCCGTTGCATCCCGTTTCTTGGTTTGCAGTTGCTTCACGCAGCTAACATCACTGGTAGAAACATTACGTTTATGTTTTACGATGGTTAAATGTGTCAATTCGACTCACAAGTTTTCAGCGACACGGAAACGTTCGCAATGTTCACATTCCCACAATGCAATCGTGGAATGTCGCTTGACTACTCACCTTTTCTAGATGTACTGATCTAAACTTACGTTGGTAGTAGAAATGTGACGTTCATATTGCCCCATATGGTTTACGTTAATGACAGGTGTAATTAAAATAAGTCAGAGAAGATATTTAATCCGAACGTAAACCATCATCAAACTGTTATCATTTGTTTTTTCTGGTAACGTTAGTCTTAACGTAGGGGGCAGACACATCAATAGAACAGCTCGTCTGTTAGCCCTGTGCGAGGATTCTTAATTTAGGTCACCGACACCGTCGTTTGTTTTCTGCCTTAAATTAATCGTAATTATCCTTAGAAAGTATTAAATTTGACAAGCTTCCTCGTACTTTAACTATAATAGTTCAGGGCGAAAGTGTGCTTTATTACACTCTACATGGTGGTAGAGCGAACTGTATTTCTTAATTAATATTTTATGTCCAAGGCCCCATGACAGTTACAATCTGAGACCTAAAAGATATACAGGTAGCTTTAGAAAACAAGCAAGATTATTTAATGAGTTCCATAAGCTATTGTAATGTAATTCTATTAACAAGATTAATATATGAGGTATCGATATTATGGACTCAGATACTTTTTAAGTTTAACACTGACATAGACCTTCAGACATAAACAAAAACAAGAACACGAAGAGAGGTGGGAGTTTTTTAGAAAATAGGTGGGAAGACAAATGTGAAATAACCGTGAATGATCACCTGTTGTTGTATCTGCTGATAATCCACAAGATTACTGAGCTCCTGGGGTAGCTCTGTCATGTATGTACAGAGAACCGTCTGCAGGTTCCTCGCCACAATGCTGGGTGTGCTGCTGTTGGAGATGAATGCTGCCACAGACCCATCCTGACACCGTGAGGTTACCAACGATTGATCGCTCATCAGTTCTATGATCTGGAAAGGAAAAGGATACTGAATTGGAGGAGCAGCTGTTCATGTTTCATGTTTTCATGCTTTCATATTTTCATGCTTTCATGTTTACATGTTTTCATATTTAATGTACTGAGTACCCAGAACACATTTAGCTGTGATTCACTAAAAGACCAGGAATAACAAGGATAGTCCATATCTTAATATAAAAACTAAAAGATATGATTGTCGTAACAATGCAATTCCAAGACCGTTGAATTTGACATAGCAAATTAGCACATAAGCTAGTTTTGGATTAGACAAAGGATCTACAGTAGTATGAAATGCAATATAGCAGAAAAGAAATATATGTGTTTTATCCTGATTAAGGGACACTTGACATCTTGTTTTCAAGCCTGCAGGGGTTTTCCCCAAGTCAATAAATGACGACAGAACTTGACATGCTGGTAATAGTATATGGTCTCACTCAGAAGTCCTAGTGACCATCTGATCTCACTTTACCGACATTCAACTAATGGATCATACTTTCTGCATGTCAATCTACCCATTCATCCAGGCCTGTGAGGTGAGGTGAGGTGAAATTGGGTTTAACGTCGGCTGGAGAATATTTCGCTCATATGACGACGTGCATGCGTGTGTATGTGTAGGTGCGGCTGCTTGTACTAGCCCAGACTTAAGCTGGTTTTATAGTGCTATCCCACTGAGATATCATGCCGCAGTGAAGCACGAATATCCCACTCAGACACATTATACTGACTCCGAGCCGACCAGTCCTTGTCGTACCCATTAATGCCGAACGCCAGGCAGGGACCAACAAGTACCATATTTCAACGTCTTTTGGTATGACGCGGTCGGGGATCGAACCCGCGACCTTCCACTCTCTGGGCGGACGCTCTAACCACTACACCATGGAGGCGGTCTCCATCCAGGCCTGTAGACCAAACTTAGCATTCATTGACTTATTCAACTAATGGATCATACCTTCTGCATGTCAATCTGCCCATCCATCCAGGCCTGTAGACCAAACTTGGTGACATTGATGTAGGCTTCCATTAGTGCCAACAGAGCTGGGGACTTGCCAGACAGTGTGTCAAGGGAGATGTTGCCAGCTGGAGGAAAACAAACTCTTAGAATCAGTAATATTTGGAATAATAATGCCAAAACATCTCTTATTTGTATAGCGTGGTGGATGTTGCCACCTGGGGGAGATAATCATTACAATCAATCCTGTTTGGACCTGTGGTGAAAAGCCTTTCATGAGTTAGTAATACTAACTACAAAGTAATACTAAAGTACCTTTAATGTCTTCTAGTCTATTGTTGATGACGTCCATGATGACCTTCATGGTGTTGATGGAGCGGGCCATGGAGTCAGCAGCAGCACGGTCGGGAATGCTCGGCCAGATTAGTGTGTTCATTGTTGTAGACCTGTGAGCAACATGGAATTGTCCAGGTTAGTTGGGTTAGTGTCTGCAGAGGAATCTTCAGTTTAATCTGCTCATTTTACATTTTGAAAATGGTTTAAACCACAACCTCAATCTACTAAATCCTTCACAATAACTTACTTTAATGGAGCACTGGATAATGGACAATAGACATAAAAGAAATTGGTTATAGGGCATGCATGTTTGTACAATAGGTATTCTAATACAATATTCTAAGGGTTTCAGGGGACACTGGACATATTTTTTAAAGAGGATGCTGAACATCATTATGCTATGGTTTCAAGAGGATATTGGACATCATTATGCTATGGTTTCAAGAGGATATTGGACATCATTATGCTATGGTTTCAAGAGGATATTGGACATCATTATGCTATGGTTTCAAGAGGATGCTGGACATCATTATGCTATGGTTTCAAGAGGATATTGGACATCATTATGCTATGGTTTCAAGAGGATATTGGACATCATTATGCTATGGTTTCAAGAGGATATTGGACATCATTATGCTATGGTTTCAAGAGGATGCTGAAGAGGATATGGTTTCACATCATTATGCTATGGTTTCAAGAGGATATTGGACATCATTATGCTATGGTTTCAAGAGGATATGGTCATTATGCATGGTCATTATGCTATGGTTTCAGAGGATATTGGACATCATTATGCTATGGTTTCAAGAGGATTTCATTATGCTAAAGAGGATATTGGACATCATTATGCTATGGTTTCAAGAGGATATTGGACATCATTATGCTATGGTTTCAAGAGGATATCATTATGCTATGGTTTCAAGAGGATGGACATCATTATGCTATGGTTTCATTATGCTATGGTTTCAAGAGGATATTGGACATCATTATGCTATGGTTTCAAGAGGATATTGGACATCATTATGCTATGGTTTCAAAAGGATATTGGACATCATTATGCTATGGTTTCAAGAGGATACTGAACATCATTAAGCTATGGTTTCAACCATACTCACAGTTGAGATGACATTTGCATGAGTATCTGTCCGATGGTGCCCTGGAACCGGCTCAGAACATTCTGGAATCCAGCGACATTGACGAAGTTGTCTGCAGACAGGGAACTATTGATGAGGCTGTTGGCGTAGGCACTGATGAGGTTGATTGTGTTTGTGAGGTCCGAGGTCAGCTCCGTGGTGTTCACAGTCGAGGTGCCTCTTTCAATCTCAGCCATCAGAAGCATAATCTGTATTCATATCAAACATACATGTTATATATCTTATGATGCTAATTAACATTATTTCTGCATCACTGAAAACATTTCAATGTCACTAACATCATAACTATGAATATTACACAGTTCCTGCACCAACCAAGACATACTCAATATATACATGCTGACGATTTATGCCATCAGAATCATATATTTATTCTGATATAACCCTATAGGTACTGTTGGATAGTCTATTTGTGTGTGTGATAACTGCAGGGATCCAGAAAATAACTCATCCAGCTAATATATCTGGCAAGAGGCCCAATGTTCTAAAACAACTCGAGAAACTGGAAGCGAAGGTTATTTTCCTGCCAATGTGCAATCTTGGAGTTAATGGACAGACATGACATGATGGGTAGATATGATGGACAGATATGACATGATGGGCAGGTATGACATGATGGGCAGGTATGACATGATGGGCAGACATGACATGATGGGTAGATGTGATATGATGAGCAGATATGACATGATGGGCAGATATGACATGATGGGCAGATATGACATGATGGGTAGATATGACATGATGGGCAGATATGACATGATTGGCAAACACAAACACACTTCACACAGCAAGAATTCTAAATTATCAACCAATATCAGACAATAATCCTGCTTTATAATTGTAGCCTCCAAATACATCATCTCTGGGCAGGTAACCAGTTGTTGATGACAGAACCATAGCTGGGGTAGGATGACATCAGATGAACCATCTGATCTTGATATCATCAGGTTTCATGCCATGGACACTTAACGGGAGAGTGAGTGAGTGAGTTTTATGCCGCTATTAGCAATATTCAAGCAATATCATGGCAGGGGACACCAGAAATGGGCTTCATACATCATACCCATGTAGGGAATCAAACCCGGGTCTTCGGTGGGACGAGCGAATGCTTTTAACACGAGGCTACCCCATCCCATCACTGGAGAAATATGGATGTACATAAAGAGCATGCACTGACCTGCTGGTAGAACTGGTACCCCTGGGCAATACCGGTGATGGACTGCCACCTTAGGACAGTGGTGTTGATGGAACACATCTGCTGCTGCAGGTACTGCAGAGCTGATGTATTGGATGGGGTTACAAATGCATCCCATAATGCACTGCTACAGAGAGTAGTTTCAGGATCTGGTGACTGCAACAGCTCCTGAAGCTGAAAGGAAACCAAGGAGTTTGGTTTAGTACTATTCGGTTCAACAGTATTTTAGTTACAGCAGCCTTTTAGAAGTTAAACACGCTAAGCTTGTTAAACCAAAAGTCAATAGTGCTGACTACCACAGAAATTCTGAGTAAGTCTGGGATGTGTTCCAATGATCAGCAGATCCTGGGACTTAAGGGATGCAACTCTTCAGAGCCACACAATCTTCTGCTTACATGCTTCATGCAGGCGTGAGAGCATCTATCCATACCTTGTCTGCTTTGATCTGGAGTTGAAGAACCTGCTCCAGCCAGCGGGAGTCTGTCATGATTGGAAGAAGAACACGACCCAGTTCAGTGTTCCTCACAAGCAGCTCAAGGCTCAGAGGCTGCCCTGTAACAGGGAATCATCATCATCATCATCAGAAACTATCCGTCAAACAATCATGTTGAACTGTTGATAATTTCTGACCTTCAGATATTACACATTACTGGCACCGTGTACATGGTTTCCTTTTCACTGTTACTCATAATGAATAAGAAAGTTAATGATAAACAAGAAATTAATTTGTAATGGCCTTCTTCCATTGTTATCAAGAGAAATGTTTGCTACCATTCGTAAAAAAACTGTCTGAAAATAACATCATGGAATATTCACTGACAAGAGAGAAAAGAGATTTGACCTGATATTGTTTTGAGGTTGTCATTGAAGTACTTCAGATACAGGTCCAAGATCTTGAGAGACATAGCCACTGTTTTCCAGTCAGATGTATTCCCAAGACTTTGTTGAAGTGAATCAATTCTGCAAAACAAGATTGACAGTTCACTCAGTTATCTGCAGAAATCTGAAAAAAAATGGATTCCATCAACTAATTTGGCTTTGTCAATTAAAAATAAAAGAAAAGGTCCAAAGTTTGACAATAAGGCATCTGAATGGGCATACGTGTAACGAAACAAACAAATCTATAATACAATAATGGCCTCATCACATTTTTTTAAACTCGATCATTAGTCCTTACATTATCAGTGTACAATGACACAGTACCTCCATTTAATTGTTAACAATGCTGAAGGCATTCATAACTAAAAGCTGAAAAATATACATTGAAAATCACAATAGAGTTTACTTACACTGAGTTTATGTAAGCTGGGTAGTCCCTCATGGCTGCAGCTGACTGTTGCTCCGACACTTGAAGCAGGGCTGTCATGTTCACCTGGGACAAGCGTTCAAGGTCATAGTCTCCAAAGGTGACATTCCTCACCCCCACCAGTTCCATGATTTTGTTGTTGAGCTGCTGGTAGACTGCCATGTAGGATGTCATGTTGAATGGCTGACTTCCCATCTGCTGAAACTGGGGGGACAAAACGCAAATGTCTATAATTATTTTCCTTGAGTTTGAGTTCAATTCTGCTTTCAAAAGTATCTAATTTCATCATGGGCGTCGGCTTATTGAGGGAGAAGAGGCTGAGAGGTGCAGGCCTCAGACATATATCACTGGTGAAACCTAGAATATGGATATGCTGTTGGCAAGCCAAGAAGCACCATCAGGGCAGATCAGGGATTCATCCCATGTCGGCTGTCTGTAAATAATTGAGTCTGGCCTAAACAATACAGTGATCAACAGCATGAGCATCGATCTACACATTCGGGATATGATGACATGTTAACCAAGTCAGCAAGGCTGACCACCCAATCCTATTAGTCACTTCTTAGGACCAGCATGGCTTAATGAAGATCAATTCTAACACGGAGCTTCACGGGTTGCAAGACCGTATGTCTCCAAACTGCATATAATTTGAGTTCACCCCTGGATTAAAGAGAAGTATTCAAACCATTAAGCCTTGACCAGTCAATTTTCAATTCATCACTATGTTGGTATTCATCTAATAGGCTCTGCAAGTTATGAACTGCACATTTTCACATAATTTCCCTAATGTAGAAAAATCTTTGAACACACAATGCCATTAACAAAGTGATCAAATGAAACATGTTATAATACACATTCTCAGTAAAGAACAGATTCTATCACTTATGTTACGTTGAGTCAGGCGCCAAATCGCCAGCACACAAAAGTCAGCATTCTAACCCACTCTGCCACCGTTTCATCCACAAAAGTGGGAGTCCGACAACTGGTAGTGTAGATCACATACTTCGTGTATACTTCTGAAAACTGGACTTTGGCATGGCTCCCAAGGCTGAATGCTATGAATGCACATTGCCATTTAGAAAGTGAAAAATATCCTGTCCATCTGATACATGCTATCTGTTCTCACTTACTTTTGCAACCAAGGCTGATACCATGAAGTTTGAGTCCAGCTCCTGAGCCATGTTGGTGAAGTTGAGTCTACAGAGCTGGGGCAGGAGGCTGGACAGGTTGAAGCCAGGGGCCACATTGAAATATTGCCGGAATACTGCCTCATCACAGAACAAGCTGGCAAGACGTTGTGGGTCAGACACAAAAGCAGAAAAGGCCATTGTCTGAAATATAATAAGTACTGTCATGGTTGGTTAGAAACTGCAATGATAGAAAGGAAACTTCTCAATTAAAAGGAGAGTCAGAAAAAAATGTTTTCCCAAATGATAATTTTCCTTTTCATGAGAAATAATTTTTTCATATGAATGTATTAATCAAGATTTTGAATTTTCAACTTAATCTCCATTTTCCGAGTTTATCTGGTGCATGGTGCTTGATACAGTTGATGCTTTGCTTCTCCAAGACAAAATTCACACTCATCAGCAGAACAGTTTATATGGGTTAGAGCACACCCATACACCAAGCTCTAACCAGCTATGGGTGAGGTGAGGTGAAATTGGGTTTAACGTCGCGCTGGAGAATATTTCGCTCATATGACGACGTGCATGCGTGTGTATGTGCGGCTGCTTGTACTAGCCCAGACTGAAGCTGGTTTTATGTGCTAGCCCACTGAGACACCATGCCGCAGTTAAGCATGAATACCCCACTCAGACACATTATACTGACTCCAAGCCGACCAGTCCTTGTTGTACCCATTAATGCCGAGCGCCAGGCAGGGACCAACAAGTACCATATTTTAACATCTTTTGGTAATATTTCTTATATTTCTTATATTACGGTCGGGGATCAAACCCACAACCTTCCGCTCTCCCGGGCGGACGCTCTAACCACTACACCAAAGAGGCGGTCAACCAGCTATGGAATAAAATCACATCGAAACTGGATGTAACTGTTTAAAAACAGTCTCAAATCAGAGTGAGTGAATGAGCTGAACACAATGTCACCTATATCAATGTGACCTAAATCATAGAGGAACGCCCAACATGAAGTCATAGATGTCCATCATGTATTTGTGTTCTTCTGACAGACTAAGAATCATTATTAGAATGAACCAGGATCTGAAACCATAACTAAGGGAGGCAAGTTTTGGGGAACAAATTCCTGTAACCACCATGAACCATATCCAGAGAATAAATATCATCATAAATATTATAAGAAGCATCATTCTCACCTGTGAATTCTTCAGCTGTAATGAGACCAGTGCAGTAATGGGATCGGGCTTCAGATGGAGCATAGCATTTACCAAACCAGTGAAGGTAGGACTTCCGCTGAACAGTGACCCAAGGTCAAGCGTCATGCCATTTACTGACATCTTCTGGAAGAGGTCATTGAGGAAGTTGAGGACAAGTGATGCCCCATTCATGTATCCCTCCACAGCCTGGAATTCGGAAGTGTTGCCAAACACTCGAGCCAGAGCACTGTAGACAGTGACCATATTCCACAGGTTGGTCTGATTGTATTCCCTCTCAAGAAGATCCAGGGTAGCAGAAACATTAAAGGATGGCGGGTTCTGTATCAGATTGTTTATGTTTTGGGAAAGCTGTTCTGACTGTGTCATGATGCCTTTCCAGTCAGGAACAACCGACATGTTGTTCAATCCTGCAATGACTCTCTCAAGGTCAAGGTTACGGACAAGGTTGGCAACCATGGTGGATGTATTCAGGTTGCAGATGGCTTGTGTTAAAGCAGAGAAGTCAAATGTCGATGGCAGGTACAGAATATCTCTCCAAACGATCGGTGAGGTACATACGTTACTAGACGTGGGATCAATTAGTGCCCGAGCAAAACGTTCTGTGTCTTTCACTGGTGCTTTCATTAGTGTTTCCAGCATGTCGCCTTTCAATCCAATGGCTGTTATCACATCCCGGAGGATGGGGACCTGATTAAACATGGAGGTGAGAGTCAAACTCTTGTTCTGGAGACCCATTATGTTCTCGTTGAGCAGTCTCATCACAGCCTCCATCACTATGCCGTACTGGCGGAATGGTTCTTGCATCAGCAGTGGGCCCATCCTGGTCATCAAGTTCTCAATCCTGAGAAAATAATCATCAGTGTCATACTCTTGTTTGCTAGATAAAAACTATCAATGACTTGAGTGAGTGAGTGAGTTACGTTTTATGCCGCTTTTAGCAATATATCACGGTGGGGACCAATGGCTTGAATGACTGCAACATTAAATACTCACTCACTCACTCCAATGACACCAGAGGTTGCTAGTAGCATGTTTAGTGGTCTTCACTGTTAAACATTATCACAACCACATTCTCATGTTAATAAAGCCCCATTAGCATATATTTCAGCCACACTGTCACTCAGGTGATAAAACAATCATGATGACAGAGGACAGCTCCTGACCCTATGTTTGTCTTAGTCAGCATATTCCATCTTTGTTTTAACCAACAGACAAATCTATGATGTCTGGATGATGATGTAATAATTCATCAGTACGTCATCTGGTCCGGGTTGAATTGTCCACAACAAAAGTATACCACTTACTCAGCCTGTATAGCAGCAGGGTCCTGTCTAGCCATGGAATACTGCTGCAGCATGTTCAGCCAGTAGGTTTCATTCTCCCAGACGGGCGGCAGGACCACTCTGGGCGGCATCTGAACCCACCGGGTCACCTGATCCAGCACACGCTGAAACTTGTCTCCAACTTCCAGCCAGTTTACTTGTTCCGACCCATTCACCTGCAGCGACGAAACAGTTGTCAACATTTATATTACCAAGTTAAATACAACCCTACAAACTGATCTTCAGATCATATGTTGACAAATGTCACACAATGTCTTTCAGTGGCATTTAGAAGTTGTACATTGATGTCCAAGAACTGGCAGTTCACCTGATGAAGGGACCTGGAATGGTCTCGAAACGTTGTGAGAGAAATTAAAAAAGAAGTTTAATCCATAAAAATATCTTGGACATAAATGTCATACAGTTTGGGATGGCATTGTATACTCTCGCTGTACACAGCAGGTTGCATCACGCAGACGTGATGATAGCTTGTGTTCAAGATAAACTTCTCTTTAATAGGTCGGTGACATGTTTTACAATTGTTCATGTGATAATCAAGAAAACAACAGCTGTTCCTAAGTGTCCGAAACCCATAACCCATAATCGAAAACCAATAACTGTAAACCCATAACCAAAAACTGAACACCCATAACCAAAAACCCATAATCCATAAATGAAAAACAATAACTGAAAACCCATAACCCATGTTAGTTCTGTAAGACTAGTTTATACAAAACTTTGAAGTAACAGCAAATTAATCACAGCCATTTCCTTCAATGTATTTTAATCTTCCAAACACCCTAATTCCTCATTTCGACCTCCCCTACCGCACCTCGGCCCACCTCACCAAACTTCCTTATTGTGCTTGAAGCAGTGATTTTATGTCCAGGTTTCTAAGTACTTATGTGGATGGCTGAAATAGGTCAATGCCCAGATAATCTTTCCACTGTGGAATGTGGAATGATCAAACCATAAATGATAAAACTATAAAAGACAATAGTATTGGAATCTAATTGGATTGCCAAGAGAGACATCTTTTCATACTTGATGCAACATTGCAACATTTGACCCTACACTATAAGATAAACATACCACTCTCTCAATTCTTGGTATGTCAAAGGTTGCATAGACTTCGGGTTCCAGTTCCGTGATATTGATAGCACAGAAACCTCTCTGGAGTGCTGAGACATCGAAGGTCACACCAGGTGGCACTAGCAGGTACTGGGAGATGTCGGCACCAGGCCAGCATAGCGTCATGAAAAGATCGGTCACATTCGTCATTGCAAACAAAGGCGTCATCTGAAATGTAGTAATAACATTAATTAAAGTTGCCATGGAAACCTTAACTCATAATATACACCTGCCTGCAAACAATGAAATACATACATGTAGTCTAAGATAAAAAAAAGACTTTAAATTCAATTTCAAAGAGACTGGGGACTGGTCATTTATCATAGAAGGTGGTGGATTAGGTACTAAGGATTTATCTTGGAACTGTATCATATTTGGCTATTCTTTCCCCCATTCACATCTTACGAATAAAGAGGGTAACTCTTTTTCAAGGCAACATCCCTGATATAAAAAAGGACAAGCTCCTATATAATGAGCAAATTTAGAGCTTTTTTCCCTTGAAAATATAGTACTGTGTCATAGTGTTATGGCTTATTTTAATGTATTATCCTAGCACTAAGATCGAGACTGACCACTCCTATAGACGCTACTTCGGCAAGATTCTGAGGACTTATTCTGACCTAGAATCATCAATGGTGTATACAAGTATTGTTGAGCAGGTCATGCAGCTTACCTTTTGTGAGTTGAGGGACTCCATGAGGACAACCAACACCCCAGGTTCCTGTAGCAAGTCTATCATGGCCTGAAGCTGTGGGGACTGGGGGAAGATATCTCGGGGAGCAAATGAGGTTGCTGAAAAAGATACCAAGATCTTATAAAAGGCTCCACAGAAGACCTTAAATAAGACCAACTTTAAGTGATGTCCCTTTTTAGACTAAAACATGTTCAACCATTGTTCAAATCTTTATTTAAAATGTTTCCAACTAAAATACCAACAGAGAGTGTATAAAAAATTGTTTGTCAGTAATTCTCAGTAAATGGCTCTAAAATGTGCCTTAAAAATGAGCATTTTTTGTCAGAAAGACCATGTTTCATAAAACCTACCATTCTCCAGGATAAGCACATGATCCAATATTGTCTCCACAACAATCATGACAATTTCCATTGGTTTCAGCTGACTTCGGAGACCAGGGACACTGGTGACTATGTTTTGTGCAAGCAGGAAAATGGACTTGGGAGACCTGCAGTAATATAGGATGAAAGCATAACTTATCTCATAAAGAAATATATAAATAAATAAAACAAATATTTTTGAATTTTAACACCTTGATAATGCACATTCATTATAAAGTGAGTGAGTGAATAAGTGAGTGAGTGATTGAGTGATTATACTGAAGCCAGCAATATTAGAACTTCACTAGAACTGCTTTTAGTCAACTAAGCCTGAGCAGGAAAGGAGTGTATGAAATGGAGATTGGTTGGCATAAATAAGTGAAGGCAGTCTGTGAATTCTCTGTAGGAATCTGTTCTTACATGTAGACAGACGTTGACTGGTTCAAGTATCCGCCCATCCTCTGGATCACTGCCATCCAAATGGCCTCATCAAACATTGGAGGCAGACTCTGGAGCATCCCACTGGTTGTGTTGACGCTGGACAGCGCCTCAACAATCTGCATCATTGTCAGACGCAGGGCAGTGACATTCACAGGCTCAGTCATGTTGCCAGCCATCTGTAACACAGGAACACAGTTTCTTTGGGCATCATTTAGAAGCTGGTATGATGAACAGGAACAATGTTTTATGGATAGACAACTTCTTTATTGCCATGGATGCATACATGAAGAAAATGTCTGTATCTAGGTGACAGATGCTGGAAGCAGCTGTGTCTCAAACTTGTGACTACACGCTGTAGTGTTAAAACTGAGCACTATGACTGTATCTAGTCAACTTTTGCTGGGACCACCTGTATCTCAGACTTGTGGGCACACTGCAATATTAACACTGACTTATAGTCTGTTTGCAGTGAAATCGTACCGATGAATTTCACTCTAAACGACAAGGTAAATCAAATAAAGTGAAATTAAGATTACGAATCCTCATAATTTTACCTTGCCAATTGAACATTCAAATCTCAGAATTTTATTCAACTTAGGATAAAAGTTGTTTAACAAACGATCATAGTTTCAAATCGCTATTATTGGTTTGTATTACAAGGGGGTATGCAATTTAAATGAAACACCGAGAACAAGTAGTGTTGGTTTAAGTTAACGCTCATCACATACCGCACGTGCATTTGTTTCACTGTTCCATCTACTGCGCTTACCCCCTTGTAATACAAACCAATAATAGCAATTTGAATCCAGTTTGTTAAACAACTTTTATCCTAAGTTCAATAGAATTCTGAGATTTAAATGTTCATTTGGCAAGGTAAAATTATGAGGATTCGCAATCTTAATTTCACTTAATTTGATTTACTTTTTTGTTTAAAGTGAAATTCATTGGTACGTTTTCACTGCAAACAGACTATAATGTTATTTTGACCAGGAGTGATCAATATTCCAGCATGTAACTAGTCAAGTCTGGGACTTCCAATACAACTGGATGATAGTATCAGTAACACAAACTGCAGTATCACAAACAATTATCAATGTAACACACTGTAACTGTACAATTATAGATGTTTTGTCTGTTTGTTGTTTCACATCCACACTCAGCAATATTCCAGCTATATGGTGGCTGTCTGTGAACATCGAGTCTGGACCAGACAATCCAGTGATCAACAGCATGCGCATCAATCTATGCAACTGGTATACGATGATAAAACCAAGTCAGCAAGCCTGACTACTCAATCCTGCTAGTCACCTCTTACAACAAGCAAGGGTTGTTGGAGACAAATCTTAACCCGGATCTTCCAGGGTCATAAAATATAGAAATTACAACTACCAAAAGGTTATGAAAAAGTATAGAAAACATGACTATAGAAACTCAATGATAAAGTGTAGGAATTACAACATTGTATGTCGATGAATAAGTGAGTTTAGTTATATGCTGCTTTTAGCAATATTCCAGCAATATCACGGTGGGGGACACCAGAAATGGGCTTCACACATTGTGCCCATATGGGGAATCAAACCCGGATCTTCGGTGTGACGAGCAAACATGTTAACCACTAGGCTACCCCACTGCCCCGTACGTCAATGAAAAGTAGTGGAGTTAAACCATCACATGAGTTCCAGCTGTCATAGTGTTGATATCACTGATCAGAACTTTGTCACCTACCAGAGCAGCCATTGTGTCACTCCCAGAATAACGCTGGGATTCCTCCATGAGAGCTGTGATGTTGATGGAACACATGGTCCTTAAGAATGGCGTCATGCTGAACGTCAGAGCTGGGGGAACAGTGAACAGAGTGACAGGGTCTGTTCCACAGAACGTCTCCAGTGACTGCATGGCTGAACTCCACCGAACAGTCTGAAACAAACGGAGGTTGCAAGTCAGGCAATCAATTGTTCACTATGTGCCTACAGCATGTTGATTATTTCATTGTTAAAATTGAAGATGACTGATCTGAATAGAATATGGTTACATTTTTTTCTGGCAATAAATTTGTAGATACACCAGTGACCACGCTTCCTCTTGGACATACATGGTGGAAGAACAGGGAAGTTCTGACCCGAAGTGCGACCTCAACTGACCTTCTCTGGTGAAAACAGGTTGGTATACAGCGTGACCTCCAAGACAAATGGCAAATCGTTCATGAGCTGTGAGATCTTCAGCATGTTCGGGAAATCTTGCAATGTCTCATTCAGGGGTTCTGTCAAAATTCAAATGAAAATATTTTTGTCAATTTAAGATGCACAGCAGCACATTATCTGGGGTTATCAGTGTGTAGACACATAAATTAGTGGAGCAAGTTATAAGTTATACTACAATTTTGTATTTATAACTATTTTCAAATTATTATATAATTAGGGGCTAATTAGGTCCCTTACAATACATTCTATTCATAGCAGCTGAATAGACAGGAGAGTGTGTGCCTAGACTGACTCCGAGTCATGGTGCTCCAATAGCAAGGAATGTTAACTCATACTGACAACACTTTTAGCTTACTAAAGTTGCAGAATACTATGATTCAGGACCACAGTTCAGGTTCACAATTCAGGATCACAATTCTGAACCACAATTCAGGATCACAATTCTGAACCACAATTCAGGATCACAATTCTGAACTACAATTCAGGACCACAGTTCAGGTCCACCATTCAGGATCACAATTCAAGGTCCACAATTCAAGGTCACAATTCACATCCAAAATTCAGGACCACCATTTAGGACCACAATTAGGGTCCACAGTGCAGGATCACAATTCAAGATCACAATTCAAGATCACAATTCAGGTCCACCATTCAGGACCTCAGTTCATGTCCACAATTCAGTAGACATTTTGAACACACTATCCTACTCTCTGTGCTGCAAACTATCAATTCCAATTAACCAATGACTTTTACAAAAGACAATGGCCACATTATATATCCCAAGAAGCAAACACGTAGTACCAGAATTCCTCCGTATCTGAAGTAGCACACTTTCACTGATGACTTCCATGTACTTCATTGCAACCATGGCCTCGAGAATATCAACAAGACTGGCAAATACCATCTCAAACATTCGCGTCTGTGTCTCCACCACAAATCTGAAATCAATAATGATAAATCTCTTAAACAGGAAATGAATTTACCTATTTATGAATAAAATGCCAGATATGACTCCATAAAAGAGTGAGTGAGTGAGTATGGTTTTATGCTGCTTTTAGCAATATTCCAGCAATATCACCAGAACCAGAAATGGGCTCAACATATTGTACCCATGTGGGGAATGGAACCCAGGCCTTTGGCATGACAAGCAAATGCTTTGACCACAAGGCTACCCCACAACCCCATTCAATAAAAGAATGATCATAGAAAAGGAATGAGGTGCTGGTGTGACCCACCCTCTGTAATCTAGGTTTTTATATGTCCATTCTATTGTGCTAAATACCCTGGGAAAATCAGCCATGGTACCATTGTTTTAGGTCTTGTTCTAACATAAGCCATTCAATCAAATTCCACTGTCCTTTCCTGATTAAAACAATATCATCATGTTTAAAGTTATTGCAGTTATCTGGTATCATCATACTGGTCCAGAACTAACTAGTTTTACAGTGCTAGTTCATTGAGATACCCTACCACAGTTTACCATTGATACATGACTCAGCCACATACTACTAACTCTGAGGCAAAGAAGCAGGACAACAGGGTAAGACAAACTATTATCTTTTCTAAGATGCTTCCTAAAAGATCAACGGTGCCAACAGTACTTTATCAGGCGATAAAGTACACTTTTTGCATTACGTCACACTGTATTGATGTCACTGCGCCATTCTCGTCTGCCCCCTCGAAATAAACGTACCCTTGATAACCAACGTCACGATGCATGTTAGTTGTCATCGCCTCATAGTCTCCTACAGTAAACTACTCCATAGCACCCTGTCTCCTGCTTTGCAGTTGCTAACGTCACTGGTGGAAACATTACGTTTAACTTTTTTCGACGTATAAATGTCTCAGCTTGAATCACAATTAAACAGCGATATGGCAATGTTCGCTAACTAAGCCTGTGTCTACAGACCCAGAAGGCATTCGTGGAAAGTTGCGTGACTAGTCAACTTCATCTGGATTTACAGTTAAAACCTTACTTTGGTATTAGAAGTGTGATGTTCACATTTCCCAATGTGGTTTATGACAATCACAGATGTAACTAAAAATAATATAGAGAAGATAGCATTTGTAATGTTACAATCTGTCGTAGCTGTGTAGATTGTCATAGGTTTACGATGATGAGCTACGAACACTTTATCGAATGGGCCCTTATGCAAAATATTACATCACTTCTGTTGTTACCGATTGCTCTGATTATGCAGATTTTCAGCTTCAGTTTTCAGGTCATGATATATCTTAAGTTTGCTTAGCAACACTCATGTATACCCATGAAGGTCCGGGTTAGAATATTGATCTTCAGTAACTCATGCTTGTCGTAAGAGGCGACTAACGGGATCGGGTGGTCAGGCTTGCTGACTTGTTTGACACATGTCATCGGTTCCCAATTGCGCAGATCGATGCTCATGCTGTTGATCACTGGATTGTCTGGTCCAGACTCGATTATTTACAGACCGCCGCCATACAGCTGGAATATTGCTGAGTGCGGCGTAAAACTAAACTCACTCACTCACTCATGTAAAACCTTCAAATCCAAATGAAGCAAACATGGTCTAGTTCAAAATGAAGAAAAGCATTAGAGCTTACTAACCCAGGGTCCTGGAACCTGCTCAGTACAGCATTCATGTCTTGAAGGAAGGTCTCCCCAAGTTCAGCGTAGATGGTAGCATTCATCCAGTCGTTGTTTGTGAAGAACACAATATTTGGTGGGTTCATGATGGTGCGGTTGAGCAGACTCTGGTATGTTAGTTGGTCGGCGATGAGCGTGGACATATTGACACGGAGCTGCTCGACTGGTATTGTGTTTAGTGATATCCCAATTATCTGAAACAAATAACATATTTGAGAACTGACTTCAGTATTTCTTTGCATTTATGGTGGTGCCAACGTAGAAATCACTGACAGTATATTTCATCATTATTGAGAGAGTGAGGTACAATTGAACAACATATCGGCAATATTTCCGGCCATATTGTGACAATATTTCATCATCAACACAAAGAAATGTTGATGATATGAAATCAGTGACATCATTCAGCATGAAGAGCATCACAAGACTTATCCACTTTACTGTCAGCCAATCAGGAAACTGAAGTCCACCAGGGAACATGGCGGATTATTGTCTTAGGTTTATGGAAACATGTATGCATAACATATGTCTTGGTTAGCCAATCAAAGGCTATTATGGTATCGCTTGCAATATATTTTTTAAGGGAATACTGAGACAAAATTGACCTCAGGATGGCATTACAGACATATTAAATTGATTTTGTGACAAGAGTATGTGAGGTGAGCTAAAATAGCGACCCACATGCACATGTGTGGCTGCTTGTCCTAGTCCGGACTATGTGAGTTATATAATACCAGTCCAACAAGATTCTATGCCTCTTGAAATGGCTTCAGTTTTAACTAACATGACCGTGAAATGGTCTTGTTCAAATTATCACCATAATGTAGAAACAATAGGCATAAATGAAGGTTACAAGCAGAAAGTGGAAGATACAGCTACTCACAGCATCTGCAAACTCCGCGAATCCATCCCAGTTCTGTCTGAGCTGTTCATACATCACTGTATAGTTGAGGTTGCCAGCAGAACACAGGGTTGTCTGCAGGGTGGACGGGTCAGCTCGGGACTTGGACATGTCAAACACGGACGTGAACACAGTCACATTCGAACACAGCTGTCCCCAAAAGTCAGGCATGTTGAGGAACTTTGTGAACTGGAGAAGAGAATGACATTTCAGTTATGTACACAGTGGTACAAATTTCTATTTATCTGGATAGTGGGAACATTTAAAGGGAAGTTTTTGCAAATCCATTAAAAGACAGGATTTCAAGAAGCATGTTCTCACAGTACAGGACTCTTATTACTGTATAAGAATGAAACAAGTACAAGTTAAGTAGTAACAAAAATGAAAATGCAATAAAATAATATTGTGCTCATAACACAAGGCACTGACATACAATACAATGACTTTAGATCTGATATTTATTTTTGACAAATTTAGTTTTAGGCACGACATGACTGAAAGGACATTTGTTTTTCTGAAAAAGAAATCCAGAGATATTTTAAACAAGATTTTGTTTTATTCATACAGTAACATTACTCACCTTCTGTGGTTCCGTGAAATAGGAGACGAGTGAGTCCAACACAAGTTCGGTAAACTCCGGTGCCAGTTCTGTCGGCCTGGATGATTTCTTCAACTCATCAGAACCAAGGTAGTCGTAAAAATTCACTGTGCTATGTGCTGCAAGTACATTGAATGTTAGTTTCACCTGGAATTTTGATTCTCATCTTCTCAAAGTTGATGATCTCAGTTGTGCCTGCCCTTATATGGTCTTGCTGGGCCAGGCCAATAGATTTGCTGGTTATACAAATGTTCTTTGTCAATATGAACAAATAGAAAGCACCTTTTGAAAAAAGGTTTTCCAAAGGTGGGTCAACTTTAGTTTCCAAAGAAACCTCTTAAATTATGTTCTTAAACAGACATTTAAACTAAATATTGCACAAAAGCATATTTTCAATCAAACACATCTTTGATGTAAATTTGTGGGTTACAAAACAAATTGGTTAGGTAGAAAATGAAATACTGGACATCCTGCTGAGAAACACACAAGCATGGACATCCTGCTGACAAACATACAAGCATGGACATCCTGCTGACAAACACACAAGCATGGACATCCTGCTGAGAAACATACAAGCATGGACATCCTGCTGAGAAACACACAAGCATGGACATCCTGCTGACAAACATACAAGCATGGACATCCTTCTGACAAACATACAAGCATGGACATCCTGCTGAGAAACATACAAGCATGGACATCCTGCTGAGAAACACACAAGCATGGACATCCTGCTGACAAACATACAAGCATGGACATCCTGCTGACAAACATACAAGCATGGACATCCTGCTGACAAACACACAAGCATGGACACCCTGCTGAGAAACATACAAGCATGGACATCCTGCTGACAAACATGGAGCATGGACATCCTGCTGAGAAACAACACATGGACATCCTGCTGACAAACATGGACATCCTGCTGACAAACATACAAGCATGGACATCCTGCTGACAAACACACAAGCATGGACATCCTGCTGACAAACACACAAGCATGGACATCCTGCTGACAAACACACAAGCACACACAAGCATGGACATCCTGCTGACAAACACACAAGCATGGACATCCTGCTGAGAAACACACAAGCATGGACATGGACAACCATACAAGCATGGACATCCTGCTGACAAACATACAAGCATGGACATCCTGCTGACAAACACACAAGCATGGACACCCTGCTGAGAAACACACAAGCATGGACATCCTGCTGACAAACATACAAGCATGGACATCCTGCTGAGAAACATACAAGCATGGACATCCTGCTGACAAACATACAAGCATGGACATCCTGCTGACAAACATACAAGCATGGACATCCTGCTGACACGAAACATGGACATCCTGCTGACAAACATACAAGCATGGACATCCTGCTGACAAACACACAAGCATGGACATCCTGCTGACAAACACCATGGACATCCTGCTGACAAACATACAAGCATGGACATCCTGCTGACAAACATACAAGCATGGACATCCTGCTGACAAACATACAAGCATGGACATCCTGCTGAGAAACATACAAGCATGGACATCCTGCTGACAAACATACAAGCATGGACATCCTGCTGACAAACATACAAGCATGGACATCCTGCTGACAAACACACAAGCATGGACATCCTGCTGACAAACACACAAGCATGGACATCCTGCTGACAAACACACAAGCATGGACACCCTGCTGAGAAACACACAAGCATGGACATCCTGCTGACAAACATACAAGCATGGACATCCTGCTGAGAAACACACAAGCATGGACATCCTGCTGACAAACATACAAGCATGGACATCCTGCTGAGAAACATACAAGCATGGACATCCTGCTGACAAACATACAAGCATGGACATCCTGCTGAGAAACACACAAGCATGGACATCCTGCTGACAAACATACAAGCATGGACATCCTGCTGACAAACACACAAGCATGGACATCCTGCTGACAAACATACAAGCATGGACATCCTGCTGACAAACACACAAGCATGGACATCCATGCATGACATCCTGCTGACAAACACACAAGCATGGACATCCTGCTGACAAACAAGCATGGACATCCTGCTGACAAACATACAAGCATGGACATCCTGCTGACAAACACACAAGCATGGACATCCTGCTGACAAACATACAAGCATGGACATCCTGCTGACAAACATACAAGCATGGACATCCTGCTGACAAACACACAAGCATGGACATCCTGCTGACAAACATACAAGCATGGACATCCTGCTGACAAACATACAAGCATGGACATCCTGCTGACAAATATAGACACATAATCATAGAACAACGGAAGAACTTACTGGTCATGTATGTTAGTATTTGGTTCATGAAGTTCATGATGTGATGATTCATGTAGAGTTGGCCATACATGGAGTTGAGGATTAGGGCTTCGGCATTGTTTTCTGTAGAGTTCCCCATAGTCATGTCCAGTTTTTCCAGGGACATCTGGATCATTGTAACCAAGTCTCCCAGTCTGCAAAACGAGGTAGTGAGTGAGGAAAGGTAAAATATCAGTTTAAGCAATATAAGTAACATTTTCTATGTTACCTGCTGGGCGTGTCGAACTGTTGGAATTCATTTGGTACTTCGTGTTAGTAATTCTTCACCTCGAATAATAGAGTCACGTATGATGTACGGAAATTACCGATGTTTTGCGAATACAAATTGATGGAAGGGAGATAACTCTAAACTCAGTATTGACTAATTGCCTATCTCTGGTACTTCTTATTATGATCCGAGACCCGTGCTTCAAACAGTTCAAAATTAACGTACATAAACAAACATAAAGGGTACAGTGAACAACTTATATTATGATTACTTAAAGAATTATCTGATTTTAGCAAGGTGAAAGTTCCAACCGACCTCTGAAAGTCAATGTTCTGGAGAGACTGCATGGCAGCAACAAACTCTGTCCACTTCATGTCAATAGCAGAAATGTTGAAGGGGGCGAGGTTAAACTCTTGGGTTTGGTTCATGACAAGTCCTCCAGATATCCACTGAAGATACTGCTCTGTGTTGACCATTAACTCAGTCCAGTTGACTGTCACATCTGGCAGGTTGGACAGGTCAGGGTTTGACAGAATAGTCAGCTGTTGGATTGAATCAACTTTGTAAATGATACGAAGACATGCTGCACACTGATTGGCTTATAAATGTGTTCACTGGGATTTAAAAAAATGTTGTTAGTTAAAGAAAATCCTTTATGAGAATTTTATTTCATGGCTAAAAAAAATGCCGGAATAGTTAACTCAAAAGTAAGTGAGTTTAGTTTTATCCCGCTTTTTAAAGCAATATTCCAGCAATTACATCGCGGGGGACACCAGAAATGGGCTTCACACATTGTACCCATGTGGGGAATTGAACCTGGGTCTTCAGTGTGATGAGCAAACGTTTTAACCACTGGGCTACACCACCACCCAGTTAACTCAAGAAAAACAAAAAATACATCTAGAAACAAGATGGTTGTGACCTTAAGAACGATGCCATGGCTGCCATTTTGAAAATTCGAACATTACTTCTGAGGGAATTATGTAATTTTCTGCTCATAAATGGAGAGAGTGACAAGCATGGGCGATCATGTGACTGATTTTGGCACCAAACAGTAAAGGGAGGCAACCTTGGGTGAGTAATTTTACGTCCCCTTTTTTTCAAGGGAGCTTCAAAAAGGGATTCAAGTGTTCCACTATCATTCGCAAGAAGAAGGAGACAAGCAAAAAGCATGAGTCAGGATAAGGAAAAATTGGGATTTTACAGTAGATAAAATTCTTATGAGATAAAAAAAATAATTTCAGTCTTTAAGGGCGATATTGAGTATTTGATTTACCATGGCCCTTTGAATGTTAAATTGTGTAATGCTAAATAAAAAAAAGAGACACTGTCTGGTTCCACAGAGCTGGTAGTTCTGGACCAACCCACCTGATTCACGTACTCCTGCATGTTGGGATCTTGCTGTAGAAGCCTCATACCAAATGCTGTCCAGTTGAACGAGCAGGCCAGCTGTTCGAATTCAACAAGGGAGCTGTTGGTGTCAATGTCCATGAAGTCAGTTAGCCAAGATGTTGAGCAGTCCGGTCCAGCATAGCCAGCTTGGAGGGCAAAGATCTTTCTAACCAGCTGCAAACAGTGAGTGAGTTTGGTTTTACGCTGCTTTTATCAATATTCCAGCAATGCCATGGCGGGGACACGAGAAATGGGCTTCACATATTTTACCCATGTGCATGACGAGCGGACGCTTAACCAATAAGGCTACCCAACCGCCCCAATCTAGCTGCAAAGACATTTCCGCAGATAGTTTATATGAATGAAAATAACATTTGTGATAAATACTATTTTGGTAATATTATTGTTAACTGTGATAAAAGTTCAATGAAAACACTATATAATTGTTTAGACAATTGTAACAGAGAAGTTATTTAGTACCATTGTTTTTAACATATTGATTGCTCTTGTTTTGGCACAATAGTATAGTTTTGGCACTAAGATCTGCACTTTGGCTTTATCTGGTCTAATATTCACACTGCTATCTAATGTATCTACTATCTGGTCTAGTATTCACACTGCTATCTAATGTATCTACTATCTGGTCTAATATTCACACTGCTATCTAATGTATCTACTATCTGGTCTAGTATTCACACTGCTATCTAATGTATCTACTATCTGGTCTAATATTCACACTGCTATCTACTGTATCTACTATCTGGTCTAATATTCACACTGCTATCTAATGTATCTACTATCTGGTCTAGTATTCAAACTGCTATCTAATGTATCTACTATCTGGTCTCATGTTCACAGCAGTGTGCAAAATAGTTTCCAAATGTTGCTAGATAGTCGGGCTAGTTATGCCTGAAAGTTACTAGTCAAAAACATAATTCACTAGCCCAAAATTTGAATGTAGAAATTAAGGAAATATTACAGAAACATAAAATATCATTATTTATCAGGCCATAATCTTGCATGATTTAAAAGTGTATTATAACTCAACAAGTCGGAGAGAGTGATATATGTAAAAAATTACCCCATGAAAAATCACTAGCCAGTTGGGCCAGTGACTGTGGAGATTTACTGGCCCGACTGGATATTTACTTGTCACGGCTGGCGGGCCAGTGGCTATTTCACACACTGGTTCACAGACTGGTCTTGCATCAACACTGTAGGGTTTAATAATATCATCTTTTGTTTTGCACTGTGGATGTATATAGTGGGACATATATTTGACAGTTCCCAGAAGTCTATCTCATATTAGAGTACAGAAACATTTACAAACAACAAAGCACTCCTACCTTCTCTGGATTTATGATTGTATTCTTGAGGGCCTCAATGAAGTCTGGAGTTAAAGCTGCCATCTTGCTGGCGAAAGCTTGGAACTCAGCTGGGAACATCTTCAACAGGTCTGAATAGCTGTTGGTTGCTGTAGACACACATAAGTCAAGCTTTATCACAGCTTCATGTGGGAGGACAGTCAAACTGTTTGATTGTCAGCTTCATGTGGGAGGACAGTCAAACTGTTTGATTGTCAGCTTCATGTGGGAGGACAGTCAAACTGTTTGATCGTCAGCTTTATGTGGGAGGACAGTCAAACTGTTTGATTGTCAGCTTCATGTGGGAGGACAGTCAAACTGTTTGTCAGCCTTATGTGGGAAGACAGTCAAACTGATTGATTGTCAGCTTCATGTGGGAGGACAGTCAAACTGTTTGATTGTCAGCTTCATGTGGGAGGACAGTCAAACTGTTTGTCAGCTTTATGTGGGAAGACAGTCAAACTGTTTGATTGTCAGCTTCATGTGGGAGGACAGTCAAACTGTTTGATTGTCAGCTTCATGTGGGAGGACAGTCAAACTGTTTGATTGTCAGCTTCATGTGGGAGGACAGTCAAACTGTTTGATTGTCAGCTGTATGTGGGAGGACAGTCAAACTGTTTGATTGTCAGTTTCATGTGGGAGGACAGTCAAACTGTTTGATTGTCAGCTGTATGTGGGAGGACAGTCAAACTGTTTGATTGTCAGCTGTATGTGGGAGGACAGTCAAACTGTTTGATTGTCAGCTGTATGTGGGAGGACAGTCAAACTGTTTGATTGTCAGCTGTATGTGGGAGGACAGTCAAACTGTTTGTCAGCTTCATGTGGGAGGACAGTCAAACTGTTTGATTGTCAGCTTCATGTGGGAGGACAGTCAAACTGTTTGATTGTCAGCTTCATGTTGGAGGACAGTCAAACTGTTTGATTGTCAGCTGTATGTGGGAGGACAGTCAAACTGTTTCATTGTCAGCTTCATGTGGAAGGACTGTGGAGGACAGTCAAACTGTTTGATTGTCAGCTGTATGTGGGAGGACAGTCAAACTGTTTGATTGTCAGCTTCATGTGGGAGGACAGTCAAACTGTTTGTCAGCTTCATGTGGGAGGACAGTCAAACTGTTTGATTGTCAGCTTCATGTGGGAGGACAGTCAAACTGTTTGATTGTCAGCTTCATGTTGGAGGACAGTCAAACTGTTTGATTGTCAGCTGTATGTGGGAGGACAGTCAAACTGTTTCATTGTCAGCTTCATGTGGAAGGACTGTGGAGGACAGTCAATCTGTTTGATTGTCAGCAGTATGTGGGAGGACAGTCAAACTGTTTCATTGTCAGCTTCATGTGGAAGGACTGTGGAGGACAGTCAATCTGTTTGATTGTCAGCAGTATGTGGGAGGACAGTCAAACTGTTTGATTGTCAGCTGTATGTGGGAGGACAGTCAAACTGTGTGTTTGCTAGCTTAACAAACAAACAAAAAACACCAGACATGGGAAGTCTGCACTGATATTAGTAAATGTCTTGTGATTCATAATCATAAGCTTTCCAATATCAAGAGCCACATCATGGGGCCCCAATAAGATTTGATCTGCTTCTTACTCACCATTATAACTTGAGTAGTAGTGATTATAGAGTTTAATCATTGCATTGTAGCCCAGCAAACTGTGTTCCACCACCTTCCACTCATTGCTGTTCTGCATGGAAGGTTCAAGTTGGTGCATCACAGCAAAGGAAATGTCCATGAAGCTGAAACCAGACATCATAGAATCAGCGGACGTATGTATACTTCAACATACAGGAGTACACACATATCATAGAATCAGCGGACGTATGTATACTTCAACATACAGGAGTACACACATCATAGAATCAGCGGACGTATGTATACTTCAACATACAGGAGTACACACATCATAGAATCAGCGGACGTATGTATACTTCAACATACAGGAGTACACACATCATAGAATCAGCGGACGTATGTATACTTCAACATACAGGAGTACACACATCATAGAATCAGCGGACTTATGTATACTTCAACATACAGGAGTACACACATCATAGAATCAGCGGACTTATGTATACTTCAACATACAGGAGTACAGACATCATAGAATCAGCGGACTTATGTATACTTCAACATACATAAGTACAGACATCATAGAATCAGCGGACTTATGTATACTTCAACATACAGGAGTACAGACATCATAGAATCAGCGGACTTATGTATACTTCAACATACAGGAGTACAGACATCATAGAATCAACGGACTTATGTATACTTCAACATACAGGAGTACAGACATCATAGAATCAACAGACTTATGTATACTTAGAATCAGCGGACAACATACAGGAGTACAGACATCATAGAATCAACGGACTTATGTATACTTCAACATACAGGAGAATACATGACATCATAGAATCAGCAGGGACTTATGTATACTTCAACATACAGGAATACAGACATCATAGAATCAGCGGACTTATGTATACTTCAACATACAGGAGTACAGACATCATAGAATCAGCGGACTGATGTATACTTCAACATACAGGAATACAGACATCATAGAATCAGCGGACTTATGTATACTTCAACATACAGGAATACAGACATCATAGAATCAGCGGACTGATGTATACTTCAACATACAGGAATACAGACATCATAGAATCAGCGGACTTATGTATACTTCAACATACAGGAATACAGACATCATAGAATCAGAATCAGGACTTATGTATACTTCATACAGGAATACAACATACAGGAGTAGTACAGACATCATAGAATCAACTTATGTATAATTTCCAACATACAGGACTTATGTATACTTCAACATACATCATAGAATCAGCGGACTTATGTATACATACAGGAATACAGACATCAGCGGACTTATGTATACTTCAACATACAGGAAGACATACAGACATCATAGAATCAGCGGACTTATGTATACTTCAACATACAGGAGTACAGGAATACAGACATGTATACTTTCATACAGGAATCATAGAATCAGCGGACTTATGTATACTTCAACATACAGGAGTACAGACATCATAGAATCAGCGGACTTATGTATACTTCAACATACAGGAATACAGAATCATCATGTATACTTCAACATACAGGAATAATCAGCGGGACTTATGTATACTTCAACATACAGGATACAGGAATACAGACATCATAGAATCAGCGGACTTATGTATACTTCAACATACAGGAGTACAGACATCATAGAATCAGCGGACTTATGTATACTTCAACATACAGGAGTACAGACATCACAGACATCATAGAATCATAGAATCAGCGGACTTATGTATACTTCAACATACAGGACATTATTATGTATACTTCAACATACAGGAGTACAGACATCATAGAATCAGCGGACTTATGTATACTTCAACATACAGGAGTACAGACATCACAGAATCAGCGGACTTATGTATACTTCAACATACAGGAGTACAGACATCATAGAATCAGCGGACTTATGTATACTTCAACATACAGGAGTACAGACATCACAGAATCTGCAGCAACACCAAACCAACACCATCATACCAATGACCCCACACCTACAGCATACAAACTACACTACATCAGCATTATACCAACATCACCACACCAACATCACCACACCAACTACATTATACCAATGACATCAAGTAAAGAAGCTTCACCTTGCCATATCCTTGTATGTAAATCCCTTCATGATGTCTCCCATCACTGTAGCAACTTCCTCCATCCGAGAGAAGTTAGCAACCATCATTAGGCTCAGTGGACCATCTACCATTGTGAGCAGATTCCCTGGCTGACTCAGCATTGTCACAGACCTCTCTGTGTAGTCCATGATCTCTGACCAGTCCTTCTGTAGGTCATACGTGAGTCCGGGCTGTGGCAGAGTTGCATTGATTATCTGTAAGGAATTAGACAGTGTGTACAGCATCATAAACAATGTCCAGTTGTCTCTCATGTAATATGCTATATGTATAGTCAGTGAATCAGGGACTTGGGTGTAACATTGCATCGAACAGTATTGGAGTATGAGAATCCCAACAAACCAGCTTTTGGAAGACTGTGGACCTACTTTTTAAGAGAATCCCCACAGCATGCCAACCTTAGGTGACCAGATACCTATTTAGTACCAGAATCTCCCACAAGCCAACTTTGGGGGACTGTGGACTTACTTTGTACCAGAATCTCCCACAAGACAACTTTGGGGGACTGTGGACTTACTTTGTACCAGAATCTCCAACAAGACAACTTTGGGGGACTGTGGACTTACTTTGTACCAGAATCTCCAACAAGACAACTTTGGGGGACTGTGGACATACTTTGTACCAGAATCTCCAACAAGACAACTTTGGGGGACTGTGGACCTACTTTGTACCAGAATCTCCCACAAGACAACTTTGGGGGACTGTGGACCTACTTTGAACCAGAATCTCCCACAAGCAACTTTGGGGGACTGTGGACGTACTTTGTACCAGAATCTCCCACAAGACAACTTTGGGGGACTGTGGACGTACTTTGTACCAGAATCTCCCACAAGCCAACTTTGGGGGACTGTGGACCTACTATGTACTAGAATCTCCCACAAGACAACTTTGGGTGACTGTGGATGAACTTTGTACCAGAGTCTCCCACAAGCCAACCTTGGGGGACTGTGGACGAACTTTGTACCAGAGTGACCCACAAGTTAATTTTGGGGGACTGTGGACGTACTATGTACTAGAATCTCCCACAAGACAACTTTGGGGGACTGTAGACTTGCTATGTACTAGAATCTCTCACAAGACAACTTTGGGGGACTGTAGACTTACTTTGTACCAGAATCTCCCACAAGACAACTTTGGGGGAGAATCTCCACAGCATACCAACCTTAGCATACCAGATACCTATTTAGTACCAGAATCTCCACAAGCCAACTCTGGGGTACAAAGGACCGATTTAACACCAGAATTCCCCAAGGCCCACCTTTGGGTACAGTGGTCCTACTTCCTACCAGAATCTCCCACAAGCCAACTGTGGGGTACCCGGGACCTACTTTGTACCAGAACCCACACACACCAAGGACTGGATACTGGGGACATTTGTTGTACCGAAATCCTCAGGAGGAACATTCAGGAGGAAGATTCAGGAAGAACAGTCAGGAAGAACATTCAAGAAATAACATGTGTGTACCTGCTGGATCATGACCTCCACAGCAGACGGCATACCCATGACCTGGTTGTAAACCTCTGGGAGTTCATAGCAGACCATGTTGGATAAGTCAGTGTGGGGAACGTATGATGGAAGTGGCATCTGCTGAACCCAGGAACACATGGCTGCCATAGGATCCGGATTAGACACGATCTGTATGATCTGGTATCAAAACAAAATGACATCAATAAGAGTCTAGTCTCATGCAAAGTATGGTGTATGTTGGCCAATTAATGTGCTTAATAGTATAAGATTCTGTCCTCAAACTGGACAAAGATTTACACTTGACCATTCTACAACCAAGTATCACTGGACAATGCCTCACAACCCAGAAAGTAAATGTAGACATGTTGACATCCATGCTCTGGGAACAAGCATTTGATAGTAAAGGTTCAGGACAATTTGCAAAGGTGAAAGCAAAAGTCACCTGAGGTTTACTTTGAAAATATTATGTGAAATTCTGAACATCCTCATAGGTAACATCTGTTCAACATTTGGGGACAGGACATTTAATTAATTGGTAGGTATCCCCATGGGCACTATTGTTCTCCCTTTTTTGGTAATCCACATCTTCCTGCATAGGAATCAGAATTCCAACTCAAACTGGCAACATCAATGCATGGTTTAATTTAAATCTTCAGGTATAATAATGTGAAATACTTCAATAATGACAATTCTCTGTCACTGACTTTTCATCTGAACTAGGAATAAATGATACCATTAAAAAGATGAAAAATACCATTCATCTGTTTCCCATTTGGATCTAACAGTAAACAAACAGCAAACGTTTAAGATAAGATTTGTATCTTCAAGTTTACTCTGGCCCCAGGATTATTAAACAGTCAGTCCAGATAACTGTATGAAAACAATGATGAGAGAAGAATGACTTGACCATGAAACAAGTAATGTATCTAGTTTGTTTGGTTTTTATTAGCAATGTGACCTCAACAGATTGAACTGTACAAGGATGTATGGGAACTGGAACAGCCTGACCATGGACTGACCTGTTGAGGGTTCTTGGCAAGGTTGGACATCGCCTGGAGAAGTTCCGGTGCATAGTTAGAGATCATCTGCACCATACGACCCATTGTGGAGGTAGGTGAGAACATGTCTTAAAAAAGATATTATTTAAATATAATATTCAAGTGTGAATTCAAGAAAGAGTAAAATATATATTGTAGAAAAATATGAGTAAAACAATAACATTAATCAACAATATAAGAATAAGTTAATAAAGTATATTTCATGTTTCAAATCACTTGAAATATTCATAAACAATTTAATTATTATCCAACATTTATCCTGATGGTGAAATCAAGCATATATTTTCCACCATACATCTATAAAGTAATGCTTACTCTTTTATTTAATAATCTTGTTCTGTAATACTTTGGAGGCAGGGACAAATTTGAGTCTGGATTAGACTGGTTTGGTGTTTGTTTTGTTGTTTAACGCCGCACACTGCAATATTCCAGCTATATGGTGGCGGTCTGTAAATAATCAAGTCTGGACCAGACAATCCAGTGATTAACATCATGAGCATCGATCTATGCAATTGGGAGACGATGACATGTGTCAACCAAGTCAGCAATCCTGACCACCTGATCCCGTTAGCCTTTTACGACAAGCATGGGTTACTGAAGACCAATTCTAACCCGGATCTTCACTGGTCAAGTCTGGACTAGTCAATAGTCAATCCAGTTATTCAGGTTACAAACAATCATCCACACTGCCAGGCAAGCAATCAACCAAGTTAAGAAGCTTGACAACTAATAGATGTGGTTAAATCTCACAGTCTTGTGTATAAACAGTTACAATATCCCCATCAAAAGTTGATCAGGATGCCTTTATACATACCAGTAAATAAGTTAGATTTTTCAATTGTTTCCCAAAATAAAATGATCATTAAATCTTTGAAACATATGGAATTAAAATGCCACTCTTACCAATATACATCTTTAGATACTGGTAAGAATACTTGATAACAGCATCTGCCATGTGTACATACTGGCCGATCATAGGACCAACGTTTCAGTTACCCATGGCTGTTCCAAAACCTCGGAACATCGCCAGAAACCTGAAATCATTAAATACAATTAGACTTGTAACAAATTCTTCACACAAAAAAAGAAAGAAAATTAAATTGCAACAGAGACGAGGGAGAAAGAGATACTTGTCTTAGATAGCTTACAAGAGAATCTTGGATTCAAACCTGAAATGTTTCTGTTTCTGACTTTGGCAATCTTGCCATTCCCCTCCCCTATTTCAATTTCAGTGTGGTTCATATGTAACATAGCATCAAACAGAGGCAGTGACAGCAATTTTAGTCATATTTAAGCAAGTTTGTCATGTGTGATAATATTTGGACATTTACTACACAAAGAGCAAAGATTGTTAAGGAAGGAAATTATAGGTAAATGCATCATCAGCAAGTCCTGGCAGGACAAAGGGAAACAACTCTGCACAGCAATTGCACTGCCTTAGGCTACAAGGTCACCTAAGCCCACAAGAGTTTACTATTATACCAGACAAACCGTATACTAAGACTTACGCTGATGCTACATAGTTTTGGTTCATCTGATCTAGAACTGGTTCCCATTGTCTTGCAGATAGATCAATGTTTGGCAGATGGAATGTTGAGAAAACATTCCGCCATGTGGCATTAGTGATGTCGACAAAGTTCATGACAGCTGTTGCCATATCCTGGGCTCTTAGGAACACCATGGTAATGTTTGCTGGAGGGATCTTGCCGTTCATCAAGTTCCTGATATGCATCACTGTATCTTCCATCTGAAAACATGGAGATGGAGCTGTCGGCTAACAGTATCAGCAACACACAAAACTCGGACCACAATCACTATCATCACAAGACACATGTACATACGAGATCTCGGAGCACACAAAAAGGGAATATATTCTAAAATTAGCCCTCATCTCCATCCCCTTGTGATAAAAGATACAATCTAAAATCAAAAGGATAAAACATACTTGGCCAAGTTACATGTTTTGGGGTTGATTTTTTAGTTAAAGTATTTAAAAACCCATAAAATACATGCAAAAACACCAACCAAAGCTGTACTTCAGAACGTACATTGTGTAGTCTTTTTGTTACCTGTTACTTTTTCAATAATTCAAGGAGATATATTATTTTTGCATTAATTGGGTCATTTTGTTGTTTAATGTTTCCATCCTTCAGAATCATCCCATGCAGCAGACTTACAATTTGCTGTATGTCTCCTGCTCTTAGGGACACAAACAAGTTGTTGACAGATGCAGAGATATTGGCAGTGCACATAACGGCTCTCAACTCTGCCACCACAGCAGCATCAGTTGTTTTGGCCACATCGTCCATGATTCCATCGCAGAAGTCTTGGTAGGAGAAGGGGGACTCAAACAGTCTCTGTCATGAAAGGAAATACAATATTACTAGGTCATGTAATGAAATTCTAAAATATCTGTACAGATTTACAGAAAATGCAATCGCAAACCAATTCATAAAGAGTAATTAGTATAATTGCTGCAAGAAAAATTGAACCAGAAGCTAAAGGTGAACTTACTGGAATAGTTCACAATGTAAATAACCTTTATCGATGGCGGCGGTCTGTACATAATCAAGTCTGGACCAGACAATCCAGTGATCAACAGCATGAACATCGATCAATTGGGATACGATGACATGTGTCAACCAGTCAGCGAGCCTGACAACACTGATCCCGTTAGTTGCCTCTTACAACAAGCATGTGTTGCTGAAGACCATTTGTTACCTGGATCTTCACGAGTATACTGATTGTTTTAATTTCTATCCTTGTTTATCTACCTTTGAACTACAACTAGCCAAGGGAATTTCAAAGTCCAATGTAAGAATACACAATGCCAGTTAGAAAGTGGTCAGATGTAACCTATGCTATATTTGCACACTTTTTTCAGTAAAGAACAGATTGTAGTCCTTTTTTTGGCTTGAATCCCATTCAGGAATTAAACCCATGCTTACATTTGACCACTTTCTAGGTCTCGGAAAGGACTCAACCCTAAAAAATTCTAGAATCTGTACTATACTGAGAAAGACTAATCCCAAAGTGAACACATGAAAGTCCAACTTTATGATGATACAATAGTGTTTTTCTGTATTCATGAACAATTCACTTTGAGAACCATGAACACCAAGTTTGTTACGCAAAGACTAACTACCTGTACAATAAAATCTGTGTTAAACCATGATGTCTATTCTGAAGCCAAGTAAATCCGGTTAAAGACAGATGTATTACATTTATTCGATACCTCTCTGAGTAAATCCTGATTTTAACGTGATTGAAAGCCACAGCAAACCAACACACAACTTGAATACCAGTGTGTGTGAGTGAGTGAGTGAGTATGGTTCTATGCCTCTTTTAGCAATATTCCAGCAGTATCAGCAGGGGACACCACAAATGGGCTTCACGCATTGTACCCCTGATGGGAATCAAACCTGAGTCTTCAGCGTGACTAGTGGACACTTTTACCAGTAGGCTACCCCACCACCCCTGAATACCAGTGAGCCGTGAAGATCTGGGATAGAATTGATCTTCAGTAACCCATGCTTCTTGTAAGAGGTGACTAACAGGACTGGGTGGTCAGGCTCGCTGACATGGTTGACACATGTCATTGTATCCCAATTGCATTGATTGATGCTCATGATGTTGATCACTGGATTGTCTGGTCCAGACTTGATTCTTTACAGACTGCCGCCTTACAGTGGGAATATTGCTGGGTGCGGCGTAAAACTAAACTCACTCACTCACTGAATACCAGTATTTGTTCCACACAGTTTAACTAGGGTTACACTCGCGTAACCTTGATTCGTGGATATAAGGGAAAAGCGGTGAAATTCATATTTTAAATGCATGATTTTATTTTGTATACGCACTGATGATTTTATTCATTGATTCAGCAAATTGAAAATGCCTAATATTCTACTCGTGAATGAAACGTTTGTTTACGGAAGCCATTTGCCATCATCACCCATTCATGTGCCCACAAAATGTGACATCAGCTTGTTTCGTGGATTACGTAGTCGGTTACTTTATGCCACTATGTACGACATCCCACTGCAGTAAGTATTGACACCAAGGAAAGCAGACAATGAGAAGTGAGAATGTTGGAGCTAATGGTATCATTTTTACTTGACATTTTGTAAAAATAAAATTCGGCAATGGTGGTAATAGTGACTTGGGGCTATTTATCTCAATGCTGGACAATTATATTTAGTGTACTTGCGTGTAATGCAGAGATTCGGAACTTTTTTTTGTCAGCGAGACCTTGCATTGTATGTACATCAAAAGTACTGCTTCGTGACATCAGTCGAGACTTAATTTACGAGCTAGCATGATAATTTCCGTGATCCACGAATCAAGGTTATCCACGAATTTAGGTTACGGTTCTGGGCCTAGATTTTCGAAGCTCTCTTAGCTCTAAGATAGTCGTAAGTGCCATACATTAAAATTAACTTACGACTATCTTAGCGCTAATAGAGCTTCTAAAATCTAGGCCCTGTATATAAACTAAGAAGGTTTCATATCTATGTGACTAGACATACCGCTAATGCCTTTGAGTCAGTGAATGCTGACAGAACAGCCAGAGTGATGTTGGGTCCTTTGTTAAACAGTGTGGTCAGTGCTGTTTGAGTCGGGCCGATCTTGTTCACCATGCTCGACACAACTGTCTCCAAATCTGTGAAAAAATGATGAAACAATAACATAGTAAACTGAACATATGTGAACAACAGTCGTCAATGCTTTTGTGGATGATCGATCCATCTTTCAGTTTCTTCAGTACAACATAACAAATTATGAGAAACTATCAGCCAGGCCCATAACCACCTAATCCACATTTGGGTATCACATTACAAGTACAATGAACCTTGTACCTCTTCTGCACAGCAGTCCAGCTGGGTAGGCTGAAGTACCAGTAGACATTTCATGTGTCATTGATTACATTTTTATCAATTCTGAACAGATCTTAGATCCTTGTTGATTTCCTAATATCTGATAACAGTTGAATATATTTTTGTTCAAAACATCAACTTACTCTTTGTCTCCTGAAACATGATGGTGCCAATGTCCAGAATTCGGTTCATCACCATGACAACTGGAGCTGTTACATTCCAAATAAATGGCTGACTTTGAAGGGTGGTCTGCAGTTTCTGGAGGTTTTGCTCAGTTGCTCTGCAATAGAAGATAGGATTCTAAATTCCTTTGATGCTGAGCTTACTGTTACTTCCGAACTCCATATCTTTGAATCTTTGACCAGCAGTCTGTCCATGTGAAGTTTGCACATGACGAATATTAACCGTTCTTTACTGCTTCAGTTCACCAAACTTATTTAGAAACTGATGTCTCTAAAGTTATGGGAACATTTCTGAGACCATTTTTAACAAATGCTAAAGAACAATAGTTCCAATATGAAGAGTTACTGCTTTACTACTAGACTATCTTAATGGCACCATAACATAGAAGTCGGTCCCAGTCTAATTGAAAACAAACACGCATAAAAAATCTTGGAATTCAATGCTAAAACAATGAACATATTTTTCTTGCTGTGTTAATCTCTCCTGTTCTCTTTCCACTTAAAAAACATATCCAATAACTACTTATTTGGCATACAACCATATTTTCTTCTGTCATAGTTCAATGGATAAAAACACCAAAGGTGAAACATTACTCACTTCGTGTTGACAGCACCAGTTACAATCTGATCGTAGATATTTAGCCAATCCACCTCAGCCATTGCCCCAAGGACCAGCTTGAGATCTAGTTCCATAGCTCCAGCCAACTGCTGCACCGACTCCAGCATCTTCTGCATGGAGCCCAGGAGTCGATCGATTGTGTCAGAGGCAGAGCCATTGGTTTTTCTCTGTATGAGGTCGGACAAGTCTGCCACCACTAGCACAGTGTACTTCACAGTGTACCAGATGGTGTCATTGGGTTTCAGGGTCTCCACCACAGGGTCCAGGATCCCCACCAGTCTTACAAACCTACAACAATCAACAATG